ATCTTCTCTGGTATCTGTGGCTCTTGCATCACCAGCAACTTTGGAAGCAATGATACCAGCTTTGCATAATAATGAGTCTGTGAGTGTGGATTTACCATGATCGACGTGAGCAATGACAGACATGTTTCTGATGTTGTCTTATTTGTCCATGATCTCTCTGATTTGATCAACTGAAAAATTTACCATGTGTTATTAACTTTTAAAAAAAAGATTTAAAATTTCCCATAATTAAAACAAGCATTTATATTATTTGCGCATAAATAATTGTTAATTATATCTACCAATGACATCTCATATTTTTATATTATGATGAATATTCGATAAACCAACAATCTTATTTGTGTATCCCTATTCCTGCTCAATCCTTCCTATTATACGAGATTTCAATTCACAAAATAGAACTACTCAATTTTGTTAGGTATTATGATTAACCACTTGTACTTTTCATGAAATTTGCATTGTTATCTTAAATTAATACTCTGATGTTTATTTTGAGGAGATTTATTCATAATTATAAATGTACAAATAATTAAAGTGATAAAATGAATGTAATTGATGAATTAAGAAAAACCAGGTTCCCAGAAAAATTCTAAGAATTAGTATTAAAAAAGAGAAGAGCTCAAACAAATTTAAATGAATATGAAACTAGAAAGCAAAGTATTGGATGATAATATAAAGGACAATAAACATATGTTCCTTAAGCCAATAAAGAGTAGATTTGCACATTATGCCAATCTATTTATGTAGATTATGTAACAACAATTTGTGATCACAGCTTTTGTTAAAAATGTTTGCTTGAAAATTTGCATAAATCTAGAGTAGATCAATTTAAGTATCAATAGAAATAATGTCCTACTTGCAAAAAAGAGTTCAAAGGTGATTTTGCTTTTCCTTGTCTTTCGATTGATCATTGGATTGGGATTACTCAAACGAGCAACATGGATTATACACTTAAATTGAAATAGATTGCATTGTGGAAGGAGTAAGGAAAAGTCAAAGAATTTACAGTTGGGATGAAATTGGATATTTTGAATATTGCTTTTATTTGGTGTGAAGGGGAAGTCAAAGAAATCAGATATGGAAAGGATGGTTAGCCTAAAGAGGTGTTGATCCATTACTTTGAGTTCGATACAGCTTATGATGAATTTATAGATGTCGACAGTTTCAGATTGGCTCTTTACGGAACTATCACTAATCAAAAGAGTACTTGACTATATGAATCTAGATGCAATACAATACTAATAATCCAGAGTAGAGAAATTTCAAAGCCACTTTATTTTTAGTTAGAATCGCGCTTTATTGTCTAGGGCTAATCTATCATTAATGAGATTGGCAAGCTTAATTACTTCTTTGAGATAAAATCGCTTAAATAATTAAAATTGATTTAATTTATATAATATGTAAAGCTATAAACTTCACGTTGTTTCTGAAAATCTGAAGGATAGACATCCCTATATTGAACCGGATTTCAAAGATAGATATGATCCTTCTGAAGTAATACTCGTACTCAAGAATAGGTTTATCATGCAGTGTTTGACCGTTCCATTCCAAAATTGATTGAAATATTGCTCATGGAAAACATTGAAGCCTTTAAATACAGAGATGCCCTGATTACATTGAATGAAATGGTAGATCATTAAGAGATGAAGGATCAAATGATATCGCAAGGTAATCCTCCTCTTTAGACTTAGGTCTGGTGGGAATTGCTAGTGCTTATCTGCATCATAAAGACATTTAGATTAGAAAACAAGCAGTTATATTATTGGGATGCTTAGTGAGTATAATGAGAGGAAGAGAATAATTAGGTGATTTGAGTTTTGATGGATTATCAAAATTATTATTTGATGATGCTAGAGAACAATGTGGGTGGGCATTATGTAGAATAATTACTGGTAGAGATGGAGTGGATATCTTATGCAAATCTAATCTCACTAAAAAGATGATCTAATCCTTTATGTAATCTAAGGAATATCCTAAATTTACTGTCTATCTATTGGAAGCATTTGCAAAAATAGTAGAATTCGATAATGGCATTTTCTTCTTTTTAAATTGTGGAACAATTAAGAGATTCATTGAAATTCTATCTTAAGAGAATTACTATGATTAAAGTTATACTTAAAGAATAACGTATTTGTCTTTGGAGGTTTTATCTAAAATATGTGCTAACCATGAAGGCAAAGAAGAAGCAATTAGAGAAAATGCTATTAATGTTGCGAATAGATATTTGGATAGTCCCCTACAAGAGGAAGCCTATTTTGCCACTATTTTGATCATGAATTGTACTATAAACCTTGAAGGTAAGAAGCAATGTGTGCATGTTGAGAATGACGAAATTATTTAAGTATTTTTAATTTAAATTCGAATTAGAAATTGATCTCTCTTTTAAATAAAGATTTTAGCAAGGATGTTAAGCAAGCATTGTTAAATATTGCAGATTATCCTGATGGATTTATTATCATAACAAAATTGTTATCAAACAGCTATGAGACTTTGGATGATTTACTTGGACCTAGGGTTGTGATTGCTTTGGCTAAACTAATCCCAAGAGGTTTGGAAAACTATGATGATTATAAGCAATATGGAAGGACTCTTTGCAAATTCTTGAGGGACTACAATGAAGCCATCTTTATAGCCTTGGAAGTATGAGTTAATAAGAGTTTTAAATAGGAAACAGTTAAAATAGTAGAAATTCTGATGGAATTCTTCTATTATACTGACTTGGTGAGAGACGTGACAGACTCTCTATTGAAATTGATTGAAGCAGATGTAGACTCAAGAGAATATGCACTCAATTATTTGGAAACTCATAATGCAAACAGCAAGGAGATATAAAATATATCGAAAAAAATACTTGAATTATTCCCACATTGAATATTACATTATTTTTAATTTATTTTGATATATGTAAATATATCATTCTTATTATTATAATTTTTGTTAATCCTATTTAATTAGAAAGGTCATGTGTTTCTGCCATCTAATTAAATTTTATAAGGCTGGGTCTATCTCTTTGATTTTTGGAAATTATTCGTAATCTCTGGGCCCAACAACGAAACCATCTCCATCAAGAAATACCTTGTCTTATAATTCATCGTTCAATTTAAGATGGGTATCATCATGTTCATGAATTTCCATTTCGACCTTGGATTTGGGAGGTTTCAAAGACTCAAAAAATTTACACAATTATGGAATTGTTAATTTACCCTAAGAATAAAATAGTGACATACAATTCTAGTATTTTTTTCGCAATCCCTAATATCAATGACTCCAGTGCGCACTTCCTCCTCTCCAATAACTCCTACAAAATTATAGTATTGGATTTATGCATTTCTCACTTTCTTAGCCAAAGTTTAATCTGATTCATCAGTATTAACAGTATAACCTTCCAATCTCAATCTAGCTGAGATCTTTTCTGCAACATCCCTGTAATAGGCAGACACTGGACATAAAATCAATTGTTTTGGTGACAACCAGAATGGCCATTTACCACCACACTATTCTGTTAAGACAGCTATCATTCTTTCTAATGAACCCAAAATAGCTCTATGAACAATGACAGGTCTTGCAAAACCTGGTTTTAAATGATGGTACCCCAATTCATATTTCTTCTCTATTAAATAATCTTAATAAATAATTACCATGTAACACTTTGTGTAATTCGTGATTTGACAATCCTTGACTAGATCCAGACTCCAAGAGATCTTCAGGCAACTTCTACTTCTTATGCAATAAACTAGAGGCTGAATGTGAATGTTATTGCAATTACAATTATTAATATTATTATTACTATTACTCTACTACCTTATCTGATTAGAATGAATGACTGGATTAAACCTTCAATTCTCCTGCCTATTCATTCTATTCTTGAGGATGACGAGGAGGAGTACTTAATAGATCGCCATCTCCTTGATCTGATTAATGAGATTCCTTACGATGGATATCAATTATTTCTTAGGCTACCTATATTTATTCATTGTGCACTGTTTCCTTATCCTATTACACTTCATGAACATCCTCACTTGCTCTAAATTGTAAGTTGAATCTCTCAGGTAAATTGAAATCTAATTGAATTGTACCACATTAATGTTCTCTCTTATAAGCATCATATAATTTGACATCGATTTTTGGTCCATAAAATGCCCCATCTCCTGGATTTATTTCAAAATGCTTTCCAAATTTCTTCAATCCCTACTCCAATTAATATTCAGCATTGTCCCATACATCTTTGGTACCCAAAAACTTCTCAGGACGTGTACTTAAATACAATTTGAATTCGAATCCAAACAGCGAGTATATGTAACTTAAGAAGTCTAGACAATTCCTAATTTCATCCTAAATTTGATCCATTCTACAAAAGATGTGAGCATCATCCTATTAAAATCTACGCACTCTCGTTAAACCAGTCAATGCACCATGCACTTCATTTCTATGTAGAACTCCAAAATCAGCAAATCTTATTGGCAAATCTCTATAGCTATGCTACACCATGTCAAACATTAAACAATGTCCAGGACAATTCATAGGCTTTAACCCATATTCTCCTTCTTCTCCCATATTGATAAAGAAGAGATTCTCCTTATACTTATCATAATGTCCACTAATCTTCCATAATTAAGCATTAAATATATTTGGAGATATGACTTCCTAATACCCTCTTATGTAATATTATCGTCTCAGAAAATTCATCAATGTGTTATAGATGTGAGCGCCACTGGGGTAGAAAAAGGCAGAACCCGGAGATAATTGATGGAATAAATATAGGTTTTATTTCTTTCCAACATTCCTGTGATCCCTTAGAGCGAGTTCCTTTTATATTTTGACATATTCATCCAATAATTTCTTGTTCGGAAATGAAATTCCATATACTCTTTGCAAATCGTCATTACTATTTTTACCCAACCAATATGCGGCTGAATTTTTTGTTATTTGAAATGCCTTCACGTAACTCGTATTAGGTAAATGGGGACCTGTACACAAATCTATCAAATTCCCACATCTATAGGCAGTAGTCAAAGATCCATCAGGTATTTTGTTTGTTATCAATTATCGTTTAAAAGGATTACTTCCAAATATCTCAAGACTATTGTATAATTATTGGACAATACCATTCTTCTTTGGTTAAAATGGCCCTCTAGAATTCCTGTTTTGCAGCAACAAGATCCTATGCAGCCTTTTCAATTTTCACATAATCATTCTATGTAACCTTAATATCGCCTATATAACAATCATAAAAGAATCCTCCTTCTATTGCTGGACCAATACAGAGATGACAACCATAGATTTCTTCAAGAGCAGATCCTAGAATATGAGCAGAGGAATGCCAAAATACTTCTTGGCCATTTTTATCATCGAACGATAACAATTCTAAACTACAATCTCCTTCCAAAGGTCTAGTCAAGTCCCATATTAAGTAATCAGGTTTCGAATGTATTGTTGAGGATGCTTGACTGGATGTCTCCTCATGATCAACGTCAACGAAACCTATTCTATTTTATAATCAATACTTTTTTCAAATATGGTTTCATAGACTACTTTTGCAGCAACCATGTTTTCAGCCATTTTCTTGCTTATCCCTTAGGCAATGGACAAAGGGGTTGTTACCCATTTCTTACCTAAAATAAAATAAGACTTCGAACCTTCGATCTGTTTGCCATCCTTGAGTGTGATTTTAATTGGAGTCTATTGCATCTACTTCAATTCAGCCTGTTGACGCTGATAAATTTCCGAAAATAGTTTCAATCTTTTCTCTTAGAATACAGGTTTGGCTATCTTGAAAGGTCCTCCTATCTTGTTGGCAAACTGTTAGATTGTTCCTTCGGTAGCCTCTTTCAGTCTTGATCCTTGCTACATAATAAATGAATTAATTTTTAAATTTCGCTCAAATCATACAATTCCTCTTATGTGTGAAAAATATATATTATTTACATATCTTATAGTAGTTAAATTTTAATAATAAGTAATGAGAATCATAGGATAGGATTGAAATTGTATCATTAAATATTTATATTTTATTTTGTGAATGCGGTTAAATTAATCATCAGTATCATCCGATTAATTATAAAATGGATTTTAGACTATTATTTTCAATCTCATCTCTAATTTAATTAAATAACAAAACCTAAATTCGGATTGATGAACTAATGAACCAATCAACTTATAAGTTCGTTATAAATACATATCAATTTTTGATTACAATCATTGAATGAGTTTTACACATATTTTTATTACAAGGTTGTATTATTAAAATTTCGGTTCTGTTTAAATTAAAAAATATAAAAATGAGCCAAGGGAAGAATAACAATCAACCATTCACTTTTGGGAACAATGCTCCTGAATTTGATCAACAATTTCTCTTTTAAAGGTATGACATTACTTCTAAACATTCCATTCCATTTACTGATATCCATATATATATACATATGATATACCTACAATTATATTAGCAATCAAAATTTGATGCGGATGCTTGGACCTGAAATGCAACAATACCTATTGAGATAGCTACTAAATCCAAGCCTATACCAATGCATCAATTAAAACTAATAATTAAAGGATTGCTTTCAAGCCTCCAATTTACTAAGTAAGGATAACTATGCTTGTCATACTCACAATCTATCCGATATATATATGTTTGTTTGACTAATTTCTTAGATTTTTCTGCTTTAATGAATGGAATCGAAATGTTAACATATCTACCAAATCCTGGATAATCATAACCCCAGCTGAATTTGTCAAGCAATCGGTAAGAAGACAATTCAGGTCGGAAAACAAAAAATAATGCAGTCAATCCTATAACAATAACAGTAGATGATGATGAACCACCATAAACTACTAAGAAATGTTACAACGTTTAGTGTACGAATGTTGGGGACAAGAAAATTAAATCCAAAAGACATGATATATTATTCTTTTGTGACAAATGTTCTAAATTATTTAATAAAGGAAAATATTGCGATTTTTGCGAATAAGTATCAATATCCTCATTTCATTTATCAAAGGTTTACGGCTCTTATGATGACGAAGCTCGTTGGGTTTAATGTGATCAATGTCAAAAATGGGTATGTAATATCAACAATCATAGAATCACATTGCTTGCGAATAAAAATATAGAAATTAAAATATTGAAAATGAACCAGAAACCACTCCTTATCATTGTTTAAGTTGTTCCAAAAACGTTAAGAAAACAAAACCATTGAAAAAGTCAGATGAATTTCCACCTCCTAAATAGATACCCATTCCTGAACAAGAGGAGTGTAAAAATAAAGAAAAAAACATTACCTTTGTTGCTACTAAGGACAATAAAATACAATACAGTATGCTATGTCGATTAAGTCTTAGCGTATCGATTAAACTTGTTTGATGATGAAATCAAACTGGATTTGGATCTCCTTCGAAATTCGATTAAAAGAACTAAAAAAGTGCAATTGGCATCTCCACCTCATGTATTACAATAAAATGTAATGTCGTCTTAATAATAAAGTTAGTAAATGTAACAGCAATAAGAAGTAAGTATTCAATTCTAATGAAAAGACTTAGGAATAATCGTAGTTGAGTAGCAGAAGTTTGAGAAGAAGAATAAATTAGAGGATGAACTACAGAGATTTAGTTGGAGAATATTGAAAGAATGTCTAAATTTCATTGTATTGTTTATTTAAACATATAGATTATAAAATATCATGATAATTATTCAATTTTCTTAACCTTCTCTTAATATCTCTTTAAGAAATGACACGATTTATTTATTTATTCCAAAACTTAAATGTATTCTTCTTTTTATTATTATTTATTAAGCAATTCACTTAAAATTATTAGATTGGATAAACAAATTTCAATTTCTTGGCGATCTGAGAATTGTTCATTGTCAATTATGAGTGTTTTCACCTTTTATCCTAATTCAAAAGCCTCTTCAAATTTATTTTGACTAAAATGCTAAGTTGAGAATAACATACTGGATGAGACAAGTAATCATCAAATTCATCAATTTGGAGGAGTCCCCAAATCTATCTTTGGTTTCTTATATTGATTTGTATGCTTATTCTGGTTATCCATTATATAACTATAGAGATATACAAAGCTGCATACATTTAGATATATTTAGGCAAGATAAGTCAGGATGTCTTCGTCATCAAATCTTCTCAGGTCGAGTAGAGTGGATTCTGCCAAATCAAATCTCCTTCCTCTTAGATATATCATGAATTAGAGATAGAGCAATTCCTATTAAAATGCATCTTTTGGCATTTCTAATTGAAGTGCATATTGTGCTTCACAAGAATTCACAGACATGTATGCACATATGATTTAAATGATCTTCTTGTTTTAGTTTTAATTAGGAATGATGTCTTTGAGTTTTTTCAATACATCTTCTATTTGTTTTCTATCCTCATCAATGGTTGTTTCTGATTTCTATTGCTCTATTAGTGGACACATGAATCTGCTGACAATATCGGTTATCTCTAATAGTTTGGAAGATGGTTTCTTTGTTAATCTGATAAATTTTGGTTTCAATTCTCTAGCTGCTATTAATGCTCTTGAAACTAAAAAGTAATAGTAGTCATCATCATAGTCGTTTTGTTACCATATTTCTAACACTTTATTGAAATTCCCTAAAAAGAAGGCTATCTTGGCTTATAGAAGTATTTGTTATTCCATCTAATACACGTAAATACTAATTAAATAAATATTAATTATTCAATTGAATTTAAGAATCTCAATTCAAACTTAAGAACCAGATTATAATACAATACTTTACATATAACTTATAAGATCAAAATTAACTTATAATATACTCTAATTCATATTTAGGAAAGTCACTTAATTTCCATCTATTCGTCTCATGTCCTTATTCAATTTTTATGATTTGTCCATTTAAAGCAGTATATTCGACGATTTGAAAAATGAATGATACTTTATCCCCTTGAAATACCAGCATACTGAGTTTCTACAGATGAGAATTGACCTCATTCTCCTTGAAATTATTTTTAACAATGTTCTAAAAGTTTTTATCGATTCTGTCCAAATAGAATTTGAGAATATATTTGATGGGATTTTCTCTTTCATCTCTGGATTCTTTAACCCAATTATACTCGTAAATATGAAAATATCTATCTATGTGTAAACTAAAAAATTTCCTATAATCAAAGTTTGAGGGATCCCCTCTTTGTTTTTAACTTAAATGGTAATGTAAAAAAGCAATTTTATTTATTAGTAAAGTAAAGATGTGTTTATAAAAGTAATCCCAATTTGTTTTTTTCATCAAGTAGAATAGCATTTCCTTCTTGGGATACAATAAAATATAACCTATACCAATGATGAGAAATTTCAAAAAGAAGTCATCGATTTCTTGGCAGGTTGAAAATTACCATTTTGTAATGACATCATGAATTTCTCGTTTGAAATATGTAAAATCAGCCAATTAATGATGCCCATTCAATATGGCGAAAGCATCAGCTTATTCTATTTCAATTACAAGTTTATCATTCAAAAAATAGGTTTTCATTTAAATCAATAAAGGGATGATACCCAAAGAACTTTAAAACTTATCACTTCTTATCCCGAAAACAAAAGTAGCGAATTGCTGATTTGGATAGATCATAAAATAAAATTGGTAGAGCTGATTCAAGAGGGAGTGATCAAATAATTTGTAATTTAACAACTAAATTGGAATAAAAGTTCTTTAGACCAAATCAGTGAATTTATCTATTGCTATAAATTAAGTGAGAAAATGCAAATTTATTGGAGGTTGCTTAAAGATTTCCAAATTTATTTGATTGCCTTCTAGAAGTTCCAAATTTATAAGCATAAACCTAGCATAACGCTCCTCTATAGACATCAATGAGTTTCCGATTATGTAGGATATGTAAAACTTTGCTATCATCATTGTCCCAAAAACTATTTCAATTACAATGTCAGTTGGAGCATATTCTATTTCACGAATACAACTTTCATTGAGTTAGCCTAATTTAGAAAACATTATCTTCATTAAGCTCTACTATTGAAGAATCTTCATGGTTAAGCTGTCTATCAAAACTTCCAGATCTTATTCTTACAATTCAGACTTTTGGAAACTGAGCATATTGCTATACAATATACCTTAACTTTAAGTGTTTCTTTGAGAAATTCACTATGTATTTCATTTTAGTTTTTTTGTCTGTAACACAATAGCCGTTCTTCCGCAATACAAGTCTATTTTAAGATATTCCCCTCTCCATCAAATCTAACAATTCATCATTTGTTTGTTCGTATATCAAATGAAATTGGCTTCCTTCAATCTATATTCTAGGTTTTAAATTCATCAAATTAATTAGTTAATTAATTAATAAAATCCCATAAAATTTTAGAAATAAATTACAAATAATTTATTATAAACTCATTCCTTAAATTTGTATGAGCATCCAAAACCTTTCATGTGCAATAAGTTATCATGCAAAGTTTGCAGGTACTCTAAATCAACTTTAATTATAACTATCGATAATATTTATCCAATTATTATATTATCATAAATAATTAAAATATTATTATTATATATATATATATCAAGTTAGGCATTCATTATATAAGTATCTATTCTAAGTATTTTTTCAGTATTATCCTATAAGTATACTGATATTAAGATGATTCATAAGAACTGCAAGTGTATTCCAATCTCTCTGGATCTAATAGAATTTCTCTAGCCAATTAAAGTAATATAATATTGTGTTGGAGAATTCTTTGCTTTTCCAATCTGTAAACCAAAGCGAAATACTCATCATAATCTAACTGCTTATCTTTTAATAGGAGATCCCCTTTGCTGAGATCTTCTTTGAACTCCGCCTTAAATTACTGCAATAACTCAATAGATTTTGTCAATCCTAAGGATATGCGAATTCTTAACCTTTCAATTCAGTCTAAATATCTATTGTTTTCAACACATTCTAAAGATCATAGTAATCTTGGTTCTCGCTTCTAAAACTCATAATAAATAATACTCCTTAATGGCCTTGGAAAACTTAAGCAAAGCAAAAGGAAACTCAGTATATTTTAACTTAATCGATAAAAACTATTTCTAAAATACTCTCATCACTCTCCTTTTTAATAGCTCTTTTGTGTTAATTCTTAAATAGACATGATCATATTTGTTTCTTTCGATAGCAATTCCATATCTTAATAGTAATTCTCTATTCGAAAGTCTTCCATAATTGAAGTATACTTAAGCTCCCTTCTTGAAATTTTCAGTCTTTTATGAGCTAATACAGAAATAATCAAAATCCTCGTCGTCTATCCAATTCATTATTTTTTTTGTTTCATTTCTATCAATTTGCACTGTTTCCTAAGTGTACTGAGCTTTGACATTACATAACACATAATCCTTTAAGACTAAAAATGTCTCTTCCTCTAATTCATTTTTACTTGCCCACTCTATGATTTGATCTGCAATAAAATCATCTAGATCTGATTCATTTTGATCTAAATCTAAAGAGTTATCTGAATCTGATGAAGATTACACACTTTAAAGTTCCTCCTCAGCATAAAAACCTCCTTTCTATTTTTTTGCCTTTTTTCCTTTCTTTCCATTATGGTTGCAACTATTGATTAAGATCTAGTCTTATTATTCTTTTATTTCATTTTTTTACAATAGAGCAATGTGAACATCCACACACTCATGATTGAAGAATTCACAAAAAGGAATCATGCTTTTGTATTTCAAATTATGTCCAAAATCTCTGGTGTATAAATTACTGTATGCCCACTAGAATTCGTCTTCTGTAGCATTCATTATATCCTTGAATACCTGATATGTTTAATCATATTCTTCTTTTTTTTTATGTACTTTTTGGATTAAACTTTCATCTTGCAACAATTTCAATTTATCCTCTGACCAAAATATCAGCATATTAACATCTACGGGTAGTTACGCAATAAATCTATAATATTTGGATTGAATTCCTTCTCTTTTGTTCATAATGAGGAAAGCCATTATTGTATGTTCCTCTCCTTCCTCATGATCCAGAAAAAAATCTCTATGTTTAAAATAGAAGGCCTTTTAACTTGATTGAAATGCAGTTCGACTGCTAATTATCAATTGGCGGGGAACTTGAACCAAAAGAAAATTGGCTGGAATGTCATCTGTGGCTGTTTATCTATTTAAAACCTTTTGGATTACCTTTCAAACCTCGATAAGGTAATCCATTTTTGAGATAGAAAGTTGCTAGTTCAACATCCTATAGTTTCACTCCTTGATTTGTATAATCAATTTCATATTTTGTTTACTCACCTCCTGACGATGAAGTGCATTTCTTATCTTTCAGGTAAATACCTTTTTCCTTTTATTAGTTAATTGTAATACTCTTTAATACATTTTACCAATCGAAAACCTTTTTGGATAATTCATAAATTAAATTTATATTAACACTAAATCAAACATCTCATTTTGGTAAATAGAGAGCATATCTCATTTGTTCAAAATATTTCTTTAAGATTATACGATTTGTTTCGCATTAATCGAAATCAAATTATGTTTTTTCAGTGGCTTATTCAAATGGAATTCCATCTAGCATCCTATCAATAACAACAATACAAATTTTAATTAGACTATTGTAAGAATATCAAAATTACTTAATGTTATGATGATAAATTCTCTATCTTTCCAATCTATAAATCACAGCAAAATATTCATGATATCCCAATTTGTTATCGTACAACAATTTCTCGTTGTCTTCTAATTTATCTGAAAATTTAGAAATTTCTTCAACCAAAATCTCTAAGGCTAATTACAATGCTTTTCTTTCTAATTTGAGATCTTGGATCTTGAAAAAAGTATCCAAAGAATGTACATTAAAAGTCCTATGTAAGTATAGAGAATATAATTACCAGTATATTGATTTACAAAATACAATGAAATCTATTGGAAAAGTAGTATGCTTTAATTTAAATCTTTTGTATTAACTTAATTGATATTTGTGGACTAACCAGACTGCTTCATTACTTTATACATATTTTAAATAATCGATTCTCAAATGCGCATGATCATACTTGTTGTATTCTAAGGTCATCCCATATCTCATTAGCATCATTCTATTAGATAATCTGCCATAACAAAAATAAACTTAAGCTCCTTTCTCAAATTGATCCTTGCTAGCAGCCTTCATTACAAATCTATCAAACTTGTCTTTTTCCCAAACTTATTTATAATACTCGCAATCTGGATCTAAAGGTTGAGATAAAATTTGTTCAGGAGTGTCCAAAGTTGAATTTTGACTCTTCGATCTTTTTTGCTAGAAATAACTCGTTTGATAGATTGGTTTTTTCATGACATCCTTCTGAAAAGCATACAAGTTGTTTTTATAGGTATTGCAAGTTATTTAGATTCTTTTGACATCCTCTCTAGCCATAAAGTAAGCCTTGCCTCCATTGATGTATTCTTAGATGGATTTATCTAATTTAGCGAACATCTATCCAATAAAGAAGATGGAATAATTATCTCCATAATCAATATTTTAAAATATAAATGTTTTGCAATCTCTAGACAGTAGGTATACTTCTCTTTAAAGATTTAATTTAATATTGAAATCTTTCTTCATTTTGACTTGTTGTTCTTACAAATCCTTGATTCTTTTATTCTACTCTTCTTCATCTTATTCATTACTATCAGATGTCTTATTAGTTTAGTCTTCTTGCTATTCATTTTCCTTTTCCTTATTATCGAAAGTCTTGCTGAATTCCTCGTAAAACTTCTTAGTAGCTTATTGACTAAAATCATCGAAATCAAACTCTTTGAATTGATCATAGGTGTCTGTCACATATTCGGAATCACTGATCTCATCCTCAGAATGGTAAGAACCTTCAGAAGATGTGACTGATAATTCCTCATCTTCCTTCAATTCCTTAACTTAAGCCTATTCACTCTCCTCACTCTTATTAGGATTATCAGCATTGTATTCAAAATCATAGAACACATCTGTACATTCATGATTAAATAATTCACAAAATGGTACCATGGTAACATAAGCTAAGTACTTGCCGAAACACCTTGTAACTAGATGTGTATAGACCCATCTGGCATTTTCAAATGTGACGGTTTCTGGTTTAAATAGTTGAGGATATTTATCAGTTATGCATTTGAGTGTTTCGTATTCAATTACAAATTCTTGATACTATTTTCTAGCCAATTTGACTAATTGCTTATCATCCAATAACTCTTATTCTTCAGGATTCCAAAACACTAGATAATCGATGTCTCTAGGCAAATTAGAGATTAGGAGGTGCCATTCAGATTCAGGTCCTCTCTGATATTCATACAGGATAAATGCCATTAATTAATGATCTTCCCAAGAAGGGTAGAATTGAGTGCTAAAGTATTGTGGATGGTCTAAAAACATTTGTTTTAAAGGAGATTCAAATGCATGTCTTGTTGTTAATAGCAAATCTCTTGGCACTGAAACTAGAGTTTCATTTGATAAAATTTTCTCAGATGCTAAGTTATAGAAGGATTTCAATACCAACTAGACCTGGATATTTTAAACCATTTTTAGTTTTAAAGATTGCATACTTAACCTTATTTATGTACACACCTTAAGCTGTTAAGGTTTCTATATAATCTTGAAGTTATTTGGGAGTTTCTGGGATGACAGCATTAGGATCTGTTTTGCGCAATCCCTTTAATTTGCGAAATCGTTTCCCAATGCTATGTCTTTTCATGAATATTTTTTAATTTAATTTGTTTTTATATGAAATATATTAAGTTAATCCAACACATTGATTGAAGATGTTAATAATATATATATATATTGATAAAAGGTTTATTAGAATACTTAAAGGATGTAACATGAATTAAGTTGCGCTTATAATATGTTCAATTTGTGAGGATCAGAGCTAATTAAGTATGAATATTATTTTTATCATTGGTATCTCCAGGTTAGACTCTCTATAAATCACAACTCTAATTGATTTTATTAAAAATCTTGGAAAACGACAATAATGATAAGAGTTATTTAATGGGATGATAGATTTGCTGCTGTGGTGTGTTAGAAATAATAACAGAATTTTGACCAAAACTAAGATTACTTGTGTTGTGAGGGTCATTGCATAATTAATTATAGATTGACATTGTATATATTATAATTTTATCAAAAGATAAGATGATTAAATTATATTGCATTAATTGATTTATAACTTAGTACTATGAAATTTAGATAAAAAGCATAATGCACCTAATCTCTGCCTAAGATTCCTGCATAGAAATATTGTCATTACTTAACTCAAAAAGAGGATGAAGAGGAGTTAGATTACAGTTTTGAAATAAGTCCTGTTAATTTGCCAACAACAAAATAGGATTTTTATAAATTACAAAAAACCACTGAGAGAGTGTAAGAGTAAAACAAAATGTTTAATCGAAATGATAATATGATGACCACTTTGTCTTCTTCTCAGTTGCCACCAGGAAGTTTTGGATTATTTAATCGGCAGAAGAACGATGCTCTGCATTTAAAGTATTATTGAATTATCAATAGCCATATGAAGTATGGAGACAAGTATATGATAATGTTGGCCAGAGGGTTATAGAAATAAAACAATATAAAGGAATACAATTTAAACGATAATCGGATGACTCAGCTTAGTTCATCAGAGGTTATAAAGAGTACTCGTGGAGCTATATCGTTAAGTTTGTCAAAGAATAAGATTGGCTCTGGATGTTTGGAGATTGGTAATTCATTGGTTAGTAGAGATTGCAAAATATAAGTATTGAACTTGGAAGACAATAAATTACAAGAAAGTCATATCATTGAAATATTAGATAGAATTGCATACAATAGATCATTAAAAAGTGTCAATTTGAGTAAGAATAATATATCCAATAATTGTATAAATGCTCTCTCAAATTTGTTAATAACGAATGAAGATATTGCTGAGTTGTATCTTCATTTTAATAAACTGAATGGTTTTGCAGCAGTTTCTATATTCAATAATATGCAAAAGTCTAATCTAAAAGTGTTGGATTTATCGTAGAATTCTCTAGGAATAGGATATGATTGGTCTCAAAGTTTCAACAAGATGGTGCAATTGAATAAGGAACTCATACACTTTGATCTATCCTTTAACAAAATAGATTACAAAATTACTTGTCAAATTGCTGAAGGATTAAAAAAGAATAAGAGTATACTTGGGTTTCACTACACCGGAAATTGTGGGTATGTGGATGCTAAGGGTTTTTTGGTGCCAATTGAAAAGGGCATTGTAGAACAAACCTAACATTAAATTGCTTAGAGGATATAAGGATGTCAAAATATCAAATAAAAGAGATTAAGATCCTATAGAGACAGTAATATAAAAGATTGTTGTTGGATTTGTGAAGGGTGGAGACAAGTGGAGTTCTAATGGAATCCATAAGCATCTGGACCTGCGAATGATCCTATGTTCTTACATTTATCCTATCTTAATTATGATGATTTATACATGGGTAAGGTTGAGTCTGGATTGAGAGTCTAAAGAATGGTACCTCCAGGGATGTGCTATTATTTTTTTACAAATGACAATATGCAATGTGTAGCTAAGGATTAACTCCATAAGAGATGGCCTCTGCCTTTGAACAAAGTGAAATTTTAAGATAAGGAAATTGATGTTAAGTTATACCAATTAAATTATTTGAATGTTGCAGGAACACAAATCATAGATAAATATTATATGCCCATCATAAATGTCTAACCAAGATAGGAAGATCTACTTTATATACCTGAGAGAGTAGATAATCGTGTACTATGGACATTTCCAATATCTTTGTTTAAGGATTGGAAGAAAGACAACGAAGAATTGATTGAGAAGTGCTTTATTAGTGATTGGAACCAAAGTAGGATCACAAAGTTAATTAAGGATGAGAATGACAAGAATGCATGTTATAATTTTTTACTGGCCAATTACTAATAGATTAAAGATACTTATAAGTAAAAGATATTTGAAATTTAGACACTACGCATGTTTGTCACCAGTTGGAGACATTTGGGCCATCTCATCATTAATAAACCTATAATTGTTGAGTGCTGTAAGAATGACAGAGGCTAGCGAGAAAGGTACTATTAAATAATAGGATATGGAATTGAAGTATTTGGCTACAATTTCAGGAACGGAGAAAGGAAACTATAGAAAACCAGAAAGAGGAATGGTAAGGTTTTAATTCTTAGAGATGTTTGTGAGGATAGCAGAGGATAAATATCTAAAGAATGGAGGAGCCAAATCATTTGAAGAGGCTCTGCAATGGATGTGGAATGATCATCTAAAGGAAGAGTTCAATAAATATAATACTCAAGTTTTTAGGGACACTCGATTTTGGAATGAACAATGTGATCTTTGTATGAAACACTATAAGACTATTCTCGATAGCATTTATATTCGATATAGTGTGAAGAAGGTGAAACCTGGTCAAAAGCCATTCATGAGTTTGTAGGAACTGTAGGAAATGTGTGCTCACATTGGATTAAATTAAATTGAAACATTTGGACCTAATATTCCTTTATTTGCTTTCAATAAAGCCATGATGAGTTAGATTGATGAACTTAATTCAGATAGAATATTTTAGATGAGTTTCGTTGAGTTTTTAGAGGCTTTTGCAAGGATCGCTGAGGATATAGATATTCGATAGATTGGATTACATTTAAAAATAGAGTAATTGATTTGGAAATGTTATAATTTGTTTTCAGATCTATATGCTTTACCAACTTAGAGTTATTTCTAAGAAGAGTGGGATTAAATCAATAAACAATAGAATAAGTAAATAGTAGATGATGACATAGATGACTTTAATTGATATAATTAATTTAATCACTAATTTTCTTCATAATGTTTCTAACAAGTATGCCAATACAAATTCACATTATTTTTGAATAGTTTTGGACAAAATTAGCAGTCATATATAAGCTACGAATTCAGTGACTCAATTTCTTAAGAGAATCTATTATAAACTAAATCATTTTCTCTGATATTCTTGGTTCTGATATTCATATATTCTTCCTTTTGTTTTACTTTTTATGTATCCTCATTATTCTTATTTTCATCTTTGTTATCTTCCACATTCTCTTCCTCTTTCTTATTCAACACAAGGAATTAATAGTAATTTTGGATGATTTGCATTTATTGTCCAGTTATTTATTTACATTGTTCACTAAATTAATTCATTTCCACTTTATTTCCTGCATCTATTGATATCTATAAGCAAAAAAATCATTGTATTATTTTATTTATCAATATTTACACGATTACATTATTATAAATAAATGTTAAACTAAAATATTAAATCTGTTACATCGCGATAGGAAGTTAAACCGATCAAAGCCAATATCACAAGGTATCTCACATTATTGTATCAATTAGAGAATAATTTCAAACCCTAACCAAACTCTATACCTTAGGCAAAGGAAAGAATGTTGAACGACATCGAAATCACCTATAGCAACAACCCTCTAATTAATAACTAACCATCACACCCAGAAATAATACACCATAATCATGTAGAACTGCATAAGAAGTATTCATTTAATAAAAACAATAAAGATGAAATATTTTTTGTATTAAAAAAACAATCTGAAAGAACAAGGAAAGATTTAAAATAATTCATAGGTATTGCCTAAAACGAAAAATAGTTTGCATCGTAATTTTTCATAATTGGAAAAGTCGGCTAGTGCATTACTTACACCTATCATTTAAACAACCACAACTCCTTAATCTAAATAAAAGAAATATAATCTAATGTCTATCGATCAAAGATTTCCACCTAATCAATTTGCTTAATAGATTGCATAACAATTGAAAATAAAGAATGACAATAAAAAAAAAGATAGTTTAAAAGTTAGCTTAGACGATTTCATCACTCAGGTGAGTAGACCAACAAAAAAGCTCATCTCCCCTTTCAAATAAACTAAGTCTTTATCTCCATCCACTAGAGTTGAATCAGCCAAGCCAAGAAGTAATGATCCAAAACCTATTTAGAATAAATATATTATATCACTTCGCTAGTTGAAGCGTTTAAACATTAATATCCTCAAACATCTGAGCAATAATTATTCAAAGATCATGCAGTTCAGACATTCAATTGTGTTGGCTTCTGTATGAATCTTAAAGAATCAGATCAATAAGTAATTCAATCTAAAAAATTAAATTTACCTCCCAAATTGAATTGCAAATGTATTATACTACACAGATAATATTAGATTAAAAAACAGTTGTTTTTGATCTGGATGAAACATTGATTCATTGCAATGAAAACTAATCACTCAAGGCTGATGTATATATACCTATAACATTCCCTTCAGGTGATACAGTCTCAGCAGGTATCAATATTAGACCCTATGCTAAATGGATACTTTAAGAATTAAGTTAAATATGTGAAGTTGTTGTCTTCACTGCATCTCATTAATGTTATGCTAGTTAAGTCATTTAATACCTAGATCCTAAAAATCAATTACTCTCAGCTTAATTATTTCGAGACAATTGTGTCTTATCTCCTGATGGAGTGCATATAAAAGATCTGAAGATATTTAACAGAGATCTTAAAGATATTGTATTAGTTGACAATGCAGCCTATTCATTTGGAGCCCATCTAGAAAATGGCATTCCAATTATCCCTTATTATGACAATAAGGATGATAAAGAGTTGAAGACTTTACATGACTTTTTGGTTGAATAAGTATTGCCAGCCCCTGATTGCAGATTGGTCTTACAATCAACATTTAGATTAAGAGAATATTTAAAATATAACGAACCTAAACTGGCTATTGAAAAGCTATTCTGATTATCCAATTAATTAATTTATTATATATATTTATAAAGATAGACTTATTTAATGGCATAATTGGAAGATTATTTTGACAGACAAAGTCATGTACCACAAGAAGTTACTCGATCTTTGAGATTAATCAAAGAATTAGATGAGAAGGTTACCAAAATTCAATAAAAGCTAACCACGTTAAGAAAACAATACAAATAGCAGCAAAATGAGAAAACCAAAGTGGAAATCGATTAATTATATGAGGAAAGTGTCAATTTATCCTAAGAGAAAATTAATCTTAGTGATAAAGTATATGAAGTTGTTGATAATGCTGTTTAAGTAAAATATCATAATAACTCAAGTAATTGGATAATGATTTAAAGAAATTTGAAGAAAATTTAAAATCAAGCATGGCACCTGATCATAAAAGAAGATTCCTAATTTTGAGTAAATACTAGAAGGAGAAGAGAAAGAAAATTAATCAAGAAATTGAATAAAGCAAAGAAATATTTTAGAATGCAAGTTAAAGTGAACCTTTGTATTGCATATGTTAAAAGCCCTCATTTGGATAAATGGTTATGTGCGATAATCAATTATGTTCAAAAGAATGGTTTCATCTAGAGTGTGTCAAACTAAAAGACTTTCCTCCTGAGAACGAGCCTTGGTTTTGTTCTATTGAATGCCGTAAAGAAGGCAAAGGGCGTATGAAAAAATGATGATTTTTCAGTTTTTAAAAACAACTAGGTTAAATATAGTCATAATTATCTGTATATTGAAAATATTAAATTTAAAGTAGAATTCTTGCCATTTATTTTCTCATTTGTAATTCTCTATTCTGTTTTTATTATATAATTTGAATGTGATTTATAATATTATAAAATAAAGGTAATTATTAATTATCTAAAGAATTATACTTGTAAAATGTAATTAGGTGAATCTATTATCTTTAATCTAAGTATTTATTAACATTATGTTTAAACGATGATAAATTTTTAATTTATTATTTTATGTTCAAATTACACTCGATTAATTACAATCATAATGATTCAGGATGATGATTAATAATTTATTTTCATTAGAGTCAGTAATATTAAATTTAATGAATGCTTAATTTTTAATTTGAGCAGGTGTTTAAATTAATAATTATATAAAAATTGAATCACATAGGCTTTTTAGAAAAAGTCATCAAGATTTTTCTATCAGCCATTACTTTGCCATGATTTTTAGCTAAGAAATATATAGCATCTTCAACAGTTTTGAATTTTAAGGCACAACTATGTTTTTATTTTGGGTCCTCATAAAATCTAAAGATATATTTGAAAATTACTTATATTCAACGATATCAGTTTCTATAAGAGGTTGAAGACTTTCAATGTTGAGTAATTCATTCGATAAATTCATCAGAAAGATGGTATCATTGGGTGCAGCAGCAATAAATGAATTTTTTGGTTTATATCTATTAGTGGCTTCAGATCCAATGAATCTTTCTTCATAGAAAGTCGTTTCGACCAGCCCCAATTCTTCTAGTTCATCTAAGAATGTTATTTCTTACAGAATTGAATAGGTAATCTAGGATATTATTGAAATATTACTTAAAGAGTTTGGCCTTGGAATACAACATTATTCAACTTCTCAATACATTGATCAGCACATTTTTAGAGATGGTATTCGACCAACAATGTGGATTTGTCTTTCTAAAATACCATTTTATCTATGTTTCCATAGATACTAAAAATGTTATAGAGCATATCGATTGTAGTAACAGAGTCATCAAAAGACTTGGCAACAATGACTCTGGATTTCTCATATTATTCAATGTGATAGATTTGATTAAGAGTAGTAATTTGAGTTTGCAACTATTATTATAATTATTGTTGTCGTTGTTAATTTTGAATTTCTTATAAAGCATTAACAGATTCCTATTTGATATAATTGATATAGCCATCAATAAGTTGATATTGAAGTAGGTATTAAGTTTGAAGTAATTTTCCCAATTACACAAACTATTCAACCCATTATGCTGAAGCTAGAGTATTCACATAATCAGGGACTTGGAGATCTAAACTTTGAGTTTGGAGTCTCATTTAGAGTACTTATTATTCATATAATCTTTGTTGTAAATGTTATTAGTATGAATAGATTGATTATTAAACATTTTAGGGGTAATTTTTGGTGGAATTTAGATTAGGATATTAATCACCTTGGCTGCCTACTGAAGTCTATTCGTCGTCAGTTGAATTATAAGAGTCACGTTTCTCTTTGGATTTAGAATAATCTATAGGTAGTTTATGAGTAAAATTACCTTTGCCTGCAGAATTCATATCAGAAAAGGTGACATTCTCTAGGTTGCTGGGATACAATTACATTCTTAAGGAAGCATCTTAATTCAAAATGTTGTTAGTGCATTGCTTTATTAAGTTTTATGCAGTTTCTTTGTTTTTGGTTTCCAAAAAGACTTTCCAAATTTGAGATTTTTCAAATATCAAAATCTAGGGATATATATTGTGCTTACTTTTTCGATCTAACCATATTAGGAGAAGTGTTTATAGATTTAATCGTGAGTAATTGTTAATTATTTCTTATTTTGAATACAAAGAAGAACGACCTTGGTTAATGCCATTTTGAGTTTGTTGTTTATTATTTTTAATCATTCGTAATCTGGGTTTAGGATTTAACATTAACTTACGTTAATTCACAACGATAATTTTAGATAATTAAAATTATATAATTTATATATTCAATATTATATATATATAAATGAAAATGACATTAATAAATGACCCAATTATTTAAATTATTAATGCAAACTCCAAATAACCTATTAATATTAGCCAAAATGAAAAAGTGTCGTAAAAATATGACTAAATTATAAGAGAAAATTGATTTACTAACATCAATCATTGATTAATAATCTATTCATATGTCAAAAGATTTTTAATGCAATCTCCCTCCTTCAGAATAAAAACCAGAAATAATTATTAGTGATGAAGCTAGTGTTGAGATTGTTCTAACTTCAAATGAACCAGAACCTGCAACAACTCCCCAAGATTTAAAATCAATAGCAAAGAAATTAGTTTCCAGATTTTATTATCACATAAGTGAAAAGATGAAAGAAGGCTCTCTCAATCAATTACAAGCCTTAAAATAAATGTGTAATAAACAATACAAAGACAATCCTTACAAGCAACTCTTCCAAGGATTCTAAAAACTATATGTAAATTCTGAATTAAAGTGTAAACAATGCAATAAATCGTTCTCGAATGCCATGCAAAGTACTACCCATGTGCTTTAAGAACATTTGAATGATCTATCCATTTTTATATGCATCTAATGTAAATTGACATTTCAAAATAAAGAAAAATTAGATGATCATATACTTCAATAACACAATCCAACCTTCACTAATCAAATTCCTGAAAAGTAACTCTAAAAACAGCCTACGTTTTCATTAAATAAGGTAATTTAAAATGTTGAGATGTACTCACTCCCACCTACTTTACCTTAACCAATAAAGTAGAAGATTCTTTTCTAATCTCAAATTAACCAATAAAGCAATTATGATGATTCGCGTATCTAAGAAGAATTATCAGAAAACAAAAATAGTTAAGAATAATTTTCAATGATCTCAGAATGTATGAAATAAGAATAATAATAAACACACACAAATGAAATGGATTCACTTAACAATCAAAAAAAAACATCAAGCATTAAAATTAAATTCATTACTAAAAAAAACCAATCATACAAATATTGATCTATTATTATATATAAATACTCACAAAATTCACTAATCCTTTTAAATATGCATTTATTATAATCGATTATTCTATTTATTTTTATAATAATCTAATATTATGATATTGTTTCATAAATCGAAGTGTTGTGTATGTGCAAAGAATTTATAGGCTTTGTAAAAATGACATAAATTTATCTAGAAAATTGAGAAAAACTTACAGATGCAAGATGTGTCACAAAGATGTTTGTAACAATTGCAGTGAAAACCGTGTTTAAGTATACGTAACTAGAAATTTAGTTATATGCCAAACCAAATGAATTTGTCAAAGATTTCAATAAACAATAACGTGTCTGCGATAACTGTTTTCGAGATTATACTTATTATCAATAGATAATTCAAGAAAATGGTCTCAAATGGAACACTAGATCCTTGTTTTAATCTAAATGGATTGGAAAATAAGAAAGAAAAATCAAGATGGAAATTTCTATTTCTGAAAATGACAAAGAAATTATTGATAAAGATGTTTTGGCAGGAAGAACTGATGCATTTCTATTTAATTATAGTTTAAGAGAGTTTATTACTTAATGCTAATAAGGCTATGATCAATCCTTAATAAGAGGATCCATAAATAGAGTTTTATAACTATTTGTGACTCATTATCCAATCATTGGATATTGTTAAGGAATGAATTTCATAGTTACAGTTTTATTGTGTTTATCAGATGAAGAGGGAGCATTTCACATTATGAATCACATTTTCAAATATATTATACCTCCAAGATTTTATTCCAATTCCTAGGGAGCAACTTTGATTGGTTTTTAAGCAGAGCTCTATTTTTTGAAAACTATTATAAAAGGTTTGAACCTATAATATTCTCAGTAATTGTCCAATTTCTTAGATGTTTCAGGACCTCAAATGTTATTAACCTTAATGTTGTAAGTGTTAAATACAAGTTCATTATTAATTACTTGGGAAGCAATGTTTAAGAGGAAATCCTTTATCCCTATTGATTAGGCAATCATTTTTTCATTGGTTTAGGCAGCTAAGTGTTGTGATATGAATCAGTAAGGACTCGTAGAGGAAATCGGAAAGAGTATATATATTTTACATATCTTCAGTCATTAAGCATAGTGATTTAGCCAAATTATTAAGTAAAGAAAATGCTTATTTTCCATCATTTGAGAGACAAGTATAAATTGAATAATATTATTCATAAACAAGCCGATCATGGGTTGATGAGGATAAATTCATACTTTTTAGACTTAAGAAAATCACAAATTTTGATCCTGAAGAGATACTACAAATTTAGAAAGAATTCAAAAAATATTGTTTGGAATCTAGAAATTTATTTATTATTAGAAAAGATCAAAAAGATGCTAAATAATTAGCTAAATTAACTGATTCTTCAGATGATGATGACCTTGATATCTAAGCCTTATAAATTTAACAGATCAAATCACAAAAGTATGGTATTAATAAGGATGCATTTCTTACTCTGATGGTATAAAAATCTAATTCTATAGAATTCAATAGGAATAATTTCACTAATATTACACTAAGTACCAATTATTAGATAGACAGAAATATGAATTAGTCTTTAGTTTGTTTGATGAAAATTAAGCAGAATTGTTAGATTTTAGAGAGTTCTTAACTTGTTTGAGTGTCTTACTAAGAGGATCTTTTGAATAAAAACTTAAGATGTTTTTCACAGCACATACTGGATCCAGTTTAAAAGCTTAAGAATTTCATACTTTATTATCAATAATAATTCCATAAGAATTTCAATAAAATGAGGAATATCAATAATTCTTGAATAGAATATAAATGGCTTAGTATTCTTATTAAGATATGCTATTGGTGTCCTAAGATCCATTTGTTTTATAAAATGAATTTCAAAGAGAAAGAAGTCAAACATCCATCATGATTGCTTAATCATTTAACCATATGAAAAATCATTGAATTTTATAATTTCGGGTCCCTTGCCACACCAATTATTTATATCATATTTTGAGATAATCACTCATCAATAGAGGAAATATATATAAAAAAGAGTAGAATTAATTATTACAAATTTCTGGTTTTATGAAACAATTTATATTTTTAAATATGTGTATTTTCTATTGTACTAAAATATAATTAATGATCGTAATCAACGATTGGTTTTGGCAACTTTCTCTAATTCATCTCTCTTTTTAATAGTGTATGACTTTTATCCATCTTCATTGGATGCTGCAATCAATTCATCAGCTAAGGCTTCTGCAATAGTTTTCATCTTCTTAAACACAGAATCTCTGACTCCCTTGGCTAAATTGTGAACAGCCTTTTTAATATATTTGAATTCCTTACTTCATTAACTCTTCTAATTGGAGCAACATCAACTGCTTATTATTTGGCAACACCACCTGTACCTACTTTAGTGAAATCTTCTCTGGCTCCTCCTCTTTAGACAGCTAATGACAATACTGCAAGTGGATTCTTGCCTGTCAATAAATGCACTATTTCAAAGGCATGTCTGATTATTGCTACAGCCTTTACTTTCTTACCTGTATTTCTGCCATGAAACATAAGTGCACCAGCTAATCTCTCAACAATTGGGCATTAAGCCTTTCTAAACTTCTTTCTTTGATATCTATTAATATTATCATCCAACTACATACCTTCCAGCAGTATGGGGAACAAACACTCTAGATTTTGATGTTTGAACTGCAATATAATCTTTGAAGCATTAATCTGTCACTTGTACTTCATCATAATCCCATTTTCCGAATAATTTTGGTTGATTTGCAAATTTAACTGTGGCTACAGATTCTTATTCAGCCATAATAATTTTTTTAAAAAGGATTTTTATTTATTTAAAATTTCATATATAAATATATATACATATACATGTGCTTATTTAGATTTGGTTAAGATACTTATGATCATTTTAATATATCAAATAATTGAGAGTATTTGAATTTACTAAGTTATTTAAAATGCTCAATAGATCTTCATCATTAATAAATCATCTAATTTATGTGATAAAAGGATATCAATTGAACCCAGAGCTTTCTTGAACTCCTAAATGCTACAATGATCTCCTGATAATTACAAGTAAGATACTGATTCATTTAGTGTTATTTCATCATCTCATAATGTAAATAGTTAATACTTAACATAACTGACTGTATAATACTTTGTGTTCATTAGATGAAATCAACTAGTTGGCTTTAATGAGATTTTAAAAAATGTAATTGCAATCACTATATAATTTCTACAATTTAAATCACAATATATCCAATCTTCTTATTATGGTTCTATGATTAATCTAGATATTAAAGTGGTTTATTCATCACTGAGTTCAAATGGATACTATTTAAAAGTGTCTATCAAATCAGATAATGTTAAGCATCCTTAAACAGTCTTTGAATAAATGAATCTAATCTAGAAAAAGGAATTTCATTTAATTTTAATTTCATAGATGATTCTAGTATACTGAAATTAATAACATTTATGAGATATCATTGAATCTAATCTTTTGAATCCTTTTTTTATTTATTATTACTGAGGCATACTTTTATTCCTATCGGATGTTTCATTAGGTTACTCAATCACAGCCAGAGGTATCTTCTTTTCTTCTTTCTATAATTAAAAGATTTAATTTTTTCAAGGTAGCTATAACCAGATGCAAATTATCAATATCCTTTTTATGATAAAAGTCCTTCTATTATAATTGTTACTCTAAATCAGTTATTTTCTTTTCCAATTCAGCTATCTTTTGATGTTTAAATACCAATAACTATGCTTATTTCTAATAGGCAATTATAGATCAAATTATTGCCATATTTTATTGAAATCTGCAATTACTTTTTTTGGATTACTATATTTAAAATGTGTATGTTTAATTCTTTCTCTTTTTCTTAGATTAGTCTTTCAGTTTATTGTCTCTTGAAAGTACTCTGATGTTTCTCAGTTTCAAGTCTCTATTATTGTATAAGCTACTAATTCTCATATAGCTACTTTGATAGATATATATTATCTTTGCTTAATTATCATTACTAGCAAATTAATTAGGATTGTCATATTCATTGATAATACCATACCTTAAATGTATTTAGGGTTGATATTTTTTAATAACTTTCAAATCTTCAATTTTTGTTGATTTTTTTTGATTATATTTTCTAATTCTTTTATTTATTTAGAAAAAGCAATAGTTGGGCAAGTCTAAAAATTACATATCTCCTTATTCAATGTTCTTTTGTAATCGGTTTGTTGAGTTTAGAGCTTTTAGACAGTTTGAAGTTCTTGTTCATTTGCAATGTTTTTTCCTGTATAGCTATTTATTTCTAAATGAAATTGCAATATAACTTACTTGGAGATGTTGTATTTCAAATCTAAGTTTGACATTCTCATCATTCAAGAGATTAATTTGCATTTTGAGAAGAATAACAGTTTCTTCTAATTTTTCCTTATCTTTTGGTTTTTTGGCTAATACTTGAATTAGTAGAACAAAAAAAACATACATTCATTAGTTGTTTAGAAATGTTATTCACACTCACTCTTACATCCTGATGATCTTCGAGTCGATGAAATACGAAAGGAGGAATTCATATGAGTTATTAATTATATAATCATATTATATCAAAATTATTAATGGATTTACAACATTCTAAATCTTATGCAGCATTAAACTAGTAGAATTGCTAACTATTTAAACCTAAGCCACTCTCAGTTAGATAATAGATGGGTAATTTATTAGAAGAATAAAGCAGCTTAGTTACCTATGCAAACTCCAAGAGTATAGTTAAAGGGTCTTACTACTCCAACAAAAATTGAAGGGGCTTCAAAGTATGATCTCGTTTTTTATATAGCCCATTATTAGATTAGCAGCTGCAGTTTTATTCATTTAAATCCTACAGAATCTCCACTGAAATAATAAATGATCCTCCTCTAGACCAAATATAAGTGATATTGAGAGAAAATGAGAGACTAAAACGATCATTAAATTAAAAATAACATATTATAGAAACATTAACTAGAACTCGAAAAGTTAAACCAAGATTTGACTTTAATGACTTTAAAACTAACTCCAGATCTCTTGTTTAACCACAAAGTTAATAGGAATCTATAAAACCAAAGAATATTGAAGTTAAATAGCCCATCTCTTAAAATTATAATAAACGCATTAAATTGCCAAAAATCGAGGATTCCATACCAAACAATGAAGATGAATGTAATTTCACATTTGCCAATAATTTTTTCAATAATAATACTTGCAAAAATTAAAAGATCAACTTCAAATAAGTGTTTACATAAGCTCATTTGAAGAAAAAATTTTTCACTTGATAAATTTATATTATAAAATGACAGAATATTGTGATAAAATTTTGACATCTTAAACCATCAGTGATCTAATGAAAAAGTACCACAACTCTAAAGAAAACAATTTACTCTAGATTTTAGTTAAAGATCATTGAAACTCTATCTCATTTGTCATATTTGCACATTTTATAAGAATCTGCAAAATAAATTACACGTTAAAATAGTCACTATAAATTTTATGCATGAATAAATGGAGTTGATGATTTTTATTAATTTGCAAAAAATTATTATTTTATTTGAGAATTCTCGTATGATTTATAGTATTATGAGTTGTAACAACTATCCATCTACCTAAAAAAATAAAATTGAGTAAAATTAATATATTAGAACTTAATAATTTCTTAGATTATAATATAAAATTAAAGAATTAAAAAATAATTTACTGGAGTCACTTTAGCTTAGCTGGATTCTAAACTTGCAATTTTAAATCTTCCTAATTAGTTTCAAAAACTCCTCATAATCACAACCTTAGCACTTTGATAAAGTAATTTTTGATATAAAAGTTGCCATGAGATACAACTAATCCATTTTGAGTTGAAGGAAAACTAATGTAAATTCTTATTTTATATAATCTAATATAAATCTCTATTAATATATCTAGATATATTACAAAATTTTAGGAGATCTTAAAAAATAAATGGATATCTGCTTCTTATGAATATAAAGCTATAAACATAATATATAATTTCAAAGAATTAATTTATTTTTGATACTACATAATCTTTAATAATTAGAAGTTTAAATAATTGTAAACTTATTTCATCATGATCTAAACTTTTTAGAATAATATTAACAATTTTCTATTTATATATGTAAACTATATTTCTGGAATGTTTAAATTTAGCAGTTCCATTAAAACAAACTTGAGTTTATTATACTAAATATATAATTCAGTTATTTTGATATTGAATTTATTTAATTAAGTTATTGATATTTTTGAAAAATGTCGAGCAGCAATCAACAAGATGAATCATATGATGAAGAGTAAGAAGATGAAGAAATTGAAACCGTTCAGGAAAATGGTTTAAAATAGTTATTCAAAAATCAAGGTATATGATGTTAAATTAACTTAAAATTAGAATAATTCATGTAATAAATCAATTTTTTGAATGAACAAGCAGTGCATAAAATTAAACTTTAAAAGTTTAAGGAAGCCATGAAGTTACTTTAATAATCAGAATAAATGTTGGAAGTATTTTATAGTCTTAATCCATAGTATGCAGCAAGTTGTGGCAAAACAATAGATAAAAACTTAATTATTGTTGTTCTCTACAATCAAGCATGTGGATATTAATGGTACAGCAAATAAAATAATAATAGTTAATGGGTTTTGGATAAATGTTCTAAATATTTATCTGGAGTGATTTACAATATGGAAGAAAGCATGAAAGAAGAAGAATAAGATACAAATAAACTTACAAGCACCTAAGAAAGTGATGCTTCTTTAGTCAAAAAGAAAGCCTTTCTAGCAAGAACACTCTTATAACATACAGCCATCTTGAGTCAATTAGGAAAGTATCTATTAATATTAAATTAGACATAAATTAGCTCTACAGTCAGCTAGGAAGGCAGCAAGTACGATGCGAGAAGTGTTCAAGATAGCTTTCCTTTTTTGTAAGGATTGGCTAAATAAAAATGGATCCTTGGGGTCTGCAACAACAGCCAATTCTAGTTTAACAATGAAGTCAAAATAAAAAAATAATAAATTCTAAATGAAAGATGAGGTAGAATTCAGTCGATTAGTTATTGATGCTAGTAAAGATATTCTATAAGATATGTCTAAATAGTAAGATTTGGATAGTATGTCCAATAATGAGTAGTTGATTCTAAGAGAAGCTAAAAAGTAATTATATTTCTGGAGAAATAATCCTGAAAATAATGAAAAGCATATTCGCAAAGAATTAAAATTAGATCAAAAAGAAGAAGACTATCGTTCTATTCTTGGAGTTTAAAATGTCCAAGAATGGATTTAAACCTTTAATATAGGATTCATAATGCACATGACTCCTCAAATATATGAGGATTTCTCATCCTAAGGAGAAATGCTCTATGAGATTTCCAAAAGGTTGTTATTGGAAAAAATCATCTATCTGTCCATATCCTATTTCACCATTGCGACTGAATTAAGGTTCATTGAATTAGACAAGGCTAAACAATAAGGAATCAAAGATATTAATACTGATGAGTTTAAATTAAGTGAGTTATATCATCTTAAGGCAGTTGAGATTGCTTGTAAAAATATTACATGTTCATCTCCTTATATTAATCACTTAATTACTAGCTATCATAAACATTATAATTCTAATTTAGATACCATACAAGAGGAATCTATGATGTCGATGGTATCAGAAGTGAATTATAAAGAACAAAAATTACAAAAATTGAAATAGATGCAAATTCAAACTTAAAGAGAAAATCAAAATATCCTCAAAAATTTAGCAGAATTAAAATTGAATGACTCATCTCCTACTGGAAAATTAATTAGTTCTTTTTTAAATCAACAATCTCCTTTAAAAACCAATCGAAATATTAGTGACAATGTAAAACCATAAACCAATCTGATGGAATAAATGATTATTAATAAAAAAAGATAATAAATGCCATCAGATACATCTCCTAAACAAAAGATGCAGTTTTTCAATGGCTCTTCTAACAATAGTTGCGAAAGAATAAATGAGAAACTTCTAAAGACTTAAGAAACATTACCTATATAATTATAACCCTACAAATCAACTAAAACAAATTTTAATAGTCTGATTAAGCAAACACAAAACACTTAACCATCTTCAAACCAAAATAATAATGGAATTTTAAAAGCATTTTTTTTTGATAATTGCAGAACTGAAAGAATGAATTCCAATTCAAATTAATCGCCTAAGAGAGTTGGTAGGTCTCCTGATAAATCTCCAGAACGATCTCAAAATTCCTTGAAACCTAGAAATTCAGCTATGACAAATAAAAGTCCATATAATAGGCCTAGAACAGATACTGAACAATGTAATATTTTGAAGCATATTAAATAGAGTGTCATATTAAGTTTGAAACCATTTAGTAGTTATTAAGAGGGTAATCTGGTACTAATTTAAAAAGAAAATGAATATAACTTATCATTCTTGTTTGTTTTTATTTATAAGGGCTTTCATTAATATTTTAATAATAAAAATTTTCTTAATTTATAATATAAAAAATGCTTTATCAAAATTTAAATTGGTTAGATGTAGCTGTTGTTTGAAATGCCGAATTTTTCATTGCTGGAGATGGATTAGTTCGATAAGTAACATATTGACAGCTTTTATGCATCCGTTTCAGTTCTTTTTGTTTATTATTTTAAATAGACTTATTGTTATTATAATTTTACTTATTACATTTACGAGATATTGGCTGCACTGATATCACAGGATGTGCTAGTATTTAAATGTTTATAAGCATAATTTTAAACATCTTATTAGAAATTCCTTTGGCTTTTAAACATCTCATTCATTATTTTATTCATTTTATTCATTCTAATTTATTAACCAAAAGAGTTAACATCCTTAACTTCAAATATGTAATGGTTTTAATTAAATGCAGCAGCTTCTGCAGTGACATCTTCCATTTGACTAAAAGTTCTTTTAATCTAATGTACATTTGAGCTTGAATCATTGTAATCAATTTGGATTTCGTTTTGTTACTATTAGTCACTTGAATCCTACTCCTTAGATTTAAGATCTCTTTCTTTTTCTTTTTCTGTTTTTTTATTCAAGTGTTTGAACAAATCATCAAGATATTTTTACTTTTCCTTTAATTCTAAATTGCATAAAGGTTTAAAGCACCTAAATTCCTCAATTACAGTATTAGTTCTTCTTTTCATCATTGGCAAGATCTCAAAAAATCTTTATCCTTAGTATTTTACATATGGTTTTAAATCTTCTCTACTTTTTTTATATAAAACTCTTAGTTTTTTAACAGATTCCTTTGTGTCATTTACTTTATACATTTCTTCTATTTCATTGAAATATTTATTCATATATTCTATTTTAGCCTTATAATCATGTTTTAATTAAGCCTCTTTGGCTTTAAAATGAGTATTCAATTGATCTTCATACTGCTTATCAATGCAGATATCTTCAATGTTAGTTTTCCAGCCATTATTAAATTAATGTTTTAACTCTCCACCAACATTAGCCCACCCATTCACAGTAGTAGAATGACTGGGTTAAATTTTGATGATTTTAGCATAAGGAGGTCCATCTTTAATTTAGGTAGTGTCAAATTTGCATATTCTTTTTTAACTGAAATCTCTACATTATTTGATATTTGGATGATTTTCTCTTAAATACATATAAGCAACAATTCTATCCATATCTGCCTTAACTCCATATTTTTTCTGAAATCTAGGACAGGGATCAAAAAATGGAGCCTGACTTTTACTTTGCTATATTTACTTGCTATTACTTAGGAGGATCATTATTGATGTCCAGTCTTCGTGAAATGATGGTTTTAGATTTCATAATAATTAATAAATTGCATATAACATTTATTTCATTATTAAGCACATTAGACTCTTTATCCGCCATGGCCTCCTCTTTCATCATCATCATCCTCCTCATCCTTTTTACCCCCTTCTGGATTTGAGTTTACATGAGCCTCATCGTATTCTTCCAAATACAAAGTCTTTTTGGCATCAAGTTTTTATTATTATTTAGGACCTGGCAACACCTGAAATAAATTAATAGAAATACTTTTTTCAATTATTCAATCTAATCATTTTTGAGTTATCCAGGAAGTGGGAATTCGACTTCAAATCTAATATGAAGATCTCCTTCACTCATGGCATCTTTATAACAAGGCATACCCTTCTTTTTCACAGTCTTTATTTGTGCTAACAGAATATTTACTTATATTACCAGGTGAGATAATTTCTCCAGGCTTAGTCGAGATGTGTAGATTTGTTCCATCTAAAAATTTCAATGTAAATTGCGTTCCTGTCAAGGCTTCGACTAAAGTGATCTTCTTATTTATGTAGAGATCAGCACCCTTCCTTTCATAAACATCATGTTTCTTTATTTTAATTCTAACATAAAGATCTCCTGCCATAACTCCTGGCAATTCATCGCTCTCTCCATAAAATTGATAATCATGTTCATCAGGTACACCTCTTTCCAATGGAATTTCAATCACTTTCTCTTAATCTATTACCTTATTTCCTTTGCATTTTTTGCATCTATCCTTTTCTGGGAAAATTGTTCCATCACCACCACAATCATTGCATGGTCCTGTGGATTAGGAATACATTCCTGGACCAATCATCTATAATTTTTGCACCATTCCTCTTCCTTTGCATGTTGTACATTGTTTTGCATTAGCACCACCTTTTCCTTCGCATCCCTCACAAACTCTTTTTCTTTTGTGAGTCAAATGAATCATCTTTCCTTCAAATACTTCTTCAAGTGTCACTTGTTATTCTCTCATTTTTGCTTTCATTTTCTTTGGTCCTTATTCCCTTCTTCCTCCGCCTCCGCCGAAGAAATGGCTGAAGATATCACCCATATCTCCACCGCCACCGCCATTTTTCACACCTTCCATACCAAAACGATCATAAAGGTCCTTTTTTTCAGGATTTGAAAGAATTTCATATGCTTCTGTCAATTTTTTGAACTATTATTTGTGAATTTCAATACTTTTTCAGGATCACCACCTTTATCTGGATGCTCCTTTACAGCCTTCTTTCTAAAAGCCTTTTTGACATCATCGGTAGTACTTTAGGGAGGTATTCCTATAAGATCATATAATCCTTTGTTGTCAACTTCTCCTGGACTATTTGAAGATTCTTCCTCTCCCATCCCACCAAAAGGGAAACCTCCAGAGAAACCTCGAAATCCACCTGAGAACATCGATTAAAATATTTAAAAATAGTTTAAAAATTTGCCAAATTTTCATTATAAAAAAAGAGATGTTTCTAGAAACTCTAATTTTTAATATTTTTTTTATTTTATTTTTTTTTTACTTAAACCCACTTTTTCACAATCCTTCTTCATATTCATCTTATTTGTCTTTAAATACATTAATAAATGTGCATCGGATCAGGATGTTTCACAAAAAACAAATTAGATTAATAATTCTCATCTATACTAATTTAGAAGTTTAAGCTTTTTTTATGATCAGAAGATCAACAATTCCACATTTTGTTTAAGAAATTAATGCTAAAATTGAGTTCTATGCATCTATAGAATCAATAAAAACAATTTAAGCTTAGTTTCAATATTCTGAAAATTTCTTATTTTTTGAATAAATTCAAATTCTCCTTATTTATATCTACAGAATTCTAAACTTCATTTTCTGTCATTTGAATATAATGATGAATCATACTGGGTATTGAATTCAATTTTTATCTTCTAAAACCTCTTTAATGTTAGATTTTCAAACAAAATATTGGAGTTCTTGTGATAATTTTAATTTGGGTTAAATTTAAGTACAAGAATTTGGCATCTTCTAATACCAAAGATTAAATGAACCTAAGTTTTTCAGAGCCCAATCAAGTTGAAATGAATTTGAAGATCAGAAGCATCAAATAGAAGATACAAAAAAAACTAAATCTAATAATAACATAAAATGAGGATATAAACAATGATGAAAATAAATTCTTCTTTAAAAATGCATTCTAATATTCAAGATTCGATTTATTTATCTTAGATTTGCTGATTATTTTATTCCTTTTCTTATTTTAAAAAACCTAAATTTAGTCTATGAGTATTTCCAGGTGAATATTTCAAATTTACTTTATTGCTCTAATTTGATTTAACATTTAAGTTTTAAGTTCTATCAGTTTTCTCAGGACTATAATTTGGCTGAGTTTTTGTAATATAATTATATTAAGAGAGCTTTTGTTATTAAAAGTCATCAAGTTTATATCTAAAATTTAAAATATATCTAACCTAATATCTTAAAATCTCCTTTATGTGTTAGAATCTTAGGGTTCAAAAAACTAAGGTTTATCTTGCTGATTTTTGAAATGTTGTCTGAAATTCATAAATCCGGCTAATCCTTTTTAATCTTATGATGAAGGCCTATTGTATATGATATTATTTTATCTAAATTCCCTCTCATTAAAAAATAATTAAGATATATATGAATGGAGGTCTCCTTTCATTCTGTTAATTTTGTGACTCTTTCTTTCTTCTTATTATCTGTCTTCGTAGGGAGATTTTATTATTTATTATTAATTCTATTTGGGTTAAACGCGAAGAGTTAAGCATTCTTTTTGAGGAGAACTCTGATGTAGAGGTTCTGGAATGTATGATTATTTATAAGGCTTAGGATTCGTTATTAAAGATGCCTTATTTAACAGAGTGCTTTAGAGAAGTGAACCATTGCTAAGTTCAGTTTAGTTTCTGAAATGATGATGTTGACCATCAATATAGCTTTTAATATTCTTTTTTATAGTTTAAAGATTTCCGTCTACACCTTCATTAACCTTTAACTGTAATTTACTAATATATAGTTCTTCAGGCTGTTATTCATTTTTCTTCGGCTAGTAAATAGAAAAGCAATCTGTTTCATTTTAAACAATATCAGATTTGTTTTTTTACTTTTATCCTTCTTCTACTAACAAATCTAACTTTTCTTATAATTAATCAAGGGATTCACAATTGCTAATAAGTTTTTGAATACTTTTATTTGATGTCACATCAGCCTTAGTTTCGTTAATTTGTTCCTTATTTTCAAACATAGAAAGTAATTTAAGTTTTTCATTTATTATTTATAATTTATGTTCGTTTTACTTTTATTTATATTCCCAATTTTCCCAAACCTTTCCAAAATTACTTTTATTTAACTCAACATTTTTAAATAACTAGGACCTAAAATAAAGTTAAGATTTACAAATCTAAACCTTTTGAATATTCTTAAAAATCTTCAATGGTTAATATTTAGGATCCATCTTTTTTCAAAGCTTTAAATGCATCTTGTGCACTTTTAAATTTGGAGCTTAAGTTCTTTTTCAAAGACATCCATATCAATAACATTTCTTAATTTTGTTCAATTGATACTTTTTATTATTCAAGTTGTTGAACTTCAGACATTTTAAATTATTTTATTAACAAATAAATTATAAATCTATAAATTAATAACTAATTGTTAAAATACAAAAGAGTACTAAATTAACAATATGATATTTAATAAATAACTGTTATCAATTAATTGGACCGATATATCTATGATTTTTAAATTCACCAGCATATACAATGCCTTCCTTTGTAATAAATTTTCCTTTTCCATGCATTTTATCCTATAACCAATCTCCAACATATTGATCTCCATTTCTTATAAGTTAAATTACATTAAATACCCAAAAATATATTATCCTTTGCCATGTTTTTAATCCTAAACCCATTCTCCATCATAAATGTCATCTGTTAAAGCATGGGTATACTTTCCTCTTCCATGTTTTTTATCTGCTAGCCATTCCCCCTCATACCTGTCTCCATTAGCATAAAGCATAACTCCTTGTCCTGTTCTTTAATCTTTTCTGAATTATCCTGTATATGTATCTCTTGATGAAGCGTATTTAAATTCCCCTTCCCCATCTTTCTTGCCATCCCTAAAATATCCTTTATAGTGATCTCCATTTTCATATTGCAATATTCCAAGCCCGTTCCATAAATCATTTCTAAATTAGCCCTTATATATCGATTATCCGTTGCACATAGTATAAACTCCATCTCCATTTTTTTAATTCCTGTCCCATTCCCCTTCATAAGTATCACCATTTGGATATTACATTTTAGCTTAACCACACAATTGCCCATTTACCCAATTTCCTTCTACTCTTGCTCCATCATTAAATTTCATGATTCCAAAGCCGTTTCGCTCATTCTTCTTAAAATCTCCTACATAAACATCTCCATATGCATAACCAGCCTCTCCCTTTCCATGTCTTTCTCCTTCTCTCCAATCTCCATCATAATATTCATCTGTGCTGTAATAAACATATCTTCCCTTTCCATGCTTTTTATCATTTTGCCAATCTCCATCGTAAGTATTTCCATTCAAATAATAATATTTTCCATGTCCATGTTTCAAACCATCTGATAATACTCCAGAATATCTTTCACCTAAGTTTACTAACCAAAATACCATTCGCGAATAAATAATGCCCTGATCCATTAAATTTATCGTCAAACCATTCCCCCAAAAATATATCACCATTATTATAGTAATATATTCCATACCCTAATCTAGATCAAATTAATTTTTTTACCACTTCTTTTATCATTCGATAACTACCCTTCATATCTACTACCATCAACAAACTTCTTTATTTTGCAATCTCCTCTTAAATTTCCCTTTTCATCATAAATATAGAGTTATTTGAATTCTTCTATAAGTTTTCTTCTACTCTATTTTCTATGAAACTATATACTTCCAATTATTATTATCTAAAGCCTTCTATGTTCTTTGCAGGCTTGTTTTCTAAGATATGTACTATATTTGATTATAAAGCACTCTTTATTTCTGACATATAATTATAAAGAATAAAATTTATTTAAAGAGGTCAAATCAATAAATCATCCATCGAATAATCATGAAAGAATTCTAAAATTATAAATAAAAACAGCTGAATTTCTCATTTGGGAAGAAGTTAAATTCAGTGTCTATTATAAAATATATAATGCAATTCCAAAACCTCTGCGATTGATTATGGATTATGCAAAGAAATTTAAATAAATAACATATGTATTATTACTCTGAAATGAAGGAATGGAAAAATAATATGGTTGAATAAGAAGAAACCTGTATAATTCATTCTTATCAAACTTTGATGTTTGAGAAATCAGCGCTTTAGACAACAGATAAAGCTTATTCGCTGATTCCAAGTTCTCTAGTGAATTCATTCTTTAAGTTGGTGTAGGTATCGGTTTCTTCTGCGTAGGTATTGTTTTCCAATTCCAATTCAGCTGTGTATTATTTTCTGTCAGCTTCTCTTTAGTCTCTGAATTCAGTCAATTAATCGATCTTTTCTATAAATTAATTATATTATATAATTACCATTAGTGGCTGTCAAATCAACATTGACTCTGTTAATTTATCTTTAGAATTCAGCATATTCATCATCTAATTGTTCAAGATATTCTTCATGATCAGCTTAAGCTTAGGCTTCAGCAGCTGTTTAAGCATTGATTGAATCAACAACAGCGTTTCTGAATTCATTAAGAGCATCAACAATTTAACCAATAATGCCTTAGTCAGAAAAGTTTTAATTTGAGGCCAAAGAAATAAGAGCCTTGATCATTGGAGCCATCTTAGATCTTGATTTAATCTTTGCTTCAATGTTTTTCAATGAATTTTAGAATCTTCTAACTTAAAGAAGTGATGGATTTGTTAATGTTTCAAGAAGAGCAAGAGCATCATCTACAGCAGCAGTTGCATCATTCAATTCAGCAATTTAGAATTCGAAATCTTCGTGTTCTTATTCTCTAACAAGGATAGCCTCATCATAATTCTTTCTATTGGCTTCTTGGTTTTCTTGAATTTATTCAATTCTAACTTGAAGTTATTCTCTTCTTGGGAACAACAAATTATCTAATGTGTCTTATGTATTATTAACATCTAAAGAAATTGTATTTATTATTACCAATAACAGCATCTTAGATGTCCTATTCGAGGCTAACAACTAATGCATTGTGCTCATTGGTTCTGACTTTGAAATTCAATTCTAATTCTTCTAATTCTTCTTCTAGATCATTAATAAGCTCTTCAATAGCATCAATTAACTCTTAAACTGGACCTCCAGCCATTGAGTGGAGCTCAACTAAGTGGAGTAATGCACTTCCATATGTGCTCTTTTGAAGGTCTGTTGTAATTTTAGCTAGATTTCTCTCTTACACTCTGGCTGTGAAGGCTACTGCAATCAAAGCGATGAGTAATATTGTCTTCATAAGATAATTATTGTTATTGCCAACACAAAAATTACATAGTTAAACAATAAAAACGACTAGTCTTCATTAATTAATAAACAATTAAAAACGCTATTCTATTCTCATTATTTTATAATAACATTATTATTATTTAAACTACTATTATTCTTTAATCTTATTTTTCAAAAAGAATGTTGCAACATTCTTATCAGTTTTAATATTTGCTTATCTAAGTAAAATAATATAAAAAATAAATTGTAGAAGTTATTAAATGTTCTTATTATTATTTGTAAATCTTAAACTTTCCCTGTTTTATGTAAGAATAATTCTTAACAAAAATAATCAAATATTTGATGCTCTTTTTCATTTAGTGATTCGATATTTCATGCTTGTATATTTCAGGTTAGTTTTATAATTTTATATATATAAATGTACTGTTATCAAATTTTAAAATTAATTTATAATCAACACGGAGAATCAATTGTCTCAAATATATAGAGAGAGTATTTTGAGATTCTACTTTCAATCAAGTACTCTATAGATTCCAAATGAACTCTTGATTGAATTAAAGTACGAATTGAATTGGGCAATGTTGATTGATAGGAATTAACATTCTTATCTTCAAATTGATTTATTGAGAACATTAAGCATTAAACTTCTTAAATTGGTATGAGATTGTTTTTCAATTGTGAAATTTAGAGCTGCTTCAAATAAGGTAGTTGGATTAGGTTAAAATAAATTGTTAAACTAAAATCACTAAAGTATTCTTTGCTGTTACTAAGAATAGCTTACTAAAAATTTAGAGTAAGTCATTCCTCAATTGAAATCATTTTAATGGAATCCTAAGAATATCAATAAGAAACTAAATACTGTTTTTTAAAAAAACTCTGAATATATATGCATGATTATTATATAAATGCAGCTAGTTCTTTAATCAAGACCATTTATCATAATCAATCATTTCAGGAAATTCTGATCTATATTTCAATTCAGAATTATATTATAATAATCTATTTTACATTCAAAGTAAAAATAAGAAAGTATTCTGTTTAGCATATCAAAAGCGATGTAGTTTTTATAAACAAAGGAGGTTCATCAGTATTTGTTGTAATCTAATTCTACATTCCTATTCATATTTTATTTAATATTTTATTTAAAAACGGATAGATAATAGATGAAAAAAGTCTTCTTAACACTTCTTATAATTGCAGTAGCTAATGCAATATAAGTAGAAATGAAAACATAAAATTTAAAAACTCGAGAAAGAAGTAACACTTTATATATATTTCAAGGCTTAAGTTTTTAGGAAGCCAATGATATTAATACATCAAAGTTTACATGCTAAATGAGGTTCGATTTCTATGATTACACCATCGTAGAGTTATCTAAGTGGGCTGATATTGTTGAACATAAGGATTAATTATAGAAGGATATAACAATTATTGACCAAATCGCTAAATTAGTGGAAAAAGCAAAGCAAATTGATGATGTTTAATAATAAAGTAAGTATTGTAAATATTTAGAAATGTTCTTGCAAATTACAGGAAGTTTATCGAGTTCATTATTGGACATGTCACTTGCTTAATTAAATCATTAATGGGCAAGAGGAAATCTAGATTAATGCATAGAATATATGAGATAATTCTAAAATACTTAAAGCTATGATGAACGTGTTGCTATGGCAAATAAAATTGAAGATTATTTATAGAACATGAGGTATTAAATAAATAGAAATTTAAACGAATGCTCTTAATATCAATAGCCTACAAGGTTACGAGAAAAGATAAGAGATTTGTAAATGAAAAAATAGGAATGCTAATATAATCATAATAGAGTTGATAGTTGGGATGATAATAATTAAAACTAATATGAATACCCTTCTAACTAAGGTTCAATTCCTTAATACTAAATACCAAAAACTTCTAGGTAGGAATCATAAGGTCCTTAACCTATCCTTTATAATGATGATGAAGTCTGTCCTTAAGGCGAAGAGGATGATACACCCTAAAATGCTAACGAAGAGGAAAGTAATGATAAATAAAGAAATACATCATCATCTGAGGAGGAGGAGGGGGAAGAGGGTGTAGAAATAGAACCAACCCCAGATAGTAATAGAATTGATGGAGAAGAAGATGATTTAGAATTAGATTCCAAAAAAAAAAAACCAAGAGAAATAATAATAGAAAGGGAATTTGGACCAGATTCTGGACATCAAAATAATTATGATGAACCTGATTTGTGTGTTAGTGGAGAGGAAACTGAGGTCGAATCAGATATTAATGCAAATGATTAGTCAGACCCTATTTAGTAAGATAAAGAAATACAAAAACCATAAGAAGAATAAGAGGAAGAAGAAAAACCATAAGAAGAAAAAGAGGAAGAAAAATAATAAGAAAATTAAAAAGATAAGAATCTTCCTTTGGAAATTCCTCCAGATGACGATGAAGAAGTTGTTGAAGGAGAGATAGTAAAAGCAGATGGAGTAGGAGCTTCTACAGATGGTAGGGTAGGATCATAGGAGAATAATAGATAAACTTAGCAATAGTAAAATAATAGATAGGAATAAGTAAAATCAAATGATTAGGTTTAGTAAGGAGCCAAACAATAAGATGAGGCTAAAACGACACAAGAATAATAAAATACACAATAGTAAAATAATGAAGATGCAGGAGAGGAAGATATTTATGAATAAATTGAAGTAGAGGAACGTGATGGTAATGGAAAAGTCAAAAAAGTCATGAAAACGGTGAAAAGAAGAGTTAAAAAAACTAAAAAGGTAAGTGGATCTTCTGGATCTTCATCCTCCAAATCATCAAAATCTTCAAGCTCTGCTAGTGGATCAAAATCATCATCTTCCTCATCATCCTCTTCCTCATCATCATCATCATCATAATAATCATCAGCCTAAGGATCGTCATAAACGTCAGCATCATCATAATAATCATCAGCCTAGGGATCGGCATAAACGTCATCATAATCATAATAATCATCAGCCTAAGGATCGGCATAAACGTCAGCATAATCATCAGCCTAAGGATCGGCATAAAGGTCATCATAATCATCAGCCTAAGGATCAGCATAAACGTCAGCATCATCAAGTTAGTCTACAACTAGTAGCAGTCAATCTAATAAAGCTGTAGAAGGTAGTTCATCAATTTCAAGCTAATCTACTCAATCAAATGCTTCTGTTTCCAAAGTTAACTCTTCACAAGAAGGAGATGATGCAGGTGAGGAAGATATTTATGAATAAATTGAAGTAGAGGAACCTGACGGTAATGGAAAAGTAAGAAAAGTCGTGAAAACTGTGAAAAGAAGAGTTAAAAAAACTAAAAAGATAAGTGGATCTTCTGGATCTTCATCCTCCAAATCATCAAAATCTTCAAGCTCTTCTAGTGGATCAAAATCATCATCTTCCTCATCATCCTCTTCCTCTTCCTCATCATCATCATCATCATCATCATCCTAATCTTCATCATCATCAGCATAAGGATAGGCATAAACATAAGCATCATCAAGTTAATCAACTCAATAAGTTACTTCTGCCTCTAACTCTAATCCTCCATAAGATGGAGATGGCGAGGAAGATATTTATGAATAAATTGAAGTAGAAGAACCTGATAGTAATGGAAAAGTAAGAAAAGTCATAAAAACTGTGAAAAGAAGAGTTAAAAAAACTAAAAAGATTAGCGGATCCTCTGGATCTTCTTCCTCCAAATCATCTAAATCTGCAAGCTCATCTAGCTCTTCCAGCTCCTCTAGTTCATCAAGCTCATCAAGCTCATCCAGCTCATCAGGGTCATCCAGCTCATCAAGTTCATAAAGCTCATCTAGTCGAACTGCTGCTGGAAGTACATAAAAGTAAGCAGATTAAGACTAATAAAAAAATTAGAAGGTTAGTTAATCTGTAGCTGATAGACTAACTTAAAAATATTCTGAAGCTGAATAAAGAGAATAAGGATAAGGATAAGGGTCAAGCAGCAGTTCAAAAAGTTAGTCAGTTGCTACTGGAGGATAAAGCAGTAGTAGTACTTAAAAAGGAAGTTAAAGTAGTAGTTAAAGCTAAAAATCTGAATAAAGTTAAACTACTACTAAATAATCTTCATCCTCAACATCAAGCAATAAAAAAAATTAGTCCAAAAGTTCTTAAGGATAAAGTAACAATAAATAAAAGAAAAAGGTTGTGAAAACTGAAGACGGAGAAGAAGTTTGGGAAGAATTTTCAGTAGAGGAAGTGACTGAATATACAATAGATTCCGATGGGAACACACACGTTATTTCTTAAACAAGTACATAGGTTCCAAAAACAAAGGCATACTTTTTAAATTCAATTGGAGACTAATAAATCAATCTTGATATTGAAGAAAATAATGATGATGCCCCTAATGTTTCATTAGAGGATGCAAGAAATGAATCTTTTTCTAATGAAGATTCTATAAATTATTAGGATCAATTATCTGATGATTATCTTTACGAAAAAGATGGAGATAATTAAGATGAAACTCAATATGTAGATGAAGTCTAATAGGAAAATGACCTTGTTAATTAAAATGAGTAGACTGGAGAAATAAGTTAAGATGTTTAATTCGATTATCGATAAGAATACATCTATTATGAAATATAAGGGGATTAAGTAATTTATTATGAATATGATCCTGAAATTAGAGCTTATCATAGAGTAAATATGATTGATCCAGAATAAAAAAATTCGCTAATCATACAAGATTCATAATTTGATGATTTATTAGATAGTGTTATGGATGATACTAAAGATTAGAAATCATTGCCAACAGAATAGATTAGTGGATAAGAAACAACAAATAAATAAGATTAGTAAAATTAAAAGAAAGAAGAAGTACCAAAAAAAGAAGTTGCAGATGCTTCGAATAATTAAGAAAAATCCTCTGGCGTTTAAATCAAACCTAATGATAATATAGGCCAGCCTACTAATAGTGAAAATAAATAAAATTAATAAAGTGATATTTAAAGTGCAGAAGAAAAATCTTAAGTAAAAGTAGATTAAAAGCCTGAGCAGGATCAAAATAGTGTGAAAAAAGAAGAGTAAGGTGAATAGAAAAAAGAAATTATTGAAAGTGTTGTAAATTAAATAAAAGAAGAAAAAGTAAAAATAGATGGTATAAGTGTTGAGAAAAAAGAAGAAGTAAAGGATGATAAAGAAAAATCTTTAAAAATTCAAACATTGAAAGAAGAGTTCAATCCTAATGAACCAACTTAATATGAACCTCCTAAACATAAGGTAAATACTAGACCAAAAACAGAAAAAGTCAATGTTCCAGTTTCAACAAAATATGCAAAATCCTCTTATGATGGAGAAGTAGTAGAATAATATGAATTTGCAGACAGAGAGCTACTACAGGATTCTGATGAATATGGATATGGATTTTGGATGAGGTACACTTCAAATGCGCCTAAAGTGCATTAAAGAAAACCAGAAACCTACTACTTCCTATCTCGACTAACTTCAAATCAAGATTATAAAGACTTAACCTATTATGGGGACAGAACTTTAGCTATTTTTATGATAGAGAACTCTTTTATTTTCTCAACCTACGATCATTAAGAAAAGAAAAAAGTGAAAGATTAGATTGTGGCTTTAAATGAAGACTTAGACAGCATGTGGTATTTTATCACATTCTCTTACAGTACAGCTAAGAAAGCAGCAGTTGGGTTTGTTGTTGGTTATGGTGATAATAATAAGGTTCTAAGAAGTGAAATTACATGCAGACATGTCCCACCTTAGTACTTTAAGCTTATGATTGGTGGAAAACACATGACTTATGAAGGATTAAATGGACAATTTGCAAACATCTTCTATGATATTGATGCACCAGCATTTATCGATACTGAAGTTAAAGTTAGAGAGATCATTAAAACTATTTCAAACGTTCCTTAATAAGTTACAAATTTAATAGATTTAGAAGTAATTACAATTCCAAAATTATTTAATGCAAACACTGCAAGCGATTCTGTTATTCTAGATCCTTAGGAGTCTTAGTTGATTATTGAGGAGTATAGTGTTGCAGCATGGTTTAGATGGATTGATGATTTGAAGGTAGATAGTGAAAATATGTTCTAAATCTTTAATTTAAGATCTAACGAAAAGAAATCTTAAGGAAAAGGAATATTAGGAGATAGATCACTCGAGATGCATTATATTTTTGGAGGAGGATCAAAGAGCTCAGTCTACTTTAATACTTATACAATCGAAGGCAATAAAGCAAAAGGATCAATATACCTTTCCAAAGCTGTTTAATCCCCTAACTACTTATGGCACTATGGTTATATGGCTTATGATAATGACAAAATGAAAGTGTATGGAGCTTTAATTAGACCAGGCAAATCTGATGAGATTACTTTTGATCCAATCCAACATAAATTGATAACAAAATTGTTTTTCACTTTAGGAGGAGATGATTAAATATCCCCATTTAATGGAAAAATTGGATATGTAGGAGTTTACTTAGGGCCAGGAGCATATAGATAAGCACTTAATTTTGGTTAACAATTTTACTATGGAGATGGTGCAATGAATGTATTTTAATTAATGAAACCAATATAATATAAAGATGATGCAACTGAACCTAATGTCGTTAGAGATTGTTATTATGATGCTGAAAGTGCATTAGTAGACAAGATTCTCATTCATGACGACTCAAAATTAAGAATAAATGGTTAAAGTGAATATTCATTTGGAATGTGGACTAGATGGTTGAGTACAATGCCAAAATATTTAGTATAACGAGGAGCAGTTCACAACATTGCTAGATTTGGTACACAACCATATCTAATCGAATAAGTTGATGGAAAATTAAAAAGAGCAAATACAAGACCATAAACAATTAAGGATCAAACTTTGGCTGTGACTTTAAGCAAAGAAGCATATGAATTCTATACATATAGTGCTAAGGATGAAATATAGTTTACAAAATTAGAAGGTTGGTGGAATTATATCTATTTTGGATACAAAAGATTTGGAGATAAGGGCACAGCAAGAGGATATGTTCAATTTGGAGTAGACGGAGAGATTAAGGAAGTTTCTTTTGATATTTTCCACGATTATATAGTAGAATACGTTGAATTTGTTGTTGGTAAGTCTTAGGCTCCATTCTTTAATGGTTAGATGACCAAAATATAATGTTCAATTGGACCTGGAGCATTTGTGTCAAGTGCTGATGACCTGAGATTATATACTTAAAATACATTACCAGAAAAAGCTTAAATACATCCAGTCTCAAGATAAACTCAATAATTAATTGGAACACCAGTGAGTGAGCCAACAAATACATTTTAATTTGATAAATTTTAAGGATCTCTTGAGTATGCTATCTCTGGGTGGGTTAAATGGAGTGGTTTATAACAATTGGGAAAGGTTTCTCACATTATCACAATGGCTTAGAAGAGATTGGCTGATTTGGATGGTAAAAACGAGGAAACGCTTAAGATTCGTAGATCTGATTTATCATATGTTTATTCTACATATCATTGTAAAGGTGAAGATTGTTCTTAAATAATAAATAAGGAATAATAATTTGGTGAATATTGGGATTAATGGACTTATATTTATTTTGGTTATTCGAGTCCTTTAAAGAAAGCATTTGGTTACATCAAATATACCTTTTCTGATGATAAGTTTTTGTTGGAAGACATTAATCATTTTTATCTTGCTGTATTCAGCATAATAATCGGGAATGAAAAAGAAAAGTTTTAAGGATAAATGAAAACTTGGGTGATTAATATTGGAGAAGGATCTTTTAGAGAAGGTGGATTTGAAAGTGACGAGAATATCAAAGTCCATTTCGGCTTTATTAGTGGAACTGATCACATTAAATTGTAGTAGGCAGGATAAGAAGCTCACCGTGAAGAATAAGTGCTTGAATGTTCGGCAAATGGAAAAGAAGTTCCTTTGCATGTTTAATTTGAGCAAAATGATAAATTGCACCTTTAAGGAGTCAGTGAATATGGCTATGGATTTTGGTCCAGATTTTAACATTTTGCAAATAAGGGAGTTTTATACTAATAGCCATAATGGATGGGTATGGCCAGATTGACAAGTTAAAAGGATTATAAGGATTTTGATTAACCAGGAGATAGAGTTCTATTAGTTTTGATGGGTAAGAATGTTTATCATTTCTCAACCTACAATGTCTAGCCAGCTTCAAATAATGTAAATGGAAATATACCTTATGGATTGGAATCTGAAAGCGAATGGACTTATGTGTATTTTAGTTATAAAAGGATTTCTTAGACACTTGGACATGCAGTAGCTTTCACTTCCTTTGGAGAAGTAACTCCTGGAATATAAATGGATGTATTGCACAACTTACTCTAAAATTATTTACAATTAACAATAGGACATGCAGGGAAATATTATCCAAACTTTAATGGACAGATCACAACGGTGAGATTCAATTTAGGACCTGGAGCATTTATTGAAAACACCGCAGGCATCATGGCTAGAATTAAGAATAAGGATCCAAAACCAGAAATTCTATCAGTTCCTAAAACCTATGAAATATTTGTGGGTAAATAAGATGCTCAAAAACTGAAAATCGACAATCCACTAATTATTGAATAAGAAGCTAGAGAATATTCAGTTTAAATGTGGTTCAGATGGTTCAAAACACCAGTAAAACCCAACTAGGTGATTTATAGACTCTCATCAAATAGAGCTGAAAATGATGCCTCAAAGATTGGTGATAAAGTATTAATGTTATCTCATATTGGAACTGCCTTATTTAGTACTTACACTTTGCAGGATGCAGCTATGAATGTTCCTTTCGAATGCAATATTCCAAAATAATAACTTGAAATTTGGACTTTTGCTTATTTTGCTTATTCGAAGAAAGAAAGAAAAGTTCAGTATTATTTGAAAGCTGATGCTCATGAAAATAAGGGTTTGGAACCAATTCTTCATGCCGTAACTTCAAAGTTTTGGTTGTATGTAGGAAGGGATGGCATCTTAGAAAATTTCAATAGTAGAGTTGCATAATTAACATTGAATTTTGGTGAAGGTTCCTTCAGAAAAGATAACTTTTTGTAATTGCCAGTATTCATAATGTCTACTAAATTATTCTCATAAGAGAAAAAAAATACTTGGGAAAATGCAGCTAAGCTCGTTCTTGGTTAGCCTTAAACAATTAAATTCATTGATGAACCAGATAAACCAATTGAATCGATGTAAGAATACAGCGTAGGGTTTTGGTGCAGATTCTTATAAGCATGGCCGGAAAGGTTGTTTAGATTACCTTAAGAAATGTAATTAGTTAGATTGACTTCAAATGAATAAATAGAAGTAGGAAAGGTGGCTATGGGAGATAGAATCCTAGCTTCTCATATTATTTAAGGTCATTATTAATTTTCAACTTATGATTTGAATGACGATGCACCTAATGAACTAAGAACTATAGCTTATTCTAAATTGGAGGGATAATGGAATTATGTCTACATGGGTTATTAGAGGGCTAGCTAATTGGCTTCCTATTTTGTGTATGACGGTAAAGAGGTCTAGCAAATTAAAAATTAAGATTTGCTACATAAGCCTTTAGGAGACTTTGTAATTTTACATATAGGAGGTGAACCCGATATTCCAGGATTTTAAGGATTAATGAGCAAAATAGCAGTCAATTTTGGGGTAGGATCTTTCTTTGGGTTGGTTGAGGAAGTAAAGAAAACAATAGATAATTCTTTTGCACTTGAATAGTAATTGACTGTAGACTATATACATAAGTAGAAACATGGACAATAAGAATTAATTGGCAAAATGGAAACAGTCACTGATGATGTTGGTGGTACAGAATTAAGAGGGGATACTTGGTCATCTGTTGGCGAGTATTCAATCAGTGGATGGTTCAAGATAGCTGAAGTTAAGGGATAGAATGCTAACGATTGTCAGATATTATTTAGAGTTACTAACAATGATAAAGAGCATTTGAATGACAAAAGAATTCAAGGAGATAGAACACTTTATGCTTCTGTTTGTGTAGATTCGATTAAATTATCTACATACACAATTAATGGATTGAAAGATTGGAATGAAGCCAAGTACTTGGAGGAAAAGATAGAATTAGGTCATAATAAAAAAGCATGGATATATATTTATATGGGTTACAATGAAGATTTATAGGAGGTACATGCATTACTTCATTTATTCGATGACGATAAACCATTTATATTTAAGGGAATCTAACATTACGTACCATTTTACACTGGAATCTATGTAGCAAAAGATCCTTTCACTAAAAGATTCTAAGGAGATCTTTAAAATTGGGTAGCCTAATATGGGTTAGGTGCTTTTGTAAGTGTCTAAAAGAGAGGATATGAGGATACATTGCCAAATTACAGAGCATTGGCAACTAATCAGAAATATATGTGGTTTTATAAAGACGAAGGAGTAATTGAAACAGAAAAGGCTATAACTTAAGTTTTCACAACTGAAGTTGAATCTGTTGATGAATATTCTATTGGAGTTTGGACAAGATGGTTAATATCGTTTCCAACTACTCTTACTGAAAGATAAGATAGACATAACATTTTTAGGCTCTCATCTAATAAAGAAGATTAGGATAAGAGTGAATTAGGGGATAGAGTCTTGACAGCCTTCTTAACTCTTGGGAACTATGAATTTAGTACTTATGATGTATTAAAACCATCAAACGCTGTTGATGGCAAATTACCGTACACAGAATTAGAAGGAGCATGGACCTATGTTTATGCAGCTTATAAAACTGGATAATTCTATGGAATGGTCTTGTTTAGAGAATAATAAAAGGCTTAACATATTGAATTATAAGTCTAACATAGAGCTTTAACAGGATATGCTAAGTTTGTTTTGGGAGCCAAGGAATTTGGGTTTAGAGGATTTCATGGATGGCTATTTGATCCAAGAATTTTCCTTGGTTAGGGATCATTCATTAGTGAAAGCTAAAAAGTAGTTGATATGGTACTCAAATTGCATCGTAAATTACCAGTTCAACCTCTCGATGCTGAAGATTTTAAATGGCCTGTCTAAATTATTGATACTACACTTCAAGATGACATTAATGACAAAAAAGATAAATTCTCATTTGCTTTCAATGACAAACCTGGTTTGGTAGAATATTCATATGGATTTTGGATGCAAAATTCTGTTTTAACTCCTGAATTAAATGATGAATTCAGAGGTCTAGTTAGGTTGTCTACCAACAATGAAGGATCTGATGAAAGATATATTGGTGATAGAACTCTAGCAGTTTTTACTAAAACTGATGAAATAATTGCTAGTACTTACACACTCAAAGATCCTACATTTGAACCAGTGAGACATACTTTCAAACTAATACCATATTAGTGGACATTTGTTTACTTTGGTTATATTCCAGGAAATGCTAGAGCATATATTTTAGGAATCAAGGGACCAACAGAATAAATTCTGAATGTTAGACATGCCATTCCAAATGGTTTCTATTTAAATGTAATTAAAGATTAGTCTCATCCTCTGTTTTATGTATCTAATTATCAATATATTTTAGGGAAAATTCTATGGATTAAAACTGTTGTTTGGATAAGGCAGCTATTTGGCGAATCCTTAAGAAATGATAGAAAAATGGCCTTATGATCCTAAAGTACTACCACCAGCTCCAAAATAAGAGGAAAAGATATTATCACTAAATTCAGCTAAAGTAGATAGAGCTTAAAATAAAGATCATGAGTAATTTCATGAATGATTATTTTTGAACTCAAAATTTATACAATTATACAATATCAAACTAATTGTAAGATATTTCTCTTCAAGTTTAGTAAAATATTCAAAATATTTACCTTACTAATGTATTTTATAATGATTAATTTGAATACAATTACATCTTTATTTTTTAATAAATTCTAATTAAATGAATAATAATGGATTGATTGTTTATATTATTGGTACTACAGCAGCAGGAAAGACTAACTTATCTTTGAATTTAGGAATAGACAATTATGAGATTATCTCTTGTGATTCGATGTAAATTTACAAGGAAGCTAATGTCATGACTGCTAAAGCTACTGCAGCAGAATAAGCAATAAAAAAACATCATGGAATTGATTTGCTAGACTTAGAATCTGAAGGGTTTAATCGCAAATAATGGAATAATAGTAAGAACTTTTAATAAAGTTTTAGTGGCAATTCAAAAAATAGAAGAATTATAATCAAGAGGGATAATTCCTGTTTTAGTAGGAGGGACACATTATTACATAGAATCTATTTTATTTAATTAAGAAAATGAAGAGAAGTAAATAATACAAGCAGCCGAATTAAATTTACATGGCAAGGAACCTTATGAATATTTAAAAGAGATTGATCCTTTGGCTGCTGAAAAATTTCATCCAAATGATTTTAGAAGAATTAATAACTCTATTAAATATTACTAAAGTACAGGATAATTGCCGTCTGAATAAATAGATCATCATTCTGACGAATGTAAATTAAGAAGTAATAATTTCCTAATACTTTGGCCTAAATGGAAGAAAAGCGAAGATTTAAAGAAGAAAGTATCTGAAAGAATACATGAAATGCTTGAATAAGGAGGGACAGAAGAAATATTAAGAATATTTGAAAGATTAGGTAACAATCAAAAAGCAGTTGGTGGAATATTATAAAGCATTGGATATAGATAATTTGAAAAATTGTATTAATATTATAAAGAATCACAGTTGTAATTTCCCAATGTTGATGATAAATTTCTAGAGTTACGTTAGGAAGGATTAGAAAAGTTGATTAATGATACGATGGCATACACAAAAAAATAGATATAATGGATCAAAAATAGAATTCTATGCAATTCAAAAATAGATATTATAGCAAATAGATTATTTGTATTGGAATTTGAATCAACTTAGACATTTAAAGAATAAGTAGTGATTCCAGCTTAAAAACTATATAATTTATTTTGTTAATTATTTTAACAGGGCAAATTAGAGGATGAGTAATTTAAAATTAGTTCATAGGATATTGAAAATATCCCAATAATAACTCCTGAGAAGATAGAAAAGTATAAAGCAACTTAAAAATTAAAATAACGAAACAATTGGAAAAAATAAGAGTGCCTATTGTGCAATAAAAAGATGAATGGCCCATATGAAATTGAATAGCATTTTAAGTCTCGTTATCATAGAATTAATCTTTTGAAAGAATCCTAATTGTAAAAGAAGAAATAAAAAATAGATTGATTATTAGTATGCATAGCATATTTTATATTTCCAAAAATAGTTATTAAAATAAAAAGCATTGATTCTTTAAGATTTTACAGTAAAAGAGAATTACAAATTCTCATTGATATATTATAGTAATATGACTATGAAAAGATGAACAAATAATAAAAAAAACCTTTAAAAATGTTCAAATTTTCTTATTTTGTTAAGCTAAGTTGATTAAAAATATTAAAAAAAGGTGAATTATGGGAGAGATAATCGTAACGAAAGATAAAGAGTTTATAAAATAAATATTTATATAATGAACCCAAAATTAAACCGAATCCTTTATTCTTAGGGTAATATGACCACAAGCGCCACCTAGTCTCCATCATAGAACATAAACTATAATGATGCAGGGTAATCGTTAAATCAATAGTATGAGAGAGCTACTGGATATGAAACTCAATTAAGTTCGGAAAATAAACCGATAGCAGAATGATAACATCAGATTGCTGAAGTCTCGACTGAATCATATACAACATTAGGATTTTAATTGTCAGAGGAATATTTCTAGAACAAGTAATGAAATATAATCAATTATTTCTACCAAATCTAGAGTGAATGAGGACTAGATGAGAAAGGTACACATCTAAAACTCATTTATATGTTTAGTAATTCCTGGATGAGATTAGATAAAAGAAACTTCATGAATATTCTCAAAGGGCTAATTTGTCAAAAATGGAGAGAATAAAACGGAGCTAGAACGTTGAAAACTGTAAGATATAAATGTATTTGATAGAGAAATAAATCTATTCTGAAACTCATTCTTTCTTAAATAAAGAATATAAATCGAATTTGTCTCAAGCAAAATTGTAAACTTGGAATGAAATATATGGGACTAATTGCAAATCTCACAAACAAATCAGACAGGCCCATCTTCAACATCAATAAGACAAAATCATTTAATTACAATTGGTATTATGTATCTTGATATTAGAAATAATAAGAAGGATCATATAATTATAAATAGAAGATAATAAAGGAAGCACAGCAGTTTCAAGAAAGGCAAATGAGAGTCACAGAATTAGAAGAGGCAGAAGAATAATATTTGATGAAACTAAAAGTCACTCAGAGTAAGAACCGATCTATGAGTGCCAAAAAGGAAGAGATAAGGAGAATTCCTGCCGAAAAAATAGCAATCAGCAAAAATAATCTCTTTAGAATAAATTGATTTTATATGGATAAAGAATTTTAATGTTGTTAATGTTAACATGAGTTTAATTTGCAGGATAAAAGTCCTCACGTTCTTCCATCCTGTGGCCATTCAATATGTTAATCATGCGTAAGTCAATATTTGTAATCGCAATTGAAGTTAGTTTGCAATGAAGACAAGTAAATTGAATCACATATAAAAAAGCATTGAATGCCAAGTTGAAAGAGAGTTCAAATTCTTTCCTATTAATCAGAGCATTATTGTTTTATTGAAAAAGAAGAGAAATGTTCATAGATGCCATACGTATGTAACTCCAGAAGACTCAATCCCTCGGTTATCAACTGAAGATGTTAGCGAATTTTCAAGTGATATTCATTAGTAGATCCAACTAAATAAGAACATGTCTCAATCACATTCATGTGAGTAATTACCATAAAAAGACAATTAAGGTGTATTATGTTCTATCCATTCAAAACCATTAGAATTAGTTTGTTAAGAAGATGGAGAATACATTTGTGTTAATTGTGCTTTATTTGGGAATCATAAGTTTCACAATTATAAGTCTATAGACACATATATTAAGGAGATGGAATAAACAATTAATGATATAACTCCAATGTATGAAGTTGTTAAAGAAATGAGCACAAAAATTGAATAAAAAGAATATGCAAAGGAGTTTGAAACTAAACTCCTCTAATCAAAGGAAGCAAAATTATAATCTATAGACATGAAGTTTAATGAATTATTTAATGAATTAAATATAATAAAAGAAGAATTGAAATCCAGAATTGTAAATAATTACAATATTCAATATGATGATAATCAAAAAAAAATTGAGTCAGAATTTATTTAACTCAGAAATCAAGCAGAGAAATGGCTTTCAAATACAGGCAATCAATTAAATGATGTTGTTGAGAAAATTCAAAATCACAAGTTTAAAACGGATGCAAAAGAATTAAATAACAGCAAAGAATATGGTTCATAATTAATTAACAAAATACAATACTAATTTTCTTAGATCGATTCTCAAGTCTAATTAATTGCTGATCACTAATAATTCTATGTTCCAATCGAAAACATTAGAAATCAATTTCCTTAAGAAAATAAACAACTCGATTAACTATTATTGGATAAAGATGATAAATTAACAGATTCGGACATAATATTTCCAGAAATAAAGGATGAAAAATTGACATAATCTATGTATATTTCCTAATAACCTACATAACCTGCTTCTCCTCAATATAATGTCAGTAAAACTAATTATTTCAGCCAAACCTTAACACCAGGATAAATCTAAAGAAAAGACAGAAGTGTAACAATGTTATAAACTGAACCTTCAGAAGTTTCTGCACCCAACACCAACAGAAATAAATAATCATTATCCAAATTGGTTAAAGTCTAAAAATTTAGTAAGGACCCTAAATTAAATGATAAAATTATTAATACCCTAGCAATGTTCGAAAAATTTGAAATGATTGATTTCTCTACTCTAGGTAAAAATTAGACTATCTTAGAAATGAATGACTAGTTGATTTAAGCTATCGATGAGGCTCTAAAAAATAAAAAAATGGTCAAAGTCTTAAAAATGAGCAAGTGTAAAATAACTGATGAGCTTTTTGCTAAGTTACTTTCGGTTATTGAAACATCTAGGTAATGAGGTTAATTATATTTAAGTGTTATAGCATTGCATCTACAATCCAACACATTAACTGAGAAAGCATTAGATTATATTTTAAATATAGCCAAATCTAAAAAGCATTTTGAATGCAAATAGTTGTATTTGAATGGCAATGTTAGCATAACTTAAGCTAAGTCAAAAAAGAAGGTTGAAGAAATTAAAAAATATGGTATCTAAGTAACCATTTGAAAATTTTATTTTTTATTAAATTTTTAATTTCGTTCTTTTGTTGCCTGAACTTTTTTCATTATAAATATATCTTGAATAAAATTAAATATAAAAAGTATAAGACGATAAACCGCAAAAGGATAAGAAGATCGTTTTGTATTAATTTAACGTTTTATTTCATAATATGAGATGAAACCAAATTTAGATTTAATCTAAAGTATATTTGCATGAAATATTTCTATGCTAATGAGATATAATTTAATAATTTAGGTCATCTTGTAAAAATTTGTTAGGATGATATATAAGGATAGTTGATTTTGCTTTTCTTAATTTCAATCAATAATATATATACAAGTTTTCTAATATTAACTACAATTATGAAAAATAATTATTAAGATAAACAAGAATACAAAATTTAATATTGTTATAAGCAGAGATTAACTTTATTTTTATATATTAGTAATTACAATTTTGAAAAATAAAGATTATGTATTTTTGGATTTCTAAATAATTAACAAGAGACTTAAATTAAATATTTCTATAGTTTAAAGTATTTTTTCTTGTTTTAAGTAGTAATAGTTTTTATTTTCCCTTTTTGAACCTTCTAAGCAAGAATATAAATAAATTTTTCGTAAAATTTATAATTATAATATAAATGATTATTTCAATAATTTTTCATTTAAAGCTTTACATTAATGTAATGAATAAATCATATTTATCACAAATTGCTTATTAATTTTTTTCCTCATAAACAACATTTTTTGCTTACAAAATTTTCTTCATATAATTCCTTTTAAGCCAAAAAAGCTGTTAAGATTTATTTGATTATTTTCCCTGAATTGTAACTATCTGTTTAAAAGATTCTAATGTTATGTTTTAGGAAGAAATATTTGGATTGATATGATTGTTTAATCATTTATCATTTCAAGTAAATTATTATAATTCAACCAAATCAAATATATTAATTGCGAAATAGATATATGTTTGAAGAATTTAAGAAAAGATGTTAATAAATTGAATTGATCGAATTTACAGGTAAATCCATTTATTTAAGATCAAATGTTTAATGTTTAGAAATTGCAATTGGATGAATATCAGATTAATGGTAAGCTCATATATGATCAAATTAATTATATGAAGCACACTCTTAAATGTTTCTCTTCAAATAAAATTTTTGAATCCTATGAAGTAAATCATTTAGCCCTCTCATTCTAATGCATTTAATTATTGATCAAATTATAAATATTTTATTTAGTTATTTTTATAATGAAAAATATTAGCTGTTTGACGATTGGCGAAATTTTGACTTAAACTGCTCCTAATTCAAGCCAATTATGGGGGCTTGATATCAAGACTAATTATTAGTATTGCGAATTTACTTAGCAGATGTCAAGACTCTTCACTTTTTCAGATTTTGAATAAAATATAACAAATCCGCTATATTAGGCTGAAATTGCCACAAAACTATCCAATGTAAATGAAGTTTTCTTACCTGTTTGTTATGCCTATTCAATTCTAAGAATATTTATGGTCATTTCTGTAGTGTTTTATGTTAGATAAAAGATGAAAGATATTTTTGAACAGTCTTAAAAAAAGTTCACAGATGAGAAATAATTCGAACTAGATTGCTACAAGTGGACCATAAGTATTTCATTATATGCAGAGATTATTTGTGCTTTAGTAATAATTAATATATCCTTTAGAGAGATTTCTTGCTATTTAAAGGTACAATCCTTTACTCCAATGTGATGAATTAGTCTGAAATCTCTTGTTTTATTGACATTTATAATTAAGGAAATCTGACATGTAAAAATTCTACTAGTTTAAATAACTGGAGAAGCTTTAATTATAACCGAGATGAATGTAATTGCCTTTATTTTTCACCAATTCAACAAAGGCCATATATGATTACTTCAATTGTTTTTTGGATTATAACTGAATCTATAACTTAAGGATTAGTGGGTTTCACAGTCTTAATTCTTAGCAGATTAAATAAAAAAGAATCATCTGGATGGAATTTCATTAAACCAAGCTTTGTTAGATTTGTAGTTACAACTATATTAATGATGATTTTATATTCTATTCTTATATTTGCATGCAATCTGCAAATATATTATAGATTTTATAGTTTGAGTGTGGTCAGTTATTATTTGCTCTAGAAGTGTGTTATATTTTTAATAATTTTTGATAAATTGTATAGCAAAGTATGGTTGGAATTAAAATTGAGATTGCCAACATTGCATTCAAGTGGAATTGCATGGTCTAAAACCTTGAACATGTTAAAAAAAAGAATTTAGAAACCTGTTGATCCTTCAGAATAAATAAAAGAAATATACTAATAAAAATATAGATAGCAATATGAATAAACTTTAGAAAAATATTTTGATGACGCTATTTAACCAAATTTGGATAGATATGAAAGGGAATATAATGCAAAGATGAAAACATAATGGTATGATTATTTAAATTATATTTTGTTAATTAATCTAATAGGAATAATTGGATATATACTAATTGCTACCTATGGCTTATTTTATCAAACAAATAACCCAAATTCTAATAGTTTTTTATTTTGGATAGGTTTTATCTTAGCCCTGGTGGAGTTGATTGTTTTTGAGGTATCTAATGTCGTTTTTTAATTACATTGCTTTTTAATTGAGCTTTACAAATAGTGTGAAGAAGAGTGTAGTGCATTGGATACGAATTAACAAGAAAGTGGAATGGTAACTTTATTCAATTGAGAAATATTATTATATAATATTCATTATCAAACAATATTTTAGTTTGTCCACTTTTTCTTTTATCAATTAAAATGCGAAACCTCAATACAATATACATTATCTCTATGTATATATTACAATTCCAAATTTGTATTTAAAATAAATACATATCTAGAAATTTGAAAAAAGCAAAAGAATTTATCACTTAAGTTTTTATATTAATATAATTAATATTAAAACATGTCTCAACCGTTAAGAGTAGATGACTTTGTTGATGAACTTAGAAAATATGATAGAAAAGAAGATTTTATGGCAATAATGAAATCATACGAACAAAGGTAATTAAAATACAAATCTAGATATTATGATTAATTTGAATAATTTGCAAATAACAATTTTCCTCCTGAATTATAGCGNTTGCTATTTAAAGGTACAATCCTTTACTCCAATGTGATGAATTAGTCTGAAATCTCTTGTTTTATTGACATTTATAATTAAGGAAATCTGACATGTAAAAATTCTACTAGTTTAAATAACTGGAGAAGCTTTAATTATAACCGAGATGAATGTAATTGCCTTTATTTTTCACCAATTCAACAAAGGCCATATATGATTACTTCAATTGTTTTTTGGATTATAACTGAATCTATAACTTAAGGATTAGTGGGTTTCACAGTCTTAATTCTTAGCAGATTAAATAAAAAAGAATCATCTGGATGGAATTTCATTAAACCAAGCTTTGTTAGATTTGTAGTTACAACTATATTAATGATGATTTTATATTCTATTCTTATATTTGCATGCAATCTGCAAATATATTATAGATTTTATAGTTTGAGTGTGGTCAGTTATTATTTGCTCTAGAAGTGTGTTATATTTTTAATAATTTTTGATAAATTGTATAGCAAAGTATGGTTGGAATTAAAATTGAGATTGCCAACATTGCATTCAAGTGGAATTGCATGGTCTAAAACCTTGAACATGTTAAAAAAAAGAATTTAGAAACCTGTTGATCCTTCAGAATAAATAAAAGAAATATACTAATAAAAATATAGATAGCAATATGAATAAACTTTAGAAAAATATTTTGATGACGCTATTTAACCAAATTTGGATAGATATGAAAGGGAATATAATGCAAAGATGAAAACATAATGGTATGATTATTTAAATTATATTTTGTTAATTAATCTAATAGGAATAATTGGATATATACTAATTGCTACCTATGGCTTATTTTATCAAACAAATAACCCAAATTCTAATAGTTTTTTATTTTGGATAGGTTTTATCTTAGCCCTGGTGGAGTTGATTGTTTTTGAGGTATCTAATGTCGTTTTTTAATTACATTGCTTTTTAATTGAGCTTTACAAATAGTGTGAAGAAGAGTGTAGTGCATTGGATACGAATTAACAAGAAAGTGGAATGGTAACTTTATTCAATTGAGAAATATTATTATATAATATTCATTATCAAACAATATTTTAGTTTGTCCACTTTTTCTTTTATCAATTAAAATGCGAAACCTCAATACAATATACATTATCTCTATGTATATATTACAATTCCAAATTTGTATTTAAAATAAATACATATCTAGAAATTTGAAAAAAGCAAAAGAATTTATCACTTAAGTTTTTATATTAATATAATTAATATTAAAACATGTCTCAACCGTTAAGAGTAGATGACTTTGTTGATGAACTTAGAAAATATGATAGAAAAGAAGATTTTATGGCAATAATGAAATCATACGAACAAAGGTAATTAAAATACAAATCTAGATATTATGATTAATTTGAATAATTTGCAAATAACAATTTTCCTCCTGAATTATAGCGATAGCAAATACCGAAATAAGAATTCTTATACAAACAATAACCATAACACCAAAAACCACCTGTTGTTCGTTCAAGCTCAGCAAATAAATTGGATTATTATGATCAATACTAAATATTTTCCTAATAGTCAGTCTAAACTCCGTAAACAACCTAATTACCCTAACGACCACCATCGAGAGGAGAAATTCAAGATCCTTTTAAGAGACCATAAGATTAATTTGACTATAGACTGAGCCCTGTTGCTTAATAGGATCCCTATAGAGGTTTAAATAAATAGCAGTATAATCCATAGTAAAGAAATCCTGCTTAGATTCCAATTCAACAAGCTCCTTTTTCTCCTTTTCAAAATGCTTAAGGTTAAGCTTTAATAAATAATACTTAATAATAAGTGGGGTTACCTTTTGGAAACTAGGTTGGAGGTTAAATTAATAATCCGCAGTTCCAGAATTATGGAGTTTAATAATAATTTTATGAGCAACAGTAATACTAATAAGAGACTGTATAATATCCAAAAGCAGGGCCAAATCAATAATAGTAAATGGATGCCTTCCTAAATGAGATAAAATCTTAGAGGATTAAAAAATAATAATACAAATGAAATATATTACTTATTTAAATATAAAATGCTTAATATTGGGTGAATTCAAACAACAATTTTTCACCATAATGCCAAAAATAAAAATAGAACGGAATCAATAATCAAGCAATTACAAGTACAAATCTTTAAACTTTATAATCTTTTTTGGTTACAGAATTTCTACTATCAACAATTTGCTAAAAAGGTGGTTGGTTCTAAAAGAACTATTTTATTATTAAAATAATCAAGAACTTAGAAATAAGATAATCAAAGAATGCAAAATATGAACTAATATTGATCCAGTTCTAGTCATCATCTTTATTATTAAAATCTTTTTTATTTTAAAGATCTTTTAGATATAAAATTAAATAAACTTGGCAGTACTGAAGTACATTAAAATATTCCATCATCCATTATGCATTTCTGTGCTTAATCTTTTAATCGGCGGTAGTACTTAGGATAATCTTTTGAATGACTGAGTTTCATTCCTTCTAGATGTGTATGGCAAAATAGCATTGCTTTTAGATTTCATCTACTGTCTAGGCTTTTGTATTGATAAAGTAACAGGTTTCTTATAATCTTTGAATAATGGACATCCCTATTCATCATATTCCACTTGCATAACTGGATGGTTTAACACTTCAGAACAAGCAATCCTTTACTCTGGATTGGGATTCAACATTTTCATTAACAGATTTATTACTATAAGGTGCTATTCAAAATAATTACATTATTTATTTCCAAAGCAATCTACTAACAATTTATTCATATTTATATTGCATTCTTTATTTAACAATTTTATATTATTTCCTTAAAAAAGTGGTTTAGTAGTAGTTCTAATTATATTAATTTATTGTACAATTCATAAAGTAAGCAGCCTAAACTGAAAACATCGCATTTCTCAGTATATGACTTGGATTTGTCGTCCTCACAAGCAAAGATCTCTGGAGCCATATACCCATAGGACCCGCAAAATTAATAAACATTAAGTTATTTCTAGATTATAGAGGAGACTCCAAAATCACTAATCAAAGGTCCATCTTAGACTGTTAGTCCGAATTATTTAAGGGAAACCGGCTTTCTAAATAGGATATTCCCTGGTTTAATGTCCCTATGCATCAAACCTCTCAATCTATTTAATTTGTACCTATATCATGCATATATTTGATTCCTTCCACAATTTATCGAAAAATCACTTTCACAGTTAAAAATGGCAAAGGTTCATCAAGTTTTTTAATTGCTTGTTCAAGGTTGCCACCTCTGCATAATTAGGTAATTAAGTAAATTTGAGCCTTGTTCTCAAAAACATCGTACAATTTCAATATATTTTAATGATTCATATACTTCATGACTTTGACTTCATTGTCAATTTATTACTAGAGATAAATAAAATATTACCCTCCATTAAATTGGATCTGATAACATAAGCATTTTTTTAAGGAAAGCTTTAATTGCTACTTTGGTACCATCAGCCTTTGAATTTCCAATGTAAACGCTAGCAAAACTACCACTGCCAATTAATTTTTCGATTTCATAATATTTCTGATAATCCATAAGTGGTAATTTCTATTTTAACATGATCTCCCACATCCCTGGTTAATCCATGAACTAATACTCTATTGGCTTAGGTAAAAAGTCGGTTTCTAAAATGAGATAGTTCTGCAATTTGTTTGGTTTGATTTGAAAGCGTAAATGACTATTTAGAGAAGTCACTTTTAAACCTTTGTCAGACTTAAGTATTTTTTATAGTTTACAATTCGATATAATTTGGAATCAGATAGGATTAGTGTAATCTTCCTTCCATTTTTAGTAATAAATCTGGAACTAAGTATTCCCGATGGTGCATCACAAGATTTAATGAAGACTTTATTAATTTGCATATATGTAAATTAATCAATTAAATAATATTTTGACTCGATATTTATATACCGTCAGCAATATTTTAATTCTTAAACAATTGCAGAATAAACAAGTTAAATCACTTACAAACAATATATTGACAAATCATGAAAATCCCCTTAGGTACTATAACACTTCTTAAAAAGTTGGGCGTTTTGTTGGATCCTTATCCCAACATTTAATCATCAACTCTTTCAAAAATATAGGACATCCAACCTATATTAAACTCAAATCTGGTCTTCCATTATCTACTGCAACTAATTTCATGATAGCAGGTGGATTAGTGGATAATTGTTTATATGGAGTTTCTCTACAACATATTTCCCATAACACTATCTAAATTTCATAGAACTGTTTATTTTACTGCAAATGAATAGACATCAGCTTTAATAGTATAAGGAACATTTTAAAACACTTCTGGAGCCATCCAATGCTAATGTAAAATAATTAAATTACAAAAGTTCCTAAGACACCTGTCATTTATTCACCATTATCTGCTTACACCCTAGCTAATCCAAAATCAGCAATCTTGATATTTATCTTATTTTAATCGTAGCACTATTCAAGTAGCAAACTGTTTAATGATGATTATAATTACTTTAGACTCTTTAGATCTCTATGTATTAACGGAGGATTTAATTTATGCAGATGAAGCATCCCATCAGCTATTTGAATTGCCATTTTAACTCTTAATTACCAACTAATTTCTAAATGTTTTTTTCTATGCAATAAATCAAAAAGAGTTCCCCCAGCGCAGTACTCTGTTACAANGGTAATTAAGTAAATTTGAGCCTTGTTCTCAAAAACATCGTACAATTTCAATATATTTTAATGATTCATATACTTCATGACTTTGACTTCATTGTCAATTTATTACTAGAGATAAATAAAATATTACCCTCCATTAAATTGGATCTGATAACATAAGCATTTTTTTAAGGAAAGCTTTAATTGCTACTTTGGTACCATCAGCCTTTGAATTTCCAATGTAAACGCTAGCAAAACTACCACTGCCAATTAATTTTTCGATTTCATAATATTTCTGATAATCCATAAGTGGTAATTTCTATTTTAACATGATCTCCCACATCCCTGGTTAATCCATGAACTAATACTCTATTGGCTTAGGTAAAAAGTCGGTTTCTAAAATGAGATAGTTCTGCAATTTGTTTGGTTTGATTTGAAAGCGTAAATGACTATTTAGAGAAGTCACTTTTAAACCTTTGTCAGACTTAAGTATTTTTTATAGTTTACAATTCGATATAATTTGGAATCAGATAGGATTAGTGTAATCTTCCTTCCATTTTTAGTAATAAATCTGGAACTAAGTATTCCCGATGGTGCATCACAAGATTTAATGAAGACTTTATTAATTTGCATATATGTAAATTAATCAATTAAATAATATTTTGACTCGATATTTATATACCGTCAGCAATATTTTAATTCTTAAACAATTGCAGAATAAACAAGTTAAATCACTTACAAACAATATATTGACAAATCATGAAAATCCCCTTAGGTACTATAACACTTCTTAAAAAGTTGGGCGTTTTGTTGGATCCTTATCCCAACATTTAATCATCAACTCTTTCAAAAATATAGGACATCCAACCTATATTAAACTCAAATCTGGTCTTCCATTATCTACTGCAACTAATTTCATGATAGCAGGTGGATTAGTGGATAATTGTTTATATGGAGTTTCTCTACAACATATTTCCCATAACACTATCTAAATTTCATAGAACTGTTTATTTTACTGCAAATGAATAGACATCAGCTTTAATAGTATAAGGAACATTTTAAAACACTTCTGGAGCCATCCAATGCTAATGTAAAATAATTAAATTACAAAAGTTCCTAAGACACCTGTCATTTATTCACCATTATCTGCTTACACCCTAGCTAATCCAAAATCAGCAATCTTGATATTTATCTTATTTTAATCGTAGCACTATTCAAGTAGCAAACTGTTTAATGATGATTATAATTACTTTAGACTCTTTAGATCTCTATGTATTAACGGAGGATTTAATTTATGCAGATGAAGCATCCCATCAGCTATTTGAATTGCCATTTTAACTCTTAATTACCAACTAATTTCTAAATGTTTTTTTCTATGCAATAAATCAAAAAGAGTTCCCCCAGCGCAGTACTCTGTTACAATATATAATTCATCTTCTTTTTATGAGATTCCCAAAAGTTGAACTAAATTTGGATGTCTTTTTATCGTAACTAGAGCTGAGATTTCTCTTCTAAATTCTTTCAAGTGGTTTTCATTTAATTATTGTATTTTCATCTTTTTAATAGCTACTTCTCCTCCTCTCCAATAGCCTTTATAAACAGTACAACTACTTCCAGTACCAATAAGTGTTTCTAATTTTAACTAATCATGATTAATCATCCACTCAGAAACATCTAAGTTTTATAAAATTATATACTTTTGCCTTGTTTATTAAAATAATCAACAACTTAAAAAGAGGATGATTACGGTAGGACAGGATTATCAAAGAGTAACTATTTCTAATTTTAATTAAGATCGAATTGTTCAAAAATATTATTTGATTAAGAGTTGGCTGATTAAATTCTTTAATTCTGTCCATCTGATTTAATCTGATTATCTTGTTTTGGTCTCCAATTTAAAAATCCTTCATCATTTAATAATTCTTATGTTAATTGAACATTTTAATTAGATAAAGGGGCTCTTAAATTCGTTTGTTATAATTCAGTAGGCTTTTATGGCAATTACTCAGATTCATCATCATCATCATCATCAGAGAAGTCTAAACCTTTGTATTCTCCTTGTTATTGTTATTTAGTTTGCTTTTTCTTAAATTCTAAGTTTTTGTTACTTATAGATTCTCTTTAATTTTCAACTATTTAATTTTACTAGTTTTATTACTACATAAATTAATTTGTTTGATCATCTTAAATAATGTTTTGTAAAGAATTCATATTTTTATTAATATTTGATGTTACTTCATATTCAAAATTAAATTAGTTAGTTTTTTCTTATTAAATTTAACAAGACACTACTGCTTTTATTGGATATGAATTTGATTTTTAATATTTAGGTTCCTAATCTAAGGCTTCATCATCATATTCTACTACTTAATTGATCATTATTTCTCCATAACTTTAAGGTAATTTAATTCCATCAATTGACATGGAATAACTTAAGAAATCACTAATATTAAAGTCTCCTCTTTTTGATTAAAACATTGGCACATTCTTTAAAGTTTCAACTACATTCCTTGAAGGGTCTGGTATTAATTATTAAAATTATGGTATTCTTTTGCAGACAGCAAAGAAATTAATAGTCTATTAAAAGTTATTCTAATAATCTTCTTACAATGTAATAAAGGCTTATTTAACTTCAAGGTTATTAGTGGGCTATCCACTTATATAATTAGTACTTTACTTTAAAGCATAAAAAATGTGAGTAAACGTACAGAGAATATTATATAATTCATCAGCCATTGTTATTGCTAGACCCAATTATAAATTAATTAAATTCGATTCCTGAAATTATATATTAGAAGTGAAATTTAATAATTATTTCCATAAAGACATCATATTGTTTAATATTGCTATACTTACCTTCTACTTCTAAATACCATTCATACTATTGAAAAATGGGATCATAGCATAATTCCCTTCAAAAAATTTTAGATAGAATGAATGAAATTTCACTTTTTCCAATAAAACAATTGAATAAGTATACAATAAATTTGTAAAAAACTATGTCCTAAATTTATCTTTAGAGCTTTTCATTTGATTTTATTCTTAGAAATTCTTAATTCTCTCCAAAATAGCATTTGGCGAATATGTTTAGTTTTATACTGCAATGGCTTCTTAAGGACCTTTTTTCACATAGTTATGTATTAATTACAAAGCTTTAAATGTTATTATTACAGAGTTTAATTAAAGTCGATTTGACACTTTCTCATAAAATTTAGAAATTTTTTGCTTCTTTTACCATGCTTTGCAATGAAGATATCTGAAATATTTTTAGCAAGGAGCTGCGTCAACCTCTTCTAAGCATGCAGCCACCCAAAAATCTGTCTTTTAAGCCACCTTACTGACTAATTTTACGAATCTGGTTGATAATGAAGATTATGGTTATTATAAATCCTTAAATTCAAATGAATGACATTTCTCTATTTCCGTAATTTAATTAATTGTCTCTCGATTCAATATCTCATTTGTTGATTAACTTCTTAAATGGATTTATTATGGCAATCCACTATGATATATTTAAATTAAAACTTACTTGTATTAAGTAAGAATTGAATTTATGTATTTTTCTATTAAATCAGCTGATATTCTGTCCTTTGGATTAATAATAAGTAATTATTTGATTAGATTTTATAACTTTTAACTATAAATTCCCCATTAGGCACTAATATAAATAAATTTATACTTTCCTTCCCAATTAGGATTTTAATCATAACGAACCTTGAATATCATATAATACATTAATTAGCCTAGAGCATAAATATCCACCTTCGTAGTGATTGGCAATCTTTGAGAGAAATCTTTTTATTCTGGAGCTCTTACATGTTCAAAAGTGTTCATCTCAATTTCTTCTTTGATTCTTCCAAAATATTCATTAGGTATTTGATCGTATTGCTAAAATAGAATCTAAAATACTTAGAAAAAACAACGTTAGAAATTCCATAATTTGGCTTGCTTATCAGCTCCAATTAAAATATTCTCTGGTCTAATATCTCGATGTGTGATGCCTAATGAATGACAGATCTACAATGCTTTGCTTAAATCCAATAAGATCTACGCTTATTTTTCTGCTTACTTTTAGGACTTGAGGTTCCGCTAAACCTTATTAGGAATCCTTCAAAATATTTTGGAGGACTTCAGCTTTTTCAAAAACTATTACTTTTTTATTTGGTTATAATTCTCCTTCATATGATTTTGCAATGTTGCTACTTCCATTATCTTTTAAGAGATGGACAGCTTAAATCTCTGTATTCAAATACTACAAAAAATTGGAATATAATTAAATACCTTTTCTTGTCCAACATCATATATTTTGACTACATAATTGCACTCTGAAGTCAAAAATAATTTATATTTAGTGCCTTAAAAGTAAGGTTAGGTAGCGATATAAAGAGTTTGCTTATTACCAAATATAACTCTCTGTTATTACATTAATCAGTATAATAAATAATTACATATACTATTTCAAATTTCTTTGATTTTTAGTTTATCAATTTAATTCTCAAATACTATCAGACACTTGAAATTATTATCTAAATTTTTTACATTCTGTTTAGCTATATTTTGAATGAATCCTTATTCCATGTTGAAGAATAATGGTAGAATAACACTTATTATCATTATACAACAAATTTTATTTTCAAGATTTTATTCATATTCCTTTAGGCGTCCCATATACACATCCCTCAGTTTCATCTAGATCATATTCTCAAATGAGCTTTGGAGATGTAAAGGAGAGTTTTATCTTACAAAAGTAATTAAAAAATGAATTAGCTATTTGAACATTTCCCTTTAAAAATATTGCTAAAAATTCTGAGAAATAAGTAAGGGATAGAGGTTATTGGAAGAAAATTGCATTTTATGAGTTTAAAGATAAATATATAAAATTTGCGATTTATAGGTATAATTAGATGGAATATTAGGTGGTTTAAAATTATGAAGACATTTGGGAGGAAATTACTTAGCAAAATATGAAAGAATTGGATTTTGTAAATCTTCTAGTACTAAAATAAATAATAATGCTACAGAGTTCATAATCATATAGTTGAAACCTTAGGAACTGTTAGATAAAACGTCAGTGGCATTTGTGATTGATTCAAATAGTGTAAATATCAATTCAAAAATGAAATAAGTAAGTTTTGAATAATATAGGTGGTTTTTCAAAACTTTGTAAGAAGTTAGGGAAAATAAAATCTAATGAGTAAGTGAATGAGTAGAATAACCTAAGGATGATGAAATTTAGGAGCCAAAAATTTGGGATTTACAAAGTCTTCGTTGATAAATCTTAATTATTGAGGTTGTAATAATAATTATTAAATAAAATTTATAAAAATGGATGAAATAATTTATTTCTATGATGAGGAAGAGGTATTTAATATAAATATGAGTTAAGAATACTTTTAAAGGCGTTGATGCTTTAAAATAGATGGGAAATGTAAGACAAGTGTGTAAGGGATTCCTCAAAAATTAATATCAAATTTTATCAGGTATTTTTGTTGGTTAGTCTGTTTAGAGAATGGATGTGTTTACTATTTAGAACTTGGGAGATCATTTTACAGAATTCCAACTTGGAATTGTAAAGTGAAACAAATAGCAACAAATGAATCAGTTACTTTGTTGTTAACCTACTCAGGATAGTTATTTGGATTTGGAGAGGATAAATTATAATTAGGTAAGACTGATAATATCTTTAGGTTTGTTGGGTAATGAGAAATGCTATATTTCATAAACCCCAATAAAGATCGGTAACGATTACAAGAGCATATCGTTATCTACTAACATTGGATGTGGTTTGGATTACAAAGGATAAGCATGGATATGGGGTAATTCTCCTTTGGGTAGAAGCGATATTCCAACGAGAATAGATGGGAGGTTTATAAAGATCTGCGCTGCAAAAGATTATGTTATTTTTACTGATCAACAGGCATAAGTGTAAGTGTTGAGTGAAATATTTAAATTATCAAATGAATACTTCACATGTTAAAATATGTGGGCAATTACAAGGGCAGAGTAGATAGACTCAAACTATTTAATAGTGAATGAGATTATACCAAATGACAGATATTCAATCTTACTATCAAGTAATTATTCACTATACAAATAGATAAAAATCGAATGTTTATATTGATTAACAATAATGGAAGATATATAATAAGGAGATTGGCAATAAATATTAGAATTCACCACTTATCTTAGACTAACTACTTCATTTATTGTTTTACTGAGGAGGGTCGATTGATCAAAATTGATAAGGCAAATCTTTATACAAATGAAAACAATGAATTATAACAAATTAATGAGCAGATTAGATTCCAACTACCAGAATTTGAATTAAAGTATTTAAGTTCAATCCAACCAATTTTTGCTACTAAATATGCTTTCAATTTGCCTGCCTTCACTGTTGACAAACGAAGATTTAATGAAGGTATATCAGTGTTAAGATAATAACATATTGAAGTAGATGTCTAAGCTCATTTGAGATCAACAGAAACCAAATTGTCAATCATAAAATAAATGTCTCCTATGAAAAGTTCATAACAATTATTCTCATCTCGAGTCATGAGTAAATCTAGAACCTCAATTGCATCTCCAATGCAGAGATTCTATTATTCTCCTCAATAACAGGATAAGATGCATCACTTTCAAACTCCAAAAAAAGGAGTTCCTACTACTCCTGCAAGGTATGTCCAAACATTCCTTACCTAACATTCTCCAAGTCCCATAGGCAAATCCTTTATATAAGAATAGAGGAACAACTAAGTTTCTTCAGTGAAAAAGGCTAATTTAATCAGATTACTTATTTAAGACATTCAAAAGTCTCTTAATAAACTTGGCAATTTGCAATAAGTTCCAGTCGATATGAGAGATCGCACTCATTCGAGAAGAAGCAGTTCTGTACATTTAGATTAAGTTTAATCCATGATTGTTGAATTAGGAAATGCACAATAAAGAAATAACAGTCAAGAAAAAACCAATAAATTAAATAATTCTTTCAATAGTAGAGTATCTTAACATGATAATAAAAATACGAATGCTAGTTCCCTCTTTCAATCGGAATAGGATTTAATTGAAGAATTAAGAGCCTCAGAACCATTAGATATGATAGAAGAAGAATATTTAGAATATGATGAGGAAACTGACTAAGTTAAAAGGGTCTTAATAAGACGACCTATTGACTAAGATTATGAATATGGTAATAACCTCAAATAAGATATGGGTGATGGTAAAATATTAGTTTCTCGAAAATTGGTCAATGTTACAGATGAACTTGGATGGAATCGATAAGAAAATGGAGAACTCAAAAAAGTCATTAGTGAATAAGAACCCTAGAAATATATTGAAGAAGAAATTCTAATTGAAAATCCTAAAACTGGTTAATTGACTAGAAAAATAGTGAGAATACCTTATAATGATTAAAATGTTAAATTGGGAGAAGGATTAAGCGAGATTAATGCATAAGGATAAAGAATTATAGGTCGTAGAATTGTTGCAAATGAATACTCAACTGAATAACTCGAGTAGGAAGGATGGGTTACAAAAGAATCTAAATTAGAAAGAATACTTGGTAATAGAGAACCAAATAAATATGTTGAAGAAGAAATATTAGAAGTAAATCCATAAACAGGTAAAATAGAAAGAAAAATAATTAGAAGGAAATACGACAAAAATAGAAAATTAGAGGAGGGACAAAAATTAGTCTCAAGCAGAATTGTAGATAATATATAATCATCTAAATAATTGGCGTAGGATGGTTGGGAATGTAATTTCAATTTAGGAACTGCTTAGAAATATATTAAAAATGAAGATGAAGTCTTTTATGTTGAAGAAGAAATATTAATTGTATCTTAAAAGAAACAAGACAGAAAATTAATAAGAAAGATCTATTTTGATGAATAATCTCTAAATAAAATCTAATAGGAATTTGGAGAAAATTTATATGAAATTTAAATTTAAGGAATAAGAATAATTGCTAGAAGAATAATTAGGGGAGAGAACTAAATAGAAAGTGATTGGAAATATTATTCAGATAAAAAATAATGGGAAAAAATACTTAAATAAGGAGAGTCATGCAAATATGTCTAAGAAATTATTGTTGAAATAGATTTTGACAATTATGATTAGACCAAAAAATCAATCAGATATGATTTAGAAGTCAATGAACAAAATTTGATACTAGGAGATCATCTAGATGAACTTTAGTTTGATGGTAGTTAGATTATTTCAAGAGAAGTAGGTGATAATATTGAATCTACAATTTATCTTAGAGAACAAGGATGGATTAAAAATAGAAGTGGTTAATTGGAAAAAATAATATCTATTGATAAAATATTACATTTCTATGAAGAAGAGATTTTAATACAAAATTTATCAGCTGGTAAATAATAAAGAAAATTAATTCGAAGACCTATTTTAGAAGAAGGGGAAAAATGTTAATTAGGAGAAGATTTAAATGAAAGAATGTCTGATGATTAAGTTGTTGTTAGTCGAAAAATTGTGAAGAATGATGGCAATCTTGAAAATTGGAAGAAAAATGAGATTACAAGAAATTTAGAAAAAGTTTTAATTTAGAGTGAGCCAATCGAATTTATTGAAGAAGAAGTACTCACATTTAATCAATAAACTGGAACTATGATCAGATAACTAATAAAAAGACCATCTGTTAATAAAGATAAAATTTAATTTGGTCATTTAAAAGAAGTTGATAAGGATGGTAATATTATTGTTAAGCGTACACTTGTCCCTAATTTAAAGTTACTTGGTTCAGATTGGACAAGAGGATCTATGGGATCATATAGGTAAACTATAGCTGAAGAACCTGAAGAATATATTGAAGAAGAAATAATAGTGATTAAAAATGGAAAATAGGAGAGAAAACTAGTTAGAAGACCTTTTCTTCAAGATGATTTATAAAGAAATTATGGGGATGATATTAATGATATTAATGAAAATGGAGAAAGAATAGTTGCAAGAAGAGTTGTTGGAAATGATCAATCAAAGGAATTATTAGAATAACAAGGGTGGAAAGTAAATGAAAATGGAGAATTAGAAATTAAGTAGATAGAACCTACCTAATATCTCATTGAAGAAGTCTTATGTTTTAATAAAGAAACAGGTAATTATGAGAGGAAAATGATCAAAAGACAATTGACTAAATAAGATGAGAAATTAAATTATGGGGAGAATTTAGCTGAGGTAGACAAGAATGGGAATAAAATATTATCCAGGTAAGTAATTTAAAATGTTTAATCTCTTAATAAATAGAAGGAAGAAGGTTGGATTGAATAAAATGGAAAATACGAGAAAATCATTAGCATTTAAGAACCTGAAAAATATATTGAAGAAGAAGTGCTCATCTTAAAAAATGGAATCTAAGAGAGAAAACTAATTAGAAGACCATACAATAATTAATAAGTCAATATTGGAGAAAATTTAAATGAAGATCATAATGGAATGAAAATTGTATCTAGAAGGATTGTGTCTAATGATTAATCATCTTCATAATTGCAAAATGAAAATTGGGTTAGAAACAATAAAGGCTAATTAGAATTATAAATATCAAAGTCTGAGCCTTAACAATATGTTGAAGAGGAGGTTCTAGAATATAATTAAGAGACTGGACTTCTGGAAAGAAAATTAATTCGCAGATAATATAATCCAAATAAGGATGGTAAATTATAAACTGGAGTGGAAATAAATGAAATTGATTCTAATGGAAATAAAATATTATCTAGGTCGATCATTGATAATACTAAATCATTCAAATCTAACCAATAGGACGGATGGAGTGCTTAAAATAATGGAACTTAAATTAAAATAATTTCATCCTAAGAACCTGAAGCATATATAGAAGAAGAAATCCTTGTTGTAAATCCAAAAACAGGCAAGTAAGAAAGGAAACTTATTAGAAAACCTTATTATCAAGAGGATCTTGATCTTGGAGAATCAATTAATGAAATTAAGGATGGATAAAGAGTAGTTGCGAGAAGGATTGTATAAAATGATCAATCAATTTATGGATAAAAAAATTGGTAATAAAAAAAAGGGTAAGAAATCCAAGAGATTATTCTCAATGAAGAACCTACATAATACATAGAAGAAGAAATATTAATTAAGGATAAAAATGGTTAAATTGTTCGATAAAAAGTAAGAAAGCCTTATGATCCAAATAAAAAAGTATAAACTGGAAATGTTAATGAATAACTTTAAGATGGAACGGTTGTAGTTAATAGAAAGATAATTGACAATAATTGTTCATAATCTGAAATGAAAAATTGGAAACCTGATAACAAAGGATAGTTGGTTCAAGTTATTAATTAAAATGAACCAGAACGATATATAGAATAAGAAGTTTTGATAATTAATCCGAAAACTGGAAGACAAGAAAGAAAATTGATAAGGAAGCCATACACTAATTAAAATGAAGTTATTGGAGATGATTTGAATGAATCGATAGGTCCTAATATGAAAGTAATTTCAAGGAGAATAGTCTCAAATGAGCATTGCTCTGATGACTGGTAATTTAATAATGGCCAATTTGAGTAGATCTTAAATAACAATGAGCCTGTAAAATATTTAGAAGAAGAGGTTCTGGTTAAAAATAATTAGACTGGACAATTAGAAAGGAAATTAATAAGAAGACCATTCTAGAAAGATCAAAAATTAGGTGATAACTTAAATGAATAAAGAGATGGTATGACTGTATTAAGTAGAAAGGTTGTTGATAATAGATCAAAGTAGGGATGGGAATAAAAAGGATAAAATCTTGAAAAAGTCCTAAATGATAATGAAGTTGAAGAGTACATTGAGGATGAAATAATCATTTAAAATAAAAAAACTGGTAAACAAGAGAGGAAACTAATTAGAAGAAATGTAAATGATCCTCCTCCAAAGGAAGGTATAGTTGTATCAAGTAAAAGAGTGTAAAATACAGAAACCAATGAATAAATAAAATAAGCAGGTTGGGTTAAATAGGATGGTTAACTTGTAAAAGTAGTTGCAAAGAATGAACCAACTAAAATGATTATAGAGGAAGTGTTGCAATATAATGATGAAACCGGATTAATGGAAAGGAAATTAGTAAAGAGACCCTATGATCCTAATAATAAGAAATAAGATATACAAAATGGAACTGTATTATCAAGAAAAATCGTTGATAATGTAGAGGCATAAGATTAAGGGTAATAATGGGTGTTGAAGAATGGGCAATATGAGTAGATTTTGTGCGATGATGAACCTGAATAGTTTGTAGAAGAAGAAATAATAATTATAAATTAAAAGACTGGAAAATAAGAAAGAAAATTAGTAAGAAGACCTTTGAGAAATGATGAGGATCCAGACATCGGAGAATCACTAAATGAATCATTAGGAAATGGAAAAAAGATTGTAGCTAGAAGAATCATCTAAAACAATCAAACTAGTGAAGAACTTTAATAATGGCAGAAAAATGGGGAAGTGATGGAAAAATAATTGGCTTCTGATGAACCAACTAAATTTATAGAGGAAGAAATACTTGTCCTTAATCCAGAAACTAAATAATTAGAGAGAGTGCTTGTAAGAAGGCAATATCAGCCATGTGAAGTTGGATAAGTTAGTGAAACTGATAAAGACGGTAATAAAATAGTTTCAAGGAGGATCGTCGATAATGTGGAGTCTTCATAAAATGGATGGTAAAAGGTTAAAGGGATATTGAAAAAGGTTGTTGCTGTTGAGCCAGTTAGATATATAGAAGAAGAAGTCTTAATTATAAATTAGAAGACCGGAAAGCAAGAAAGAAAACTCATTAGAAGACCATTGAATGATGGATAAGATCCAGGTGAATTAGGTGATTCTTTGAATATTTCTTCTGAGGAAGGTTATAAAATTGTTTCCAGAAAGATTGTAGATAATAATTAAGCTAAAGAAGCAATGTAAGAATGGGATGAAATTGATGGTGTCAAAATTAAAAAGATTGGGGTTGAACCCGTCAAATTTATTGAGGAAGAAGTTTTAGTGTTAAATCCAGAGACGGGTATGATGGAAAGAAAGATAATCAAAAAACCCTATAATCCGTCAGCTAAAGTTGGAAATAATCTTAATATTTAAGATTCTTAGGGAAATCTAGTACTCTCAAGGAAGGTTGTTGAAAATAATCAATCAACCTCTAAATCATAATGGAAATAAGGATAAACAGAAATCTTGATTCAAGAAGAGCCAGCTTAATATATTGAAGAAGAAATTTTAGTATTAAATCCTAAGACTGGAAAACAAGAACGAAAAATAGTCAGAAAACCATATTATGGGGAAGATGTTGAATTGGGGGATGAATTAGATGAAGAAGTATCTAAGGATTAGCACGTAGTTGCAAGGAGAATTGTAAACAATGATTAATCACTCGATTAATTAAAATAATGGAAAAAATAAGGAGATGAATTGGTGATGACTCTCAACTCTAACGAACCAGCCTAATAAATCGAAGAGGAAGTCTTAGTTCGTAATCCTGAAACAGGGATGATGGAAAGAAAGATTATTAGAAGAGACTAAAGTTCATAACCTTAATATGATAAAGTGATTTCAAGGAAGGTTGTTGATAATAGAAAATCTTCTATTGTTCTTAGTAAATAAGGATGGAAATAAAGTAATCCTGGAGCTATTGAAGTAGTTTTGGGAGAAGAACCTGAATAATATATTGAAGAAGAAATCATCTAAGTGAATCCTAAAACAGGTAAATAGGAAAGAAAGTTAATCAGAAGACCATATTTCGGATAAGATATTGAAGTTAGTGATGAGTTGAATGAATCAATAGGAGGAGGCTAGAGAGTAGTTGCAAGGAGAATAGTTGATAATGATGCCTAAGTAAATTGGGAAAAGAAGAATAATTAATATGAGTTGAAAATTGGAAATGCAGAACCAACCAAATTTATCGAAGAAGAAGTGGTCTTCTTTAATCCAAAAACAGGAATGGTTGAAACAAAAATAATTAGAAAGCCATATTAAAAGAATGCAAAATTAGGAAGTGAATTAAATGAAGAGACAAGTGATGGTGTAGTCCTATCTAGGAAGATAGTTGATAATTTTGAATCAATAAAAAAATAGGAAGAATGGTAGAAGGGTTAGGATGGAAATATGGTGAAAATAATCTCAACAAAGAAGCCTGATTAATTTATTGAAGAAGAAGTTATAATAGTCAAGAATGGTAAATAGGAAAGAAAGATTGTTAGAAAACCAATATTATATGATTAATAAGTAGAAGAATCTGATGATTTGAATTAAGATGTTGGAAATGGATAAAGAGTACTTTCAAGAAAAATAGTTAAAGGAGAAGAAGGAAAGGAGTTTGAATTAAAAAATGGAGTATTTGAGAGGTAAATTTCAAAGAATGAACCAACCAAATTCATAGAAGAAGAGATCCTAGTTTATAATGAAGAAACGGGAATGATGGATAGAAAATTAATAAGAAGACCATTTACAGAGGGCCAAAGATAGTTTGATGAAAATGGAAATAAGATATTATCATCAAAAGTAATTGACAATAATAAATCATCAAATTCTATGTAAGAATGGAATTCTAGTAAAAATGGGTAAAAAGAAATAATATTATCAGCTGAACCAGAATAATATTATGAAGAAGAAGTCCTAATATTTAAGAATGGAAAGGCTGAAAGAAAATTGATTAGAAAACCATGCAATGGATAATAATTGAAGTTAGGAGATGAATTAAATGAAAATGATGGATAAATGAAAATACTCTCTAGAAAGATTGTAAATAATGAAATGACTACTAATTAAAAATAAGAGTGGAGTTAATAATAAAATGGATGTTTAGAGAAGGTTTTATCTTAAAGTGAACCTATAAAATACATTGAAGAAGAAGTCCTGGTTTGCAATGAGGAAACTGGTATGATGGAGAGAAAAATCATAAGAAGACCTTTAACTTAAAAAGATACTTAATTAAAATAAGGAAATAATCTAACAGAAGTTAATTCATAGGGTGATAGAGTTGTGTCAAGAAAGATTGTTGAAAACGCTTTGACTGAAGAAAAGAAATAGGAATGGGTTATGGATAAAAATGGGAAGATGGAAAAAATTATCTCCCAAGAACCTTTATAATACATTGAAGAAGAGGTTATAGTGATGAACAAAAATGGAAAATAAGAAAGAAAATTAATAAGAAAACCATATAATGGATAAGATTTGTAGGTTGGTGAAGATTTAAATGAAGGAAAAGGAAATACTAAAGTTGTAGCTAGAAGATTAATTGATAATTAATAATCAAGTGCTGAATTATAAAAATGGTAGAAGAAAGGAGACTAAATGGAATTAGTGTTGGTTAAGGAAGAACCAACTTAAGTTGTAGTTGAGGAAGTACTTATGTATAATGCTGAAAAAGGTGTTATGGAGAGAAAGTTCATTACTAGACCGATAAACTCTTAAGAAATTGAAGATCCTAATGTGAAAGTATTATCAAGAAAAGTTGTTGATAATTTAAAGAGTTAATAATTGGGTGAATAAGTGATTGCAGAAGAACCTGAATAATATATTGAAGAGGAAATCATCACTATAAATCCAAGGACTGGTAAATAGGAGAGAAAACTCATCAGAAGACCTTATTATGGAGAAGAAGTTGAATTAGGTGATGATATGGATGAAGCTGGACAAAAAGGAGAGAGAATCATTTCAAGAAGAATAGTTGAAAACGAGGAGACTACTGAAGGATTAAAGGAGTGGAAACAACAACCTGATGGTTCAATGGTTAAAATATTGGCTTAGAATGAACCTGTTAAATATATTGAAGAAGAAATCTTAGTTTTAAATCCTGAAACTCAATAGATGGAAAGAAAGCTAATTCGTAAACCTTATAATCCTAATGCTAAATTAGGAAATGTAAAGGAAACCGATTAAGATGGTAATGTGATTGTTTCAAGAAAAATAGTAGAGAACAAACAGTCATAACGAAGATGGACAGTAAAATAAGATGGAAAATTAGAATAAGTAATTTCTAAGGCTGAACCAATTCAATTTATTGAAGAGGAAGTATTGATTCTAAATCCTAAAACAAATCAGATGGAAAGGAAGATTATTCGTAGACCAATGTAAGCAGGAGATTCAGAATTGGATACGGGGGATTCTTTGAATGAATCTAGGGGGAATTAAAAGGTTGTTGCAAGAAGAGTAGTGTAAAATGAATAATCTCAAGATTAATTGTAAAAGGAAGGATGGGTAATTGATAATAAATCAGGGTAAATGGAGTTGGTCTCGAAAGAACCCGTTAAATATATATAAGAAGAGATACTAGTTTAAACAGAAGATGGATAATTAGTAAGAAAGTTAGTCAGAAAACCATTTAATCCAAAACTGAAAATTGGAAATAATCTATAAGAAACGGATAATGAGGGTAATAGAGTGTTGTCAAGGACAGTTATTGAAAATAATTAATCATTGGCTAGCTTATAAGCTGATGGATGGAATGTATAAAAACAGGAGAAAGTTATATCTCAAGAACCTTTGTAATATATTGAAGAGGAAGTAATTATTGTAAACCCAAAGACTGGAAAATAGGAAAGAAAAATAATAAGAAAACCGTATTATAACGAGGACTTGGCCATTGGTGATTAATTAAATGAAGTAAATGGTGGCTAGAGAGTGCTAGCAAGAAGGATAGTGGATAATGAATAATCACTAAATTAATTGAATGAAGAAGGATGGAAAATGAAAGATGGAAATTTGGAAATAACAATGACAGAGCCATCTTAAATGATTGAAGAAGAAATACTAGTGTATAATGAAGAAAGTGGATTATATGAACGAAAACTAGTGAGAAGATAATATGATGCAAAAAGGGATTCTACTTTGTAATTTGGTTAATTGAAGGAATTTGATTAAAATGGAAACAAAATTCTATCAAGAAAGATAGTAGAGAATGTTGAATCAAGTTAATAATTGCAAAAGAGTGGATGGGTTAATCATCAAGGAGTGTTAGAGAAAACTATTAATGTGCAGGAACCCGATAAATTCATAGAGGAGGAGATCTTGATAATAAATCCAAAGACAGGTAAATAGGAAAGAAGATTAACAAGAAGACCATATTAACCTGGAGATGAAAAGATGGAAATGGGTGATAATATTCTTGATTAATAAGGGGGAAAAAAGATAGTGTCAAGACGTATTGTAGAGAATGATAGCTCATCTGAGTTTTAATTGTAATAAGGTTGGAAGTAGATATCTGCTGGGATGTTTGAAGTGCAATTGTGTGCAGCTGAACCAGTGAAATATATTGAGGAAGAGATCTTAATTGTAAATAAGTAGACTAAATAAATGCAAAGAAAATTAATTCGAAGATAATACACTATTAAGGATTAGAATTTGAAAATAGGAGATGACATAAAAGAAAAGGATGCTCAAGGAAATAGAATTTTAGCAAGACGTTTGATTGAGAATGTGCAATCCTTGACTTAATTGAAGAAGGAAGGATGGTCTAAATTATCTGATGGAACATTGGAAAAAATATTGGCAAATATAGCTTAAAAGTTCATTGAGGAAGAGATCCTAGTTTACAATCCAAGAACAGGTAAATAAGAAAGAAGATTAACAAGAAGACCTGTGATGTTGGAGGATGATAAATTTAAAGTTGGTGAATAAATTAATGAATAATTGAATGATGGTACTAAAGTGGTTGCTAGAAGGATAGTTGATAGTGATTTTGCATTAACTAGTTGGTAATAGAATGATTAAGGAATTCTTATTCATTAAATTAGTGAAGCTGAACCACTGAAATATATTGAGGAGGAAGTATTGTAAGTGAATCCAGAGACTGGAATGATGGAAAGGAAATTAATTAGAAGACCATATAATGATTAAAAGGTGAATTTGGGAAAAAATATTAACGAAAGTAAAGAGGATGGTACAATAGTATTATCAAGAAAATTAGTGGAAAATAATGAGTCATTAGCTTAATGGAGAAGAGAATCAGATGGTAAATTAGTAAAGGTAATTAACCATGAAGAACCAGAACAATATGTTGAGGAAGAAATCATAACAGTCAATCCAAAAACAGGTAAACAGGAAAGAAAATTAATCAGAAGACCATTTACTGAAGATGATAGAAATGCAATTATTGGCGATCAAATAATTGATGAAATTAATAATGGATAAAAAGTTATATCAAGAAAGATAATTTCTAATGTTTGTTCAAGTGATGATTGGAAATAAAATGAAGATGGTCATTTTGAGATTGTTGTTGCTTAATAGGAGCCAATCAAATTTATTGAGGAGGAGGTTCTATAATATAATGAATAGACTGGGATGATGGAAAGAAAACTAATAAGAAGAGTATTTTCAGCATCAGCATAATTAGGAAATAATTTATAGGAAACAGATGAAAAAGGAAATATTGTTATTTCGAGAAGAGTAGTTGAGAATTTGTTATCTTCAGAATAACAAAAGAAAGATGGGTGGAAATAAAATTAAGGAAATTTGGAGTTAATGTTGAATGCATAAGAGTCTTTGTAACTAATTGAAGAATAAGTACTAATTAGAAATCCAGAGACTGGCAAATAAGAATTAGTATTAAGACGTCGTCCATATGTGGAAGGTGAAGAACCAGTTAATCCAAGTGATGGATTACTATTATCAAGAAAAATAATTAAAAATAATCAATCATAGGGATAACTATTTAATGAAGGATGGAGTAAAACAAATGGATAATTTGAGAAGAAGATTCATAATGTAATAAATCCAATATTATCAAATAAATTGATCCCAGATGATCCTACTTCATTGTATTATCTTGAAGAAGATCATATTTTGACAAATCCTAACACTTAAGAATAAGAAATTCATGAACTTAAATTCCCATATCAAGGGAATCAACATTTAAAAATTGGAGAGGGATTAAGAGAAAGAGATGATTCAGGAAATCAAATAATTGCAAGAAAGATAGTCACTAACATAGATCCTGATTATAACCCTTATTAAGATGTAGAGGAAATTACAGAGATCATTGGAAGTGGAAAGGTTAATGAGTTTTATGCACTTTAAAAATTGGTTAATATCACTGAAGTTATTATAAGTAAGAATTTGAATGAGAAATAACCAAATGGATTCATCATCAGATCTAGAGTGGTTATTAATGAATATCAAAAGACTTAATAATAAGGTTGGAGAAAATTGAGTGAATCCGAGATTCCACCAGGAATAAGATAGTGGAATTAGAATAAAAGATCCATGTATTAGATTGATGAGGACAGTTAGGAACACAGAGATTCTTAATATAGATCAGTTGATGAACAGAATTAGATAAGGATTTTGGATTAGAAGTTGAGTGTCAATGGAAAATATGTAGAGGAAGAGATTTTGATAAAGAACCAACACACTAATAAATATGAGAGAAGACTGTAAAGAAGATATACAAATGAAAATACATTTGGTGATGATTTGGATGAACTAATATTAGACATTAAATATCTAGCTAGAGCAGAAGTTCAATACTAATTAGAATTAACGAAGTAAGGATGGATGGAGGTAGGCAATTAAGTATTGTAAAGAGTCATAGCTAAAAACGAGACTTTGTAAATGATTGAAGAGGAACTATGCAATAAGGAGAAACATGTATAAGTGTTCATACTAAAACCTTACAAGAATGAACAGGTGTAAATTGGTGAAATGGATGAATTATAAGAAAATGGATTACATTTAATGAGAAGATCGATTGTTAATAATAGATCATTGGCATACTATAAGAACAATGACTTTATTAAGAACAAAGATGGAACCTATATTAAATAAATTAAAGGCGGTATCACAATGAAGATTCCAAAATACTAAGAATAAAATTTTGTTCGGAGACCTACTCAAAGACTCTCTTAAATTCAATAGATTGAATAACACAACAACAACATCATTAAGATTGGTATTACTGAAAATGGATAGGATGAACCTGCCATTGTTAATAGAACTACCAATTCAGACATTTCAGAGACTGATAAGATGTTTCTCAAATAATTAGAAAGAGGAACTAAGAAAGATAGATCGAACATATATTAGAATATCTTGAATGATGAATAATTGAGAGGAAGAATCAACTCGGATAAGAATAATAAGAGTCCTTCTTCGCCTTTTAGTGAATGTTCTATCCCTAATAGAGGCAAAATATTATCCAAAGTTTTGAATAAATTTGTTAAAACCTCATTATCTCAAGCTATGAATGAGCTTTAATTAATTTATTTGGCTTATAGACAAAAGAAGAGATAAACTTATCAAAGAAACTCCACTAATTTAACAAACATTCTAGCCAATTTATTCTATCGTCAACCTTTTGACACTTTGATTGAGCATATGCAAAAAAATGTCATTGAATTTGATGAAGATGATGTCATTAAATATAATGAAATGTTAGATGAGAATAAAATAATTGCTATGGAAATACAACCAACTGGCAATGAAGGATAAGCAGCAGAACCAGTTGAATTGAATGTTACACCTCCTGAGAAAAAAAGGATTCTCAAAATCAAACCTAAAGGCTAACCAGAAACTAAAATAGTTGGCAGTATTTCTCAACATGATAGTGTATAACCCTACTAAAGAAAGAGTGTAGTCCATAATACAATGAAAGTCTAGACTCCGTATTAGAGATCTGCAGGAAGAGCCTCAACTGTAATTAAACCAAATACTTTGCAAAGTTCTTAAAGTCTCAAACCAACTACTTAACTTGCGTAATTATTTTTCAATATTTAATAGACGTGGTTCACTTCAAAATATCTCAGTTCCATTTGGATTGCAATAACCAAGAACTAATGGTAAAAAGAAGACTAATAAAATTAAAGAGGCTCAAGAGAAATCAAACTCTTAGAGTAATAAACATAGTTAAACTCCATTGTCCTAATCTTATGTATTTATTCAAACTAATTAATTAGGCAACCATAAGTTAAAACTAATCTTAAGCATCAATTTAAAAACAAATGTCATAAGAACAATTGGCACAAATACAAAAGAATAAAATTGCATCATAATTTAAAAGAATGGGATCAGTGCAATTATCTGGAGCATTCAAAAAACCATGATATAAATTTATATTAATATATATTTATCCTTAAATATAATAACCATCATTTATTATAAAAAGTATATTTATTCATTTGTTGTCTATCTTATAAATAAGATTTTCATTTGCTTTTATTAATTCCTCCTACAACTAAGATGTCTATTTAAGATTTTCCTTAAGTGAATTAAATCCACTATTGATTTCTTCCAATTGACTTCCCAAAGCTCTGGCTGCAACGTATTTACGAGTGGTTAACTTTAATTGAATGGCATATTTTTTCATTTTTTTGCTCATGTTTGTGAATTCATCTTCAGTCAAATCAAGATGTCTACAAAATGAGTGATACATACCTTTTTGCATAATGCATACGACCAAAAATGGTAATAATCATAGCTGCTTCCTATTACATTTGTTTTTTCAAACTCAAACGATCAATGAGAATGACAACCTTGTTTTCCAATGTAGTTAAGTATGACTCATTTGTGATGATCACAATCATAGATGACACAACAAAGTTACCCAAAATACAAACCACACTCATTACTATACGTCCCAATAATGTTCTTGTATAATAATCACCATATCCTAACTACAATTTAAACTAGAAAATACAGTAGTGCTTGTAACTATAACACACCACATGGAATTAGCGTAACTACTAAAATCGTTACTGCTAACATCAATCCTATTTAAGGGACTCTCACATATTCTTAGACAGTAACCAAATACAAATATCAAAAGAATCATAGCACTATAGTTCACAGTGAAAGGCTGATTTCTATTGATGTAATTATTGTTACCTCATTAGAGATTTTATGGTAAACATGTAATCGGCTTGACTAGCATACAAACTACAGACTCTATCTGTTCGATTAGAATGCCAATATGAATTCAATAAAGTTGTACGAATAAAGAAGATTACTCGAAATGCCAGAGTCAAACATAGCAATTCATTTGCATAATAATATACCTGTCTATTATATATAGATTACATCTCCATCGACAAAATCATTAGTAAAATAAAAACTAATACTATCTAAGAAAGGAAGGGGAGATGCTGCAATAATTATAATTTCCATCAACATCTCTACGTGCTCCTTTGTAAATCCACTATACACATCTCCTTTACTCTCTCTCCATTTCAGTTTTACTTGATTCCTAACTACAGCCAATCCCATCATTATTATATTTGATATGAATATCACCCACAAGATCACCAAGCGTGCTTCTGGTTATTCATCGTAATGAATTAATTCTAATGTTATCACAGTTAAACCAGTCCCAATAAAATTGAATACAAAAAAACTCAAATCCATCATCCTAAATCTACAATTCATTATCTAAATCAAATACCGTTGATAATATAGATTAGTCACTCTTCCATCTTCCAATGCATCCCCTGAAGATTCTAAATCGAAAAAGGGAGCCTTATTTTAGATCGGTTCTTATAGTTAATTGGCCTATGTATTGAGTCGTTCTTGATCTGGTTATGTTTGCATTATAATTTAAAATATTAAAAATATCAACTCAGTACAAAATTTCTTTAATTTCTTTTTCCATATCAAGCATTTTCAATTTATTAATTCTTAGCTGTCTCTACTCCTACTTTGATAATTGTAGTTACTCATCTGGAGTCGGTTACTTTATTTGCTAATCACCAGATTATACATAATCGTTGTCTACTAATATTTCTAATTATACTCTTACTAATTAAATTAATCTATAAATAAAGTACATTAATCAGAATGAATCCCTTTATCTAAACAAATCTTACACACTTTTACATTTTTGATCATTCTCACACATTACTTATGAAAAATGTGACAACATGACATAAATGCATACATATACTTATCATTTTCTTATTCGCATACCAGACATCTATCCATTAAAAGAGTCCCTTTTTATTCTTAACTATAAAGTATCTGTAATCTTCCAAAATTTTAATAAGTCTAATTTCCTATAAATTGTTCATGTGTAATTAATTAAAAAAAACATAACTTCTGTAAAGATACACTTGTTCTTCTCAGTTCTTCAATATTTGTAAAAGGCTTTAAAAGTTAACTTAAATTGCTAATAATCAACTTAGGATGGACTTTCTCAAAAATTTCCATTAGGATCTCTTAAAATACTTTATTTATGGAGTTCTTCTCATTCTTTTATAAACGGAATTCTGAACGTAAACTCAGCATTCTATTCACGCAGGTCAGCCAATATTGAAAATTATCATCTTCATTTGAACAATTTTCTCTGCATATTTTTAAACAAGGGAATATTAATATTAATAATTTTTCTGTTAATTCAGATTGAGAGTGTCCACTCCCTAGAACAATAAAATCTGTTCTGATAACCTAAGATTATTCAATATTATACATCAAAATATATGTCTAGGGCTTCCTACAAGCATCCACTTCTTTCTTTAAGAAATGCAACTCCTTTCATTATTTTATATTCTTTACAGATAATCATACAATCTTCTTATGGGAAATCTCCATGTTGCAATTCATCATATACATCTTCTGGGTGATGCTTACACAATAATCTTATATAAGAGATCATGATTTATTTATCAATTATTTCATTCTTCTTCCTAGAATCTGATATTATTTGATTCAGCAAATATAATTTAAAATTGGGATGATTATCCAACTTAACTATTGCTTATTTATATAAATAGTTAGGAAAATATTACAAGAGGATCTTCAATTTCTCAACACTTACATCTGCCTATAAAATTACAATTGATTTTTACCAATTATTAAACAATAGTCACACAATATTTAATAATTTCCTCTCTCTAATCTTAAAATTAATTTGAATTTAATATTCTATCAATATAATTGAATATATATTCCTAAATTATATTATACTAAAATACCTTATCAATTAGTGATGTCGATGCTAACACAGTATTAATACATTTTATCCAATCTCCTTTTAAACAATATATCTCAGATTGAATCCTTGAACATGAAAGTATTGAGCAGGAAGCTTCTGATAAAATGGTCTACAATGATTAATCATCTCCTAATAATTGGGTTGTGAAAAATGTTATATATTAAATCAATAAATTATCTCGTTTTATTTTATCCTAATCTGTCATCTCCTCTTATAATTTATATTCCATCTTTTAATACTTAAAGTTACTTTTATCTACAAAAACCTTTAAATTCTCATATGGACATCTTAAAGTGTGAATTATAACTTACAAGAAATCCTCATAAGATATTTAATAACCTAATTTCATAATTTCCAAAATAAAGCAATTGAATTAACTTACTATATTTAATTTCTTAATTTTCGTATGTATATTTCTGATGATAATCTCAGTGAGTTCTTCTTGTTATTTATCTATAGTATCCTTAAAACCTGATAGCTTGTTGTATAACTTATTATCCTTTAAAATTAATAAGAGTTCATTTAGAAATATTCCAGCATCTATTTATAAAAACCTCTCCAATACTTCACTTTCTAAAAGCCATTATAAAATCTCAATTACTATTTAAGGCCAATATTTTTCTGAAATCTTCTCCTAAGAGAGTGATTCTCCTTTAAATATTAAACTCATAAACCATATACATTTATAACCTAAACATTATATCTGCTCATCAATTTATTTTTGACTTAGACTTGTTATATCCAGCTTATTTGATTTAAGATAATGTTATAAATCTTAAGAATTATTTTTTTAACTGGATTGATAAATCTCAAAAATAGTCAATAAAGGTGTCTTATAATCTTCAATGTCTTTAGGTGGAACATATATCAACATACTCTGCAGGTTGGATCGAATACAGAATTCCTTGATAAGAGTATAATTAATAAATCTTTGGTCTAAATTAAAAATTAAAAACTTCAATAATTTTAACTTATCATCTTAACTCAAATAGTCAAGTATATCCCTTAATGTAGTATCTATAGGTATTTACTTAATCACTCCTTTATTTATAAAAGATTCTAAACTTTCATAAAATTATCTTTCAAATCTATTATTTTTATAGATTAAATATATTTGGTTAAATAGAAACTCAAATGATTCAATCATTATTAAGAAATCCATTGCTATGTAAATTGAATTAAATGATTAAGATTTTACACTACTTTCAACAAATCTTGATACTAAGGTGTGCAAATGAGGTTTTAGATACTCTTATCTTCCAATTCTTGGAAGATTCCCTAATTTTATTAGTTTTCCAGAATATAAATATAATCCCATTCCAAATTATTCCTTCAACTCATTATTTAATTGAAATTTTTACATCTAATCCTCCCAAGCATGTAATTTATATTGTACTATTCTTTATTTAGATATTTATTCTTCGTTGGAAATAAAGAACAGTTAATTTTAAAAATTACAAATTGAGTTCTCAAAAAATAATAGTTCTCCCATTTTTTAACTCAAAATATCTTGACTTAGTGATTTTTAAATTATGTCTACTTTTTATTCTAGAATCTCTGAGATTCCTATTAAAGAATACAACTTTCTTTCATGCTTAACAAATATAATATCATTGCTCAGCCAAGTAAAATACCTAATATCTTCGTTATTAAAACTGTATTGACATAACAAATTTAAATTAGATTTCAATCTATCATTTTACTTCTCAAATTGAACTGATAGCACCTCTAATGTGTTTTCGTTGCTTACTGCTATTATGAGTGTCTTCTTTTCAATTTAACATTTAACTTAAATGAATTTATTCTCTTAAACCTTATAATTTAACTTCATTAGCAGTTGGTATTCTGGTTTCAAATTGACTAACTGTATTTAGTCCTTAAATGTTAATAAGATGTATTCCTAATCCTAAAAACTTATAGATTCAATCTAATGACAAATATTATTTTCTTTGAATTCTAATTTCATCTACATTCCATATTTTAAGAGGGTTTATTTAATCCTAATTCCATACACATTACCCAATGAATCAGTCATCAAAAACTAAATCTTAAAGTTTTTCGACTTTTAACAAACAGTCATTGCAACAGGAATACTTTCTATTTTCAATTCAAATGCCTTTACAAATTCATTTTTAACATACAATAACACTTATTTCTCAGAAAGACCTATTAATTTGGTCCCTTTATCTAAAAATCTTAGACAGATAATTGGACTATTAATAATTTTTTTGTTTTGTTCCAACTTATTTATTTGGTGATTAAATTAGATATATATTGCAGCTTTGGTAGTTCCAAAGGCCACCATATTTTCAAAACAAGTAACACTAGTTATAAGCAATCCTTTATTTTTTTCATAAAATTCCACTTGTTTATTCGAAATCTATACTTCTTTAAATAACTCTAAAGTATGTATTTTTTTTTCAAATGCTTTCAACATCTCTGTTTAATCAAATTATGATTGTATCAAAAATTATTGCCTTTCTTATTTTCCAATATTTTCTAATACATATGGAATTTCTTTTATTTCATAAAGTTATTTTTGACTTGTATATTTATCTATTTTTTTATCTCCTATTGACAAATTATACAGTAACGAGTAGTTATCCTTAAAAGGCATATTCTTATCGATTAAATTTTATTATTAAATTTCTTTTTTCGGTTCTATTGCATTTACTTTATTCTCAATAAAATTTCCTTTGAGTAATTAATCTAATTTATTCATCTACTCCTTGCTATTGGGAGTTGCTGATTTCCTTTCCTTAGGAAGACATAAATTTGGATTAGCAATAATTTCATCTAATTTCATATATTTTATTTTATAATCAAATTAATTTTAAGAATTCAAGTTAAGGATTTATATGGAACGAAATATTTGTTGAGAACTAACTAAGAATGTTAGATGGCATTCTTTTATATTGAAATGTTCTGAATCGACGAGTTTTAATCTCTTCTGCCACTTATATTAATTCTAGTCTCAATAATAACTTATTGCTTAAGAATAAAAATAACTTTGTAATTATCTTCATTATCCTAAAAATTTTTTATTAAGCTATAATATTTTGTTTAATTAAGGATTTTATATCTTTATTTAGTCATCTTTTTGCTTTTATTTCTCAATAATATAGATTTGGATCAATAATAAGAGCTTTAATATTCATGAAAATTGAGATTGATAATAAAATAAATTTTTCTAATCCTACTTATTGATTAACGTAATTATTTTATTTTAAAATCAAGTACATATTAATTATTACAATAAATGAATAATCCTTAGTGTCAATCTTGCATTTAATATATTGCAATTGTAACTTGCAGAGAATGCACAATTTCACTATGTTTCAAATGTGATGAACGTCTTCATTAAGAAAAGAATGATAATCACTACAGAACGACTATTTCATTTCAACCTCGATCAACATCATAAAATGCAGATGAAAAACTCATTGAGATGATTCAACTGAAGAAAAAAGAGTTATAAGAATTGAAAGAGAAGGAATCTCAATTAACTAAACATTATCAAGATAGAATGATATAAGCCAAGAATAAATATGAATAACAAATTTCAGCTTTAGAAAACAGATGTATAAAATCTTAGAGTATGTAGTGCAAAAAGCTTAAAAATTAATGAATGAAGTCAGCCAAGAGAGTGTTGAACTTGATGTTGATAATCTGTAAAATGAATTAGAGAATTTAGAAAAGAATTTGAAAAGTGAAATAAAATTGGTTGAAGAAGAACAAAGAATGCTAGATGAGAAAACTCAAAAGGTTGATGCTCTATTAAATAGAGTTAAAAAGGCTACAGACATTGAACAATAACAAATTGTAAAAATGAATGAAGTTGTATAAATATTCAAAGCTTGTTCAGAATAATTATAAAAAGAGAAAGTAATTATAATATATTTATTTAAGGATCTGTTGATGCTTGACAATGAAAAACTGATTACAGAAGTCGAGATCTTTGCTAAATTCTTTGATGAGAATGGACCTTTGATGGAGGAATTAAATGCTTAGAAGAATAATGAATAATAATGAAAATTTATTTTTGATAATATGAGTAAAGGTGACAAGTCTCAAAACATTTTCGATTACAAGGTTGAAACCCTTGACTATTGGAAACAAACTATTGAAACATTATAACTATCTATGCCATTCGATGTAACTATCCTCAATTAATTCACAATTAGGAAAATGCAAATTCATAGCACCTACTCTGATTGAATATGTTTTGGCCACTCTTCAATTAATGATATAAGTAAAGGGTTATAATAGTGAAGATAGCTTATTATTGCTCTTTCTAAATTTGCAGTATCACATCAATCATATCTAAGGAATTCTAACAAAAAATGTTAAGAAGTTTATGACTTCTTTTGTCAATTCATTTCGACTGTTACTCAAAGGAAATCAAGAAACCTGCTATATTACAATCATTTTGAGCCCTGCGGAATTAGTTAAAGCAACATCTGATTAATTTCGTTTTACCTTAAATTAAGAAAATACATTTATGCCAATTTATCAATGAAAGAGAAACAAAAGTTAAACCTCTAACCTTTGGTAAATTCTCAAATTAGGTTTAGATTCATGGGTTTCTGTTATTTCTAAGTAAATAGATACTACTGCCATCAGTCTAATTGGAAATAGAATTAGAGAAGATGCAGATGAAAAATCAAAGGACAAAATCCTTAAAAATAGGTAAATTACCATCATTAATTATACATAGTGTAAGACCTTACGATCTACTCATTTATTGTTATGAATTAGAATCTCAAAGACTTTAACAATTTCCTCAATAAAGATAAGTTGCTACATTTTCACCTTAGTAACAACAAGATGAAGAAATACCTTAGAAATCAACAGTCTAACCTATCTAATAATAATAAAACAAAAATAATCAAAATAGTCCAATCTCTATACCAAAATGAAATAAGTTGTCTTAATTCATGAAAACCTTGCATCGAATTATAATAAATTAGCCATTTTTGCTTAGTAGACCTAAGCCTTGTTGTCTAAAGTTTTAATTCAAGTAATTTCTCCTTTTATTTTAGATCAAACAAGGATAATAATTGGATGAATCCGAAATATAAGGGCTATAAAATATCTTGAAGTTTAAAGATTTCTTACAAACAGATCCAGAATTAACATCAAGGAATAGTGGAATATATGAATTATTTTGAGATTTAAAATTTGATGATATTTATTTAATTTTAGAGCTTATAAATAATGTACTAAATTCATATTTAACAGAAATTCATAATTCTATTTAATTTCTCACTATTATTAATTTATGGAAAAATATTAGAATGATTTAACAAAAATGATATATTAACCGCTATAATTGAACATACTCTATAAATAAATGGAAGTTAAACTCCAAAATAATACAATGAAACAATAAATTCTTTAAGATTTAGGAGAAAATCCAACAGAGATTGATATTAAATATATAAGCTATATCACAAATATCCCAGCACCATAAATTAAATAGTGGTTGGAAGAGTCATAAAAAACTGATGTAAGCATAGATATCGGCTCCAAAGAATGTCTTATTCTTGGAAGTAAGAAACCAAAGGGGATTAAGAGTGTTAAGATTAAAATTGAGACTCACCATAACGCTTTTGATTAACCTCAAAAATAACAAGAAGAGTAGAAATAAATAAATGAATTGCAGCAAAAAGATAATATCCATAAATAGGGCTAAATGGAATCAAAAGTAAAACAAAAGAATCAATAAGTTATTCAAAAGCAAAAGCTAAACTAATAAATCTAAGAACCAGTTTTCATTGAACCTAAAATATTACCTCCTATTATTCAACTAGAATAAATCTATATTAAAAGCTCAATTGAAAATTAACCTTTATAATCTGATATCAATCAAGAACAGAAGGACTAAATAGAAAGCAATCATAAAACGAATGAAATAATTGTCACACTACAAGCAGAAGAATAAAAAAAAGGATATCAAAAAAACTCCGATTAATTGCTAAAGGATAAAAATTTGATAAAACCTAAATTGCTAATTTAAACGACCATTATGGAAAACAACCAAAATACAGATTTATTACCATCTTAAGTCCAAAAAGTGTAATAGTCTAAAATCAGAGAAGGCATAAATTAATATAACCCCCTTGTACAAAACGATGAAGTTCCTACGCTTGATATAAATCAAGGATAAGATGAAAAACATAAGTAATAGAATAAATTGGATAATAAAAATAAAAAATATGCTCAATAAAAATAAAAATAAAATGAACAGAAATCAAATTAAATGATTTCACAAAATTAATAAGATGATCAAACTGATATGGCCAGAGATTTCGAAAAGAAGTTAGCTTATCTTCGAAATTAATATAATGTTAGACATAATAATGTAAATACAAAGAGTTAAAAACAACATCGATCGTCATAAATTGAAAATACTAAGAAAAATCTTGAAATCTAAATGTAACAAAATTATCAATAAGAATAAGAACTTTAACCAATATCAATAAGTAGCAGTCCTAATTCATAAAAATATTAATAATAATAATAAGATTAGCATTAAATTTTTTAGCAATTTTAAAATTAACCGATATCGGATGATAAATTGAATAATTCATAAAATATCTAATAGTAATAATTATAAAATTTAGCTTAAAATTCATTAAGGTAATAAAATCAATATTTGAATAAATAACATTCATTTTAATATTAACACTTATAATATTAAAATGTAAATCAAGATTAAAGACCCATAGCATAATAACCAAGTATTTAATAAGATTACCCATATAATACTTAAGTGGCTGTCATCAATTAAACTTATTAACCTTCTTAATAAAAGAACCCAAAAACAGCAATTAATAATCCAATTTAATCTGTTTATAATTAATCATTATATTAAATACCTGCCTAAACTTAAGAATAAAACTATTGTTCGTAATATTCTTATTATGATACAAATATTTTATAAAAATTGTAATAACGTTTAGATATGATATTTTTATCATAAAATACGCATCAGTTGACACTATTATAAAAGCTTGATTAGATTATAAATTTAATTTAGAGACCACAAAGCAAAAAATGATTTATAATTTATTATTTGATAAATATTGATTTTAGATTATTACCAAGCTTTATAAAATTGTAATTAATATTTACATAGATTCAAATTATATATATTCATATGTACTGAAGCGTATTAAATGGATAATAAAATTAAACAGCATTGTTATAATTTGAAAATCATTCATTTTTTGAAATCAAACTAATTAGGTTTTTAAATGTTACATATCCAAAAATTCTTAAAGAAGTATCTCGCTTGTTTATTTATTCCTAATTATTGATTACCCCTATCAATAATTCAAAAAAAATATAATAATAATGAATTATTCTATACTAATCAAAGTTCAAATCCAAAACCTGAAAATTCCAATTCTTATGGCATTTGAGGAAAAGATATATCTTCCTAATCAAAATCAAATTTTCCTAAAGGCGTAGGAGAAAATAAATATTGGTTACTTTATTCTTCGATCTCACTTATAATTTAATTCTATTATGGATCTTCTTACTTGAATTATGGGAACAATTCTTTGAATAATAGTTGAAATGCATTCTCTAAACATATTAAATTTTAGTACATGACTCAGATTTCATACCTTTTACTAAAATGCGAACACTATCAATGAATAATCTACAGTTCTTTTCACCTTCTCTTGCTAGAGAAAGTTTAGTCTTAAATATTTAAGAAATATTTTACTTGTAGAAATAGTAAAATACTATTTTTAATTTTAATTTAATATTCAATTGAGGACAAGAGGTTCTATTAAATTTTTACTTATTCAAATTAAAGTGCTTAAATTTAATTATTTAATTCAGACTATTCCACACCAAAAATACTAGTATCTCTAATAATTTATTTTTGATGTTTTTTTTTAACAATGTTCCTCATTAATACTTTTTATTTTGCAAAACATGGATGATAGTATGTTAGAGCTCCATATTGATCCTTACTACTCGTAAATCCATACATATTGAGTTATCTAAAAATGCCAATTGCTACAAAAACCTTAAGAAACTTGAGTATTTGGCGTGTTTAAAATATTTAGGTAGAACTAATTCTTATAATAGTTCCCTATCGAGAATTTTAATTTTAACTCCATCCTCATCCCATCTGATAATGTCTTGAAATTGATTTTGCTAATAGTATTTATCACTTTATTACATTTAACATTTAATGTGTGACATCAATGAACTTAATTACTGTACGTTACTTATTTTTTCTATGCATTTTTATCAAGTGATATTAATTTAAGGAGAAATTGGAATTCTTAAATACCGAAAAAAATTTAATATTAAAATAAATTTAATTACGGTATATAACGAAATAGCAACCTTGAGAAATGATATAGTTTTACTAACAGAATCTATCCAATTTTTTTATCTTCACATAAACATTATAGTTCAATTTAAAATTATAAAAATATATAGTAGAAAGAAATGTTGAAAAATTTGGATAAATTGTTTTATAAAGTTAATTGTTTTTTTTTGGATTGAATTTATAATATTTTTATGTGGTTCTTACAATTTACTCAATCTTAAATTCTTAATTATTGACGCTGATAAGCAAAATCCTCTAAATTACGATATGACTTCTCAATATTTGAAAAGGCTTCATTATATTTTGAAAACTAAGTGGCTGGATAATAGGATGATAAATAATTAAATATTTAGAGAAATGATATGTGAACCTAAGGCATAATAGGGGTATTATTGAAGTATGAGATTGCATTTTCAAGCTATAAGATTTCGCTAGAAGGAAATGTAATTTCTAGTAGTTCTTAAAATGTTAGAACTTAAAAATATTATAAATTATTTACAAAATTGAGGCAACATTCCAGTGTATATTTTAATGGTTGTATTTAATATAGATTTAGCCTAATTAGAGGTTTAGATTTTACTTTCGAAGAGTAACTATTTAAATTTAGGTAATTGTTACATTTAATAAATATTGAGTTAAACTAGTCATTTTATCAACAGATTATAAGCATCCATCTATCTGTTATTTTAATATTTATTGATTCATTTTTATTTAATTCATTTAGTTCTTCAAAACTGAAGTCTCAAGCTCGCAATATGAATTTGATGTTTTTTGTTTCTTTTTCATTTATAAATTTGGGCTGTACTTATTAAATTATAAGTTGTAATAGCAAGAATTATTTCTTTCAGTACATATTCTTTGGAATCCATAGAGATTTAATTGTCTTAAATTATATATTATAATACCTTAAGAAACTAGAAAACTTTTAATGTCTAAAGTATTTTGGTAGTATTTTTTATATAAAAGTAGGTTTATCTAAAATCATAAATTTATCTCCAAAATCATTCCATCGTATTGTATTTTCATACTCTTGATTCTATATTATTAATTTACTTAACCTCAAGAATTTAATAAAGTAATTTTAAAAATGATGAATGAATAATTCTGTTTTTCTTAATTTTCTTTTCTTACATTAATTAATAATTAATTAAATATATTATTATAATCTATAAAAACATCATCTTTTAAACAAGAATTCCATTTTTAGAATAAATAAAATTACATAATTATTATATTTTTTGGAACTTAAAATTCAATCACTATTAACCTTTAGGAGTAGATGTTTTCTTGGCTTATTTTTATAGCAATTCGAATTTGTAATCCTCTATATACTCTAGAGCCGCCTTTTGGTAATTCCAATTATTCATATCCAAGTAAAATCTAATGTGATAATATTAGATACACTGCAACTTTGCGACTCTTATCTTCTGGTTAGCACACTTAATCTAAGAAAAGTCCGATTTTCAATTCTTACATATACTTTTCTATATCACTAATTCAATATTAATATTTACACATCTTATTTTTTATAGTCACTTGTTGGATTAGGGATGATCAACTTCTTCAGATAAAAAATATCATTTGTTTATAAGTTATTATAAGTCCGTATTCTACATGCAGGCACTCCATATTATAATTCCAATCCTTCTATTGTATCATCTGGACAAATGATATGAATTATTTCTTGTTTTCCATCAGGAGTAGCTGTTTCTTATGATTATAAGATAATGTTCTTTTAGTCAGTAAACCAATCTTCATCATATAGATCATAATGATCCTTCAATTCAGTTGGTTTGTATTCTTCTTCTTTTTGTTATGGTTTGGATTTAGACATTCCGAATATCCTTGCCAAACAACCAACAGGTTCTTATTGTGGTTATTTTAGAGGTTGTTTTAAACTCTCTTCATTTACTAATGGTTAATTAATATTTTCATTGTCCTTAAGATTCATTTCTTCCATTTCCACTAAACGATGCACTTGGTTTCTTCTATTATAGACTTCATTAGGAATATCACCCACTTTCATTATATATTAAATAAATGATTAATTTAAATGAAGAGGAAAAACAACAATAAAGCAAACTAATCAATATATTTTTTCAGCATGCGAAATAAGGATTAATTATATTGCTTATGAACAATTTAATAAAGGAAGAATACTTCTTTTTACAAATCACACTTTATTTAACAATAATAATGCTAGCATTTAATTTTATTGCTGCCATATTTTTGCTTTGTGTTAAGAGGGATTTTCCTAGATTGGAGTATTTTCTCATTTACACTTTGAATTTGTTCTTATTTTTGACATTGCTTGTATATTCAATGAAATTCTTCATTGAACTTTATGATACAAATAAACAGTTATCCTTATATGTAAAAACTTACATTTTGATTTTGCTTCAAAAAGTATTAAGTTGTGAATTCATGATTAGGAAATTGAAATTTTGACCATAAAAATATTTCCATATGACATAGCTAATAGATAAGTAAATTGTTTTACATCGTTCATTTTTGTGTTTTTGATTTTATTAGATGAAGATCCTATTTAATGTAAACAACAATTTGCAGTTCTCCTGCTATTTCATTTAATAAATCACACCTTCCAGTTGATTTTTAATACTCTATTCAATCTTCTAATTTTGAATAAAAAAAAATAACAAAAAGAATTGAGAACATTTTCAAAGTAAAATAACATTCTAATAAGCTATTAGTTTACTTCTGATTGTATTTTTCTTGATTCATATAACTTTATTCATTTTTACTATTATAAAGACAATTCAATTAAAAGATTAAGAATGTCCATGTTTGTACTTTACTATTCAATTTTATAAATGTTTTGCACCAATAAACTTTGGTGCATTTTCATTCGTGATATTACTTGAATATTAGTGGTTTAAAGGCACATTAACAAATCAAGAAACTATTGATAAAAATAGCTAAAATTAGAGTTCTTGTATAACAATAATCTCTATATTTTTAGACGCTGCTTCACTTTAGAAAAACAATGCAATTCAAAAGGATAGGCAATCCTTCAAAAGTATGAGTTCAGTAATTAACAACCCTATGGATAATAGTGAATGCAATTCCTAAGCGCCAAATTTTGGAAAGTATATCTGAAAATTTATTATTTCCTAGAGATGAGAACAAACAATTGTAAAAACTAGGCACTAGCCAATTTGGTGCTTCTTAATACAATTAAGGAATGGAGCATTCTTGGGCTAATGTTTATCATTAAAATCCATTTAACTAATAAAATAGCAAAGAAAATAATAACAATCAAAAACGAGAGAGTAAATCTGTAGATGAGAGTTTTATAAGGCAGGAAGAATCCCAAATACCAGAGAATTTATCTTAATTAAATAACCCTATGGATTCAGATAGTTAAATTCTCAAATGATTTATCCATTATATATTTATGACTTCATTTTTTGCTTAAATCTAGAAAAGATTTCAACCATTTTTTTAATACAAAAGAAGATACTTTTTGAGAAAAATTGCATTTTACCTATTCTTTTTGTATTTGATTTTATTCTTTGATCAATTCAAAAGTTCAATAACAAAATTAGTTTGTTTTCGGAATCAATTTCAGTGAGGACGCACTTTAAATTCAATTCTTATTTCAAAGTATCATCGATTATATGATCTCATTGAATTCGTCTAAAATAACTAGAATCACTAAATAATTAAATGTAGCGATTTATGTTATTAATTACTTTGTTAGTAAATTTTAATTGTCAACTTAAATTGCTTTTTATTAACTTAAAATAAAATTGACATATCCTTTTTTTCTGTTGTTCCTTTTTTTTTAATAACTTAGTTTTAGTATTAGTTCCATCCTAAGCTTTATCATTCTTAATCTTAAAATAATAGAATATACCTAAAAAAGGTTATAAAATAAAAAGAAATAAAATTTCCTTTTGAAAGGATCCAAATAAATATTATTTGAGTGTATAATTAATTAATAGATTTTTTAAGAGTTTTTGTTTGCAGAAGATAGTAAAAATTGCTCATTACATTACTTATGATCTCATAAAAAAGTGTCATGAAATTTATTCAAATAATTCAAAATATTATTATTGAATTTTTAATAACATTAATTAAAATATAAAGAATATAAAATGGAAGCAAAATCAACTTACCAAGCGTAAATAAACACTATGTTGGATTTAACTAATGTATTCGTGATAAAACCTGTGACTAAAAATGGCCTTGATATGAAGATAGCAATTGATTATAACCCTTAGTATAACGAGTAAGTTTAAATTAAAATTTCAGAACTCTGGGATGTATGTAGAATATTGTACCGATATTTAACAACGACGGAGATCCTACTTAATATGGGTTCATACTACAAATAGATCAAGTATTTAAATTTCATATTTTCTAGGCTATTCATTTGTCAAATAGCACTCATTATAGGAATTAATATGAAAAGAAACTAGCAGAAGTGTAAGAGAAGAATAGAAATCTAGTAAATATTTAAATTTACTTTTAGTTTGTACCTAAACCAAAGGGAACCAAGATCTTCTGTAATGTTTGCAAGGATTACATTGAAGATTATCTTCAAGTAAGAAATTATAGTATTTAGCATACCGAATCAAGAAGCCACAAATTGAAGTTTAGGAAGAACAAAGTTATCAACCTCATTTCCTCAATGGTTGATGAGTTTTAGAAGACTCAAAGTATACCTCATAATACACTGACTCTTCCTTCCAATTCTGATAGTTGTGGTTACTATTAGTCCATCTTAGATGAAAGCACTGAACATTGTGACACTACCTAATAATAAGAACCACAATCTATCAAAAAGATTAAATTGAATGATGGTGTCAGCGCTTACAACAAGTTGGGCAACTCGTAATCATTATCAATTAATAATTTTAGTCTTGTAAATAGCTCTGAATAATCATTCAACGACAAGTTCGGAAAGCAGTGTCTTTGAAGGAAATATTATGAGCAGCATATATATATATAAACAAAAGAAGAACAACATTTCATAAATTCTTCATCTTCTCAATAGTCTATTCTTTCATAATTACAAATTCTTTTTTAATTTAGAATTATCCAATATCTCAAATTCATATATTTATTTATAAAGTTCTCGTTTTAACTTAATTTATCATTCTAGATTCTCCAAGAAATTTGCATGTTAATAGAAATATATTTATTATTATCTTGATTAAATTATTAAGAAATGATTAAAAACAAAAAGAAATTTAATGGAATCAAATTCATCGAAGTCACCCATAAAATATTACAAGTAAAAAATAATATAATTTTTATCAGGAAAATGAGTATAAGGATATTATTACATGGGATGATAAAGGAAACAACATCACCATTATTGATAAATTCCTCTTATAATAAATTGTTTTGCCCAAATTCTTTAAGCATGCTAAATACTCAAGTTTTTTAAGGTTATATAATATATGACTGATTAGATAGTTAAATTTATATGGATTTACAAGCAGCAAAGATTAAAATGGTTTCTTATATTATCATCATAAAAATTTTACTAGAGACAAATGTGATAAAGATAATATTCAAAAAAAATTATAGATTAAAGATATTCAAAAGTCTTTAGGAATATTTTAATCTGTATAAACTGAACTTTAAAGTTAATTGTTAACCTTATAATTGGAATAAAATAGGATCAAATAGAGCCTTTTGAATTCAATTGATTAGTAATTATTAATTAGATGCAGCATCAAAGAGTTCTTAGAAGTAATACTTCATTTATAATTGAATAGACTATCCGTTTCATTAGAATAGAAGGAGAAAATTATTTTGATTAACTTATTAAAGGTATTCAAACAATTTTCTTAGGCTTGAATCCAACAGCACGTATTTAATGTATATTTATTATAGACCACCATTTTCAACATCTCATAACGATTGTATTTAAACAATTTAATATCGAAGATGTACAATCTAATCAATATCTATCCGAAATAGAAGAATAGAGTAACTCTTATATGATCTCCCCCTACCCTTTTGGATTGCTTGAATTAAGAGCAAATCTGAGTTCTCATAATGAAATAAATTTCAATAATTAAGAATTGACATTGGATTCGTGATATTTATATTTAATATATACTATTGTATCTAAATAGAGCCTGAAATAAATTATTATCAATTAGTACTAAAAATAGAATTCAGACAGACTTACAGAGAATTAGTAATTTAATGATAAGTTAGGTTTTTAAGAATGCCATCATAAATAATATGAAGTTCTAAAATTATTGTATATTTACAGTGATATCAGATATTGATTAATATTCTATTTTTTCAAAATGACACATTATTAATAAAATATTTAGAAAATAATCAATTTAAAATTGAGTTGATTTTATAATGAATAAAGCACCATTGTTGATTGAAATGGATTAGATAAAAGAAGAGGAGAGTCATAAAGTGAGTGGAATACGACCATCAAAATTTTCTATAGTAAGTAGACTCTCGGTTCAAGACTTGCAAAGTGCTTGGTTTTATGTATAAGAAACTTGGAAAAGTGGCATGTCTTAAGCAGCATTGAATATCCCATTTGTTTTAGCATTGGGAGCCAATTCAGGAGTTTCAGCTGCGATGGGACTTACAACTGCTTTTATAGCTGCATTCGTGAATGGGTTTTTCAGTGGTAGCAATCACTCAATATATATGCCATCTTGGACAATTACAGGTTGGAATTATGTTCTAACTCAATAATACGGAATTTAGATATTGCCATTAGCCACTTTAGTTTCTGGATTGATGATCTACTTAATTAGTTTATTTAAGTGGCATCATTTATCAGATTACATTCCTTAATACGTTATAGAAGGATTTTACTTAGGGAGTGGATTCCTCTTTTTGATATTGTACAGTGACTATATCTTTGGTATAACAGACAATCATACGAATGTAGGTTAAAAATTATATTCGAATTTAATAGAGATGTACATTTCATATTATGAAAGAGGTGATCTTTATAACGTACTTTACACAGTTTTAATATTTATGTTCTTACAATTCGGTTATAAATTTCATAGACCCTTTCCTTGGGTTTTGTTAACTACTTCATTTGGCTTATTGATTGGGAATTTATATCCAACAGAGAAATGTTTGAGATACGTTTATGGAAATACCAGACTGTAGTTTAATTTAATATAAATCAATGAACTGGACTTGGGATTTGAGTCAATTTTTGAGATAATCCAGATATGTATACCCATAGCAATTTGTGTAACCATCCAAAATTTATTATGTGCAAGAGGGGCTTAATCTTTGACAGAAGTGAAGTGTGATTATGACCAAGAAACATTTTGTGTATCATTTGCTAATGTTATTAGCGGTTTAGTTGGTGGAATCCCTTGTTGTGCATCCAGCAGAATGTACACTCTTAATATCAGATTAAGAGACATAAATAAATGGTCATCAATAATAAATGCTTGTTCAATCTTCATATTTTATGGAATTGCTTCTCAATTTTTTATGAATATACCATTGTATGTCATTGCAGGTTAAATTTTACTAGTTGTGTATCAATTTCCTCCTTGGAATTACCTAATTAAATTGTATCAAACGAAGAGAAGATTAACATTATTTAAATGTATATTAATATCTTGGATTTGTTATAATTATGGAGCCATGTATAGTACAATTATAGGTTGTTTGCACTCATTGTTTTTATTTGCATAGAAAATGAGTGGAGCTGCATCTGAAATCATTGTAAATACAGATCACGATGCTCGTAGATCATCATATATTGAAAAAGAATAACATTTTGATGATGATCTACCAAAGGTTGATGGATCCTATACTCTTTATAGATTTAGTGGTTCAATTAATTATATTAATATTAACGTACAATTAATTATTATCAATTTTAGAATCACATTATTCAAATTAAGTAGTTAGCCTTTACAGATTATATCATATTTAGCTTTAGGTATGTCAGTGTATTTGATGAATAGGCTATTGATAAACTTGCAATCATGATTGAAAATCTCATGAGTATGTTTATTTATCTAATACTTAGAATCATAACATGAAATCTACTTGACTGGGCTCCATAAAACAATGATTGAGGAGATGGAGTATAATTCTTTTTTCAAAGAGTTCTTTGTCTTATGTCATGATAAAGTTAAGACTTTGGGTTAATGAAAGAAAATTATATATTACAGTTTTAAGCTATTTTTAAATTATAATCACAATTTATTAGTTAATTCTATTAATTAAAATGTCATAACAAAATAGGAATCAAACTGCGTAAAGGTTTAAGTTTTTATTTAATAGCAAGCAGTCTCAAAATTTAGAAAATTGCTATTCTACAAAAATAAAGGATAAAAAATACAATTTTATGAATATCTATTATAAGGATTAGATAATGATTTGTGATTTGATTTTACTTTGGGAATATGGGTGTTTAAAGGAAAAATTAAATACAAATGGCTTTCATTAATTTTGGATTTTGATGAGAGAATTTCATAGATAACAATAAAATAAATAAACAATCTTGAATTGTTGTACAATTAGAAAATTAGAAAATAAATTTTTGATATCTACAGATTTTTCTCTTAATATTAATTACAAGACTCTCTTACAACAGTTTGATGAATTGCTGATTAAGCTTTAATAATTTATTGATCATGATAAAGGAAAGGATTTGGCTTTTATTATAAATTCTGCTTTTGAGATTTATTCAAAGTTAAATGCAAATGTATAAACCTTAAATGAAAACGAGATAATTGATGGGATTCAGAGAAGATTTTTTATAAAGTAATATTTAAAATAAAGTAATGATAATGAAGGAAAATATATGAGTTACTTTAAAGAAATTAATCTAAAACTTAAAAATCTACAATTCTATTAATAAATATAAATCTATGATTTATTAATTGAATCTGATGCTGAAACTTTGGAATAAGTTTATATTTATGTCAAGAATGAAACAGCTTTACAATTTTAATTTTAAGTGAAAGAACAAAGGATAATTAATGATTTAGAATTAAATAACTATTTTTTGGCTTCTTTATAGATTACTGACTAAATAATATAGGACAAAACTGTTGCGGAAGAGTTTCTAAGAATGGAAATGGAAGATAAAAATGAATTCATATAAAACAAATTCAATGGGATGTTAAAGGAGCTAGAAAATTATTAAATTACATTTCATGATAACATTAATAATTAAGATTAGAGATTTATAAAGTTTAAAGAGGAATTAATAAACCAATTAAAATTAAAATATTGGATTTTTGAAAAGGAACTTACTTTATATTGTTAAGATGATCAGCTGAATAATTATATCAATAAAACATTTAATCGATATTATAAATCTATTTGTCTTAAACTACCAATCAAAAAACTATTTCAAGAATTTATTTAGATTATTATAGATAATGATAAAATGGAAGGAGTTATTGCTCGAATTTTGGATTTTAAAATTTAATCCATTAATAAATATGTGTTAGATCACGTACAAAAGCATAACATAGTCGATATTGATTAAAAATTAGAGTAATTGTATAAAAAAAAAAAATAGAAATATTTGGTAAAATTAAACAATAATCCAATTTACCTTTAATAAGTTGATATTGTAATTGATTATTGCAATAAAATTAGTACAATGATCGCAATTGAAAATTCTTCAGCAATTGTCGATTTCACTAATTCAAATCAACTCCAACTTTTACAAAGCTTTTTAAGTATAGTGGTACCAAATTATGAATATCTAAGTCATGATGAATAATTTTTGCTAGAATTGTTCAAAGAAACAAATAAATTTTGCCCTGATTTAAGCATTGTTAAATCTACATAATTTCTAGTTTTTTAATAAAAGATTTAATTCAGAATACCAAAATAAGAACTTTAAACAATTGTTGACAATGAACAAATTTAGGAGAGAATAAAATTAAAATATTTGAATTATGAAAAGTTTGATATTAATAAATTACTGTCTTAGTATAAGGATTTTAAATAATCACCTTCTCTTTTATACGATAACAGAATATGGGAGGAGCATCATAAATCATTGATCTCAGAATGTGTTAATTTTTTTGTTGAATAGGCATAGTAACAAAAACGCTAAAGACTCAATGAACAAAAGAAAAAATTGTAATAGAAATATGAGTCATATTTTTTGATTCCATTTGGATGGGTTGAAATCATTTTTCTTAAAAGTTTTGAGGAATCGAAAGAAGAGGAACTTATGAAAAAAATTGATGTTTTCTTTTTGAAGATGACTGAAGAAGAAGAATAAGAACTTAATACACTAAAAACATATGGAGATATAGAAGATAACGTTATTAAAAATAGAAAATAGTAAATCAGAGAATATTTTCACTCTTTAGAGAAGAAAAACTATTAATCATTTGAAGAGTTAAAGTAAGATGTTAAAATAGAGATTAAGAAGAATAGAGAATAATAATTTAAGTAAATTTATGAGTTAAAATATTATATTGATTTTGTGCATCAAGAATATCTAAAGATATGTCAAGAAATATTTATACAACCACCAACTCTTTTTGAGAGATTCAAAGTAGAAAAATAAGCAAAATCAAATGAAATGGTGGATATCAAGGTTCAAGTCATGTCATTTTATAAAGAATAACTTTTAAATCATCTGAGATAACATATTGATAGATGAAAAAGAAATTATAATTATTTATGATTAAATATATTATTCTGTCATTCTCTATATTGCAAGTACTAAGCAAAACAAAGGATGAATGGAAGTCAAGAACAGTTTACCAATTGCTTACTGATCGATTTGCAACCAGTACTGGCAAATCAAGTTCTTGCAATTTGAGTAAATATTGTGGAGGAGATTATAAAGGAATAATCAATAATCTGGATTACATCACAAGTAATTAGATTATTAATGCATTAGACATGGGATTTGATGCTATTTGGATTTCACCTGTAAATGACAATTACGATGATGGATATCATGGGTATTGGTATAGAAATATGTATGACGTCAATAAAAACTTTGGAAATGCATAGGATCTGAAAAATTTAGTTACTGCTTGTCATAACAAAGGAGTATGGGTAATGGTAGATGTTGTTGCTAACCATGTAAATAATAATGTTAAAATTAGATGGGCAACACAAATTAAGACTATACAAAAAATTATCCATTTAATTAATCAGCTCATTATCATGACTATTGCATCATAAGTGATAATGATTTCAATACTCATAATCTAGCAAATATATAGAAATGCAGATTGGCGGGTTTAGCCGATTTAAATTAAGACAATTCATTTGTATAAAGTGAACTAATTAATTGGATAAAATGGTTAATAACTGAATATTAATTTGATGGAATTAGAATTGATACCGTTATGATGGTCAAGACTGATTTTTGGACCAAATTTACTAATGCAGCAGGAGTCTATTCTGTAGGAGAAGTGTTTGATGGGGATATGGGTTTCTTAAAATAATTTATAGGCCCCATAAATGGACTACTAAATTATCCATTGTTCTACACATTAAGGGATGTATTACTACACAATAAGGGAATGAATACACTTGAAACCTTCTTCAATAATATTGCTAGTTCATTTGGAAAAGCAAATTTACCCTATATGGGCAATTTTAATGATAATCATGATAATGCTAGGTTCTTAAATGATGCTGTTACCGGTTATATTCCCTAAGACTTTGAATTCTTTGGAGAAAATTCAAACTTCACCGTAACTGCGCTAAAGAAGCTTCAATTTAAAGCTATCACTGCATTTACACTCACCTCAGTCGGTATACCAATGATATACTATGGAACTGAATAATATTATGCAGGTGGCAATGATCCAAATAATAGGGAAGTTTTATGGAATCATTTAGATTAGTAAAAATATAAGTTTAATAAATAGAACTTCTGAAATGTATAAGTTTATTAAAACAATTAATGAAGCAAGAAAAACTACAAAAGCAGCTTCTTAAGATTAAATCTAAAGATATGCAGATGCTGATATCTATGCATTTACAAGAGGAACATTGTTTGCCGCCTTTTCTAATAAATATGATAAATAAGTAGTCAAATCTATTACATATCATCCTTATGCAGAAGGTAACTATTGTTTTTACAGTCTAGGAACTACACTTTGCAACATCTTTTATACTACTGACTGTGTGAAAGTTGCCAGTGGAGCATTTCCTTTATATCTAAATTATGGAGAAGTTAAGATCTTCATTCCAAAATGATTGAAAATTATTAATAAATTATAATAAAATATATCAAATTTGTTCTATTACTTATTTTCTACATAGAGGACAATTAGTATTTAGTTTTAACCAGTCAACTATGCAATCCGTATGAAATACATGCTTATCTGAACAAGATAATATGATTACTTAATCCTTGGCTTAAAAACTTTGCATACAAATGGCACAATCGTTATCTTATTTGATATTTTTTTTTAATACTTTCTAATTGATGCTATTTCTAATCTAACAAGATCTCCTCAAAAGTATCCAAAATTTTCTTTTTTTCTATCTTTTTCTCCTTCCTTTTTTTGAACCACATGTAAATTTCGTATGATATGAAAACAGGGAAAAATACAATCCATAGGAATGCCAAAGTAAATGTTGAAAAATATTAGTTTAATCCGAATATTACCACCTAAATCAATTTGAAAGAGTACTAAAATCATATAAACGATGCATAGATAATAAAATCGCCTATCCACAATCAATATGCTATGGCTATCGAAAAGGATTATCAAGGCAAATAATTCAATGAAAAAGAATGCGAGGACCATGAATTTATTTAAAATTTTCAAACACTTAAATTTATCCAACAATTTTTCCTAATTATATATATTTTTAAGTACATAAAGTTCCTAACTTAATTTTGAGACAAATATATTTCTTTAATCAAAAAGTAAGAGCCTACCAATTAATTATTGATTTTAGTAATCATTTTATTCTTAAATTTACTACTATCGTTGTTATTAATCCAATCCTTATTCAATATTAATAATATTAATTAGCTCCATCTCTATAGCTAATGGTAATATTATGGAGTATTTATTTAAATATTTTTAAATCACTCTATATTAAATCATGACTATAAAGCTATGAATAACTAACGTGAAGGAAATCTATACCTGTTATATAAAGCCATATTTCAATGTATTAAAGATTATATACAAACTCTTATTAGGAGATATTATTTTCATCCCTAATAAGTATAAATTTCAAAATGATCTGAGAATATAGATGTTCTTACTAATAACATTCCAAAAACATATTTGATGACCGATAGAATTAATTTGATCTGATTTTTTTTTATTAACATACTTCTGCCTGATTCAAATAGAAAATTAGGTAATTACACATTTTATTCATTTTCTTCTATCAAACTATCGCTTAGGTGACTCTCATAATTCATTTCCCTATAAATTGATTAAATTAATTTTCTAAAAATTATTAAATTTTTTATTCATAACATTAAAAGAATGCTTTATATTTATTTAGATCTAATCTTAATTTAAATTATATTAAAATATCTAGATCCTGGTTTACGAGACAGCAATAAAAAATTCAATATTGACATAATTATTTTTAATTATAATATTATAATCTATATTCGTGGAGGTTATTATTGCTCATCTTTCCCATAAGCATTTCTTCTGTCATAACTAAGAATATACTAAAAATATTCCTCTAAACTTTAGCAAAATTTTTAACCATCAAAACTATAAAAAATATATTGAAATGCTTTATCAATTTTTAAGTCTGGATTGTTACTACTAAATGCAAATGTAACATTTTTATATCATAAAAATTGAACAATTAAATATATTCCTTCATCTCAATATAAAAATATACAATTGCAAATTTATATTAGCAAATCAAGTGCATGATAAATGTTTTTTAAAAGCTTACCTTTAAGGGGACTTTATAAATTTAAATTTTTTGTGGTTTTTGTTGTAAAATTGAAATTTTTAGAGAATGGCAAAAAAATCTCAAAAGAGATGTCAAAATAACTTCAGGAAACACTTATTTGAGATGAATGAATATTAAATCCAAATTAAACTTACTTAAAAAATAATTTTGAAACTCTTATTTTATAATAATTCCTAGCTATAAAGAATTGTTTAAATTAATTTCATGACAAAAAATAGTTGAAAAATGGTCGAAATTTCAAACTGTATTTTGCTATTTGGATTTGTTGCGATTATTAAAGAAACATTAAAAATTGAATATATACTTAAATCATATAAAGGAAGTTAATTTGATTGAAATAAAAGGTTTGCCATGAGTGAAATAGTGTAGAAATCGTTAGATATAAATGAGTTATAGGTTTTAAGACAATGATTAAAAGTCAATTCAAAAAAGATGATCATATGGTTTACCCGTTTTTGAGAATATAATATATTGAGAGTCATCTGTTTTAGATAATTAATATTATTAATGAAAGTCACTCTTGCTATCATGTTGTTAGTGAGCATAGCTTCTGCAACATCTACACACGATCAAATAATGGCCTTACTTTAAACAGGCACAAAGGCTATGGATGCCATTGATACAGTGTTCGGTTTATTGAACGATCTTATACAATCTAATAAGGATGCTTAATTTGCTGCAGATTAAAAGAATGAAACAGATGAATGGATTGGAGCTCAGTAATTTTAGTATATAAACATAGAACAATTGAATAATTCACAAAGATCAAATCACTCAACTAAAAGCTATTCTAATAATCAATAGAAAACAGAGTGCAATTCGAATAAGAATTATAAGACACTAAGAATTATCTTGCTTGGAACGAATAAAGATAAGATGAGATCACAAGAAAGATTGGTGTTCTTCTTGATGAATAATGTCTTAGTAACTAATTGTTCGTGAGATCAATTAAGCAAAACAGAGAAGCTTTAGAAGTTGTTAGAGTGCTTAAGCAAGATGTAGCCGGTTATATCATCAATGGTGATTCATTTGAATTAGTCCAAGAGAAAGCCACTAGCGTTGCTGAAAAACTTAAGGCTTACAGCAATCTCTTCAATGAACACGAAGTTAAATCATTCTTGAACTTGGCTTAATCCTCATAAGAAGAAGGAGTCAGCAGAGGAGCTACATTGGCTGAAAGAGTCCTTGCAGTTCTTGAATCACTTGAAGCCAATCTCTAAGCTTCTCTTGAGGCTCTTGAAGTAAATGAAATTAATGCTTCATGGGAATTGGCTGGATGGGTTTCTTTGAGTGAAGCAGAAGTTGCAAATTTGAAAGTTGAATATGAAAGAAAGCAAGTTTATGCTGACAGATTGGCCACTGTAATAATTACAAATTAATCTATTAGTAAATACAAGCTGCCTTAGCTTAATAAGCGAAATCAAAGATCATTTTACAAGAATCTCAAGATGCCCTTGATTAAGCCTAAGCAGACTTAGAATCCAAGAGAGCTGATTATGCTGATGCTAAAGCAAAGAGAGATGAAGAAAATGCCATCTTGGAATAAGTTATCATCATTTTCAAGAAGTAAGTTGCATCATGGTCTGGAAGATGATGAATATAACTAATAAAGTTATTACAAAACAGCATTTGGTTTAAATTAGTCTTCTTATTTATTATTAATATATATTGCAATAGATAGATGATTGAAAGAAAGAAGTTATTAATTAATAATATTTTAACATTTGCTAATTCACCAATCTTTGAATGGATCATCTTATGGTTTTACAGCATCAGGTAATTCAGTACTGTCTGGATAAGTAGCGAAATTGGAAGTATCATAATCAGATCTAATTATTCTATTATTTCATCTTACTGTATAACAGGGATATATTACGGCTTAATTTTTTTATTGATAATATCTTTCCAATTTAGTGTTTCATACCACTTGTGTTATTTTATGTCATCTACTCCATTCTTAAGATTCCCAAATCGTTTTGTGACATCTTACTCTAGTAAATGTTTAACTAAGCTTTTTGCCTCACTAAATTAGTTCGAATTGTAAAGTTACTTATCAAAATTACGTGGGAACTTGACTTTGCCCTTCAATATTTTCTAATAGATAGCCATTGGATCTTCATCGTTAAATGGATCAATTCCTTTGTGAGTTCAACTATAATACAAATACCTGCAAGCATCTCGTAAATGAAGATTCCCAAACACCACCAATCAACTGGTTTACTATGTCCTATGATTGAAAGTTACTTTACCCTTGTTTAATAAGATCTCGGGGGCTAAGTATTCAGGTGTTCCACATAATGTGTAGGTCCTGTCATCAACCACTTTAGCAAAACCAAAATCTGTCAACTTTAAATACCCATCTGACTAGACTAACAAATTCTCTGGTTTCAAGTCCCTATACACTATGTTCTTTGTGTGAAGATACTCAAACATTAGAACAACTTAAGCTGAGTAGAACCTATCTCTATTAATAAACATCTACTATGCTTCTTCATTCTGAACAGTTCCAGCATTTCTTAAATATGTAAATAGTTCACCTCCTTATATATATTCTAAAACAAAATATAAGTATCGTTCGTCCTAAGTGTATCCACTCATTTCAATCTAGAATATTCACTCATCAAACATACCAAAAAAGGATGCTTGATCTATTTCAAAATATTGAACTCACTAATTATATGATCAACCTATTTAAGTCGTAAAATTTCTATTTTCTTCAGCATCTTCAAAGCCACATATTTGTTATTTGATTTTTGCTTAGCCAACCTTACCCGACCAAATGAACCTGTTCCCAAAGTATTCATAATGTCATACTCCCCTAATTTCACTTTTTTTGTTTCCATATAATTAATATTTTATATTTCCACAATGAATATCAATCCAAAACTCAATAAATAAACCTTGAAAAAATCAGCATTCAGCAAATATCAGTTAGCTGAAATCAATCTCTTAGTGATTACCAATATTAAGTTGAAAAGAAAGTCATATATTTCTCACTTACACTTAATTACGAATATTTTCGATTTAATAGTCCTTCAAAATTTCATTACATTTTTCTACGTTGCCATAAAGTTCTTATTCGCATTATCCTCAAAAACAAAGATAAAAACCAATTAAGTTTGTTTGTTTGTGCAATAAGTATTTAAAGATACTTTAATAAATTAAAAAAATCCTTGATAATCTATCAATCTCCCAAATATATTCAGTTTAATTAATTCAATACAAGTATTAAGAAATTAAAACTGATCTATCTATTATATTCAATATAACAAAATTTATCTAATTTCGAGCATCAAAATTTTAATATTGTTATCATTATGAGCAAGATAATTCTTCTAAAATAATTTATATCCATTATTTATAAAATTCATTTTGTAATTAATCCAAAAATGATAATGAAGAGAAAGTAAACTCAAAAGATTGAATTTGATTAATCGATTGTTAAAAGTTCAAATATTGAAATTCCTCTCAGACCAAACTCAGGCAAATTAGCTTACATTATTAAATCACCTTTGCCTCCTAGAAAAGCTACATACTCTTAACATTAAAATCAAAGGAAAAATCCAAAAGAACTACCCTTACCTCAGGACATGAAAATTATTAAAATTAGAAGTATTACACCAAATCAACAAAAAGTATTTCAATATCATGTATGTTTCAATATTTTATGATAAAGAATGCTAGCCCTGCTAAAGTGATTTTAAGATAACCTATAACTTAATCAGATAAGAAAATATTAGTTATTCCCAAAAGACCAGAAAAATAATAATTTAGAATTACAAAGAAAATAAATTCATCTGTTGAAAGAAATAATTCACCATTGAAAGTAGGAAGTGCAAATCGAGGTTACGAATAATATTGGGTAAATTCTGAATCAACTTAAGAAATAGATTATAAAAGGTAGAAAAAAATTAATATCAGAGAATAACATTATAAATAGTAAAAGCAAGAATTTTAAAATAATATACCAAAATGTGCTTAGGATTTTTCTATGACCTCACATATAAATGATTTGCCTTAATTATTAAAAAACTATTAATAAGAGATAAAAGAAACTCGTCAACTATACATGCATGATAATTCACCTCCATTAAATATGAGTGGTATCATATAATTCAAATAATAGAAATTATGGAAATCAATGAAGATGGTCTTTCCTCTTTAGCCCAAAGCACCTATCATTATTAGATGCATTGAAAGAAAGATAAACTATGCTATGTTGTTTTTATAATAAATTTTTATTAAAGATCTCTTTCTTCTTGATCGAATTGTAGGTTCAATGTTTTTCTGGGTTTACCATTGTCATCTTCCTCAATTATTTGTTTGCTGTTCTCTAATTTTGCTTATTCATATAATTCTTTTTGTTATTACTCTAACTACTTCAAGAGTTCTTAGTCTTGAAATCTTGCTTTATTTTAATATTTCACCTTTAAATAGCATGAATACTTTACATTAACTTCCTCTTTAATTTCATCCTCTGTTTCTTTCAGAAATGGAATTTATCAATCTAATCTAAATTATTGAATCGCCTTATAGAAAAACTCTCCTGATATTGTTTTTTTTCCATTTTCCTGGCAGATAGTATTAGCTTAATCTGAAACCATTTAGAAATACTCCCTAGCCATAGACATGACTTATGTCACATACTCATTAGAGAATTTCATATCCCCATTAGTTGTCGATTTGATGAATTATTGTACGGTGGCTTAGGTCATAGGAAAATATTACCTTTTGGAAGCTATTCCATAGTATTTTATCTTTTTCATTTTAATTAATCAATATGTTCTTTGAAATAGGATAGATGCAAAGCTTAATATAATTAATGATTCGTCATAACATTCATGAAATGATACTTAGAAAAATTCAGTGTCACGAATCAACTTGAATTACACTTATTTAAGCAAAAAATGCGATTATTATCTAATTGCATTTTATCTATTTAACTATTCTTTAAATTTTAAACTATTATATTTATTTAGTAAATAAATTTTATGAGCATCAACCACAAAAAAAAAATATTTGAAAATACTAATTCAAATCAATTTTAAAATTCACTTGAATATGTCTAAGTTCCAAAGATTCTTGAGCAATCAATGATATAGTAGAATCTGCAATAAAACAGTCAATTGAGAAACTCAAATTAATTGGATTTATCAAAGCAAGTCCTAAATGAGCTTCAGATTTTATCACCTAATGATTTAGAGTAGTTTCTGATTCTGTTTAGATAGCCTCAATAAATCAACATAAAATTAGAAAATAGTATGACTAATACTTAATTTGGTTAATAATAATATTATGAACAACTTGAAACAGAAGGAGAGAAATTGAGATATAAGTTGAAGTCAGATGCTCGTATCGTATAATCAATTATTGAAAAGCATTCAAAGATGAGATCTAATAAATAAAGATGCATTTAATAAATGAATCATCTAATAAATGAAATTAAATAATCTAATAATGTTTCCAAATATTAAGAACTCAACCGATCGATTAAGTACAATTTCAATTAACTGGAGTCAATTCAACTAGAATTATAAGATATTTAAAAAGATGCCTCCACTTTTGAAAAGGTAATGTCAGTTTCAGCTTAATAATAATAAACTCATCACTAATATAATTAAGGCAGCAATTTACTAGATCATACCATCGGGCATTCATCAAATGAAACATCTGAAGCTGAATTCACATCTTTATCTTTATAAATCTATTCCTCTATTGAAATGCATGCCAAAGAATTAGAGCAAACTATTTCAGAAAAAAAAAGATTAATGTATATAAGTGAAAACAATCTTTAATATAAGTAAGCATGTCAAGGCTTGATATAGCTGATTAAAAAGTATCCATAATTTGAATAACTAAAGTCATAGCAAATGATAAAGTTAGAGAAAATTGCTTCAATCTATTTTTTAGATTTTTAAAACGAGTTGAATTAATAGATCTTATAATATGCCTAGATTACTGAGTAAATTCGATAGTCTTTATCTATTATTGAAAAGATGAAATATTTATTGGAATAAGCAAAGAGTTTAGATTGTGTAACAGAATTTTATGAGTACATTGAAAAGTAGTTGACTGGAACGCAACTTATGATTACAGCAGATAATAACATAAAATTAGTAAAAGCATACCAAAAACAATTTAAAATGATAAATGTCAATACATATCAATACTTTCACATAATGAGACATAAGATTTATAATAAGTGTCTAAGGGAGTTTGATTAATTGTAATTTAATGTAAAAATGGCCTAGAGTTTACAATAAATCCTATTGAACTAAGTTAAAATATATAAAAATTACATTTAGTCAAATTATTTTCAATTGTTTAATGATGTGTTAGCAAAATTAAAATAAGATCTGAAATTTGAAATTTGGATGCATTTAATCAATCTCTTTAAAGAACAAAATTAAAAGAAAAAAGACTTATAAAATGTTCTATAATATTTAAAAAACTTAAAATATGAGAATCAAGTTTTATCTAGATTTATTCAATTATTTTAATAACTTTTAGAAACAGAATTAGAACGAATTAAAGACTTTTATCCTTAATTACATAAATATTTAGAGATAAAGGACTTTAAGGCTTAAAAAGAGTTTGAAAATTTTTAGTCTCAATATTTACAATGTTATAATGAAATTCACCCAAAATAATAAAGCATATTATCTGATATTAATTTTTATTTGGAAAAGACAATTAATCAATAACCAAATGACCAATAACTTTAGTAATTAAGATCACTTCAAAACTTTCAACCAAAAATTAGGTATTTAAGTAATAAAAAAATATGTGGAAATTTTAATGCTATAAAAGTCTAATTTGAAGGTTTACTTTAATTTGAAATAGATATCTTTCAACTCCAATCATCAATGAAAGCCATATTATCAACAAATTTTAATCTCATATTAGATGATTTTTTGGATATAACAAAAATTAATAATAATAGTGTTTTATCATAATTAATGGATTTTATCTAAAAGAATATTAAAATCAATTCAGAAATAAAGAGTCAATCACTTTTTAACATCAAAGAATAATAACTCCGTCAATTATAATGGCTTTGGATATTCTTTGAATAATTTGACAAATTTAGATCTTCTTTATCGTTATTATTCAATAACAATTAAACAATCTAATTTTCCTCATATCTATAGTTCTTGACAAAAACTAAATTTAGTACTTTATTCTATCAATTATCAAAATGCAATAAAAAAGTTAGTATTAAATGGTGTGATCTCTAATAGTAATTAACTCAAATATGTTTTAGATCATATTTATCCTATATTAAATAACTTCTTGATAAAGTAATCCTTTTAGAAATGGATATTCCCTTAAATTAAATATAATTAAATAAAGAAAATTGTTAATTAATTTTATAATTTTTGCAATAACAATATATAAGTGAATTTTAAAGATTCATTTTCAAATATTAGATTTATAAGAATATTAAGTAAATGCAATCAAATGAAGAAAATTTTAATCAGATCAAGCAATATATGGAGCAATTACAATTTGGATAAAACGTAGATGATTGCCTAGATCTAAATTATATTTTAATTGAATGTTCGGAATCATAACTAAAAGATGTTGAAGTATTTACAAGCTTATAAGAAGAATGGATTTTAGATCATTTAGAACAGGGCGATACAAGTTTTTTATAAGATTTCATAAATTAGGAAGGAATTTTCAGTTTCAATTTGATGAAATACAATTAAAAACTATAAAGATTAGCCAAATTATCTGTCGAACAAAGCATAAACTGGAAAAATATAAAATAAATATTAAAATAAGAAAGTTGATTTGATTTATTTTTTTTACTAATTAATTATTTAACAATAATAATAAAATCAATGAATTTCTTAAAGTAATTCTTCAAGTAAATGATCAAAAATCATATCTGATAAGTCGATTGCAACTACAGTAAATTCTTCATCATAACTTATCCATCTATCTTCATTTTCAATAACCTACGCATTTTAATAAAAAATACCTCAGCAGATAGCATTCTAATCATCCTATCTTCTTTTATTTAAGCTAGACATTCTTGATCAAACATCAGAATCTTAGGATATGGACAATCCTCTTTATCAATTAGAAATCCAACTAAATAATGACACCATTCCAAAACTTTATCTAAACTAGATTTAATTATATTTGGCATATCACTAATTGTGTTTTTTCGAAACTATAATCTACTTGCATCAGATTTCCAAGCATAAGGTTATCCTGCCATTCCATAAGGTCTATGATAATCTAAGGCTTCATTCAAAGCATCGAATATTGCTTTATTATGAACATGCTCCAATTCAAGTAATTAAGATGTTTAGCTCTTCAGAATTTATTCATTTATTAAAAATCTCTCAAAAGTGCCAAATAATTCTGCTGTCATTATGATATTCTACAAGTAATTCTCATTTTAATTAGAATCTTCATCCGATACAATTGTTGAATCAGAAATAGGATGTAAGAATTTGAGCATATCTTTTGATGAAGGTCCTAAAGGTACATTTATTTTGGCTAACACCTCATCCTTATAATTGCAAAGCATAAACTCTGTCAAATGACTTAAATAAGTCTTTACTTGTGGAATTCCAGTTTTAAAGCCTTTATTCTAGTTTGTTCCAAAAGATGTTTGCATTTAGGATGGTGGTCTATTAATCAATGCTTTTGTTACTAATTCAAAAATATCAATATTATGTCTGCCAAGTTCTTAGCATAACAATTAAATTTCTTAAACAATCAACATATTTGAAATAAGTATAGAGTATGATTCTGCTTATTTTTCGGACATCTTAGATTAATCTCTAACAATGTCTGAGACTCTTAAAACTTGAGATTAGGCCAGCTAATGCAGATTGAACGGTTCTGGCTCATAATCTGCAAACTAGAGATTAGATGGACTTGAGTTGTTTTTAAAAATAACTTCATCGTCAAAATTTTATGATTTGCTTAAATCTTCTTCGCTTAGCAAGGATGATTTTTATGGTAACTATTGTTAAAATTATTGAAGGTTTTAATTTTGTATGTCTATAATACTATTTCTTAATGATTATTCTGAATATAGAACAGATTCTTAACTAAAGCTATCAATAATCTTTATGTAAGATTGTGAATTAGATTGAGATATCTATTTCATAAATAGAAGATCTCTTTGAGTTTTCATTACAGTCTCATAAGTACTTTGTTGACCTTTAATAATCTCATTTTTTTTCTTTTCTAAATCTTTTCTTTGTTTGGTGACCCATTTTTCAAGTTTTCTATTCTATTAATCATAAGTCTTGGGAGATATTTATTGATTTTAATAAGCCTCATTTATAGTTTTAATTTATTATTTATGTCTTTCTTCAAGTACCTTCTCTCTCATTACTATGAGTTCATCCATTTTCTCTCTTGACATGAACTCTTTGAATTTAACCTAAACAAAATCTTAGAATGAAGTTTATTCGAAGATGCTCTTCTCTTAATTGAATGTTTAATCTTCTTAAGATAAGCTTTTAATTAGAGATTCAGATCCAATAGCACATCTGATTTCTCCAATTTCAACCTATTATTAATTCTAATATTCCTTTTCAATTTCATCAACATCAATTGATAATCTCTTTTTCTTTTTGAAGGTTATCTATTGATTCATAATCAATGAATTCTTTTCAGTACTTTCTCTGCAGTTTTCCATTTCTTGTTATTCCGAAATGGCCGATAAAAATTGCTTTTTTTCAGTAGTTTTTTTTCCTTCACTATCTATTGAATCACTGAATCCTTCAATGTAATCCTAATAGGAATGTGCAGCAAATATTTATTTTTGCACTTATGGTAATTCTTCTTTATATAATTTTTGTTTCTTATTCTTATTTTATATTGAAGAGTCTGAAGATTTTTCACTTTGGTCTTTATCAATTAATTAAATTTATCCTTTTGAATCAACTTTTATGTAACCCATCTTTATTAATTCTTGAATTTGACTTTAATGCAAGTCATTTAAATTGAATTCTGCTTATTCTTCTTCTTTTTTAAAATAATCTTAATAATAGCTTAAGATTTATCTTGTTTTATATCTTCTCCACACCTTTTATATTTTAATTGCCGCTTGTTCATCTGTCTGAGATCTTTATCTTTTTTCACTATATTTACTTGCAGCCTATTCTATTGATCTAATTTCCTCAATTTCTTTAATATCTTGTTCATCCCAATCTCTTTACGAACTCAACATTTCATCCTTGTCTTCTCCTAAAGTAATTAGTTTCTAACTATAAAAGCTATTATCAAAATTAGCAAAATCCTATTCAGGATCACTTTCATTAGGTATGTTTGCACTACTCGAGTTGCTCATATATTGATATATTGATGAGCAAGGTTGCCTCATGGATTCATGATTTGATGACTAAACTAATTTAGATTTATCAGATTGATTTTTGAATTGACATAACACTTTTCTCTTTTTCTTTTATTCGTATCTATCAGACAGGATATTTTCTTTTTAATCTTCATAAATGATTCCATAGGTTGATGCAGTTCTATTCTTTCTTTTTAATTTTGTATCTCCAACTGAATGACTTCTATTTCTTGATCTTATATATTCATTGAGATTTTATAAATTTTGATGGATTTTGAATTGTCTTTCGTACTCTTTCTTTTTTAATTCGTATTTTGCTATCATAATCATTTTCTATTTAAATTCTTTGTATTTCCTGATTTCGTCTTGGTTGATCTAAAATTTGGGTTTGTTTGGATCCTTTTTAGTTGGAGTCAACGATTTATTTATTTCTAAATGATAGAAAATAAGAGTGCTTACTTTTCTTTTTAATAAATTTATCGATGGATATATTATTTAAAAATGAAACACCTAATTGATCTCTCCTCTACCTAATATCCACATCAGTTTTATTCACTCTTTTCAACATGGTGTCTTGAACATTCCTTTATTTGAGTTATTCATTTAAAAAGTAATTTTTTAATCTTTCCTAATTGACTCCCCAATTGAAGACAGGGGCAATATTTACTTTTTTTTATTTTTAAAGCTTGTTCATGCTAGTATTTACAATTTTTTTAGGCTTACTATTTTTTTCAAGCTTTTCTTATGATGCTTTAGTCACAGGTGCACTAAGCTTATTATTTAAAGCCTTCTTCTTTTTTTTCTTTTTGGTTTTAACTTTTATTGGTCTATTGAGCAAATTACCCAACATAATATCATTTTCTTCTTGTTTGATTATATTTCCATATTAAGGATGTTCTCGAGAGTTTATTACTAAAGGAGTATTAGTGAAGGAGTCTAATTTGCGTCCCTTAATAAAACTGTTCTCTTTGATTTGAACACTTATATTTAATTTTGAATTGTCTTAACTTCTCATTTGAAATTTTATTTGTTAAATCAAATATAGTGAGAATTAAAATAGAGAAAAGAAATCCATATACATTTCATAGCAATTTCAATTGATGTTAAATTGATAAACCTATTATGTAATGTAAACATGTGTTCTACTATTTGAGATAAATAATAAATAACTAAATTGGAATCTTTAGGGGTTATCCGTCAAATTGGAACGCAACAGAGAAGATTAACATGGCTCTTATTTAAGGATATCCCACATTAAGTTAGATGGTAGCTCTTTTTTTTTGTTTTATACAATTTTATAATATATTTTGTTTATATCTATTTATTGATATACATTGCTATCAACCTTCGGTTAGAGTTTAAACTGAAGTTTTACTTGATCCATCCTTAAATTTATATGTCTTCGTTATTTTTGTGATTTTTTATCCATTCTTAATAGTGATAGCAGTTGAAGTACTAACTGAAACGCATCCTGGAGGCAACTTTTCTAAAAAGAATCTAATAGACTCGAATACCTTCTTCTTCATCTTGTGGAATTAGAGCACCCACATTGCCACCTTTGCCTCCTAACATCATGTTTTTCATTTAATCTTTCATGCTTTAGGGTTGTGATTATTGCGCTTTAGGCTTTTAACCTTGTGCTCCCTTTGGAGTGAATTCCCCTGCAAAATCAAACACGCATTAGGTCTAATATTATTTATGGTCTCCTGCTGCTATTCCCACTAACAAGAAGTCAGGACTCAAACAGTTTTTTCTATGTCCTCTTGTGCCTACTCCATCATCAATTAACAATTAGATGATCACATCCTCCCCATTCTTTTGTCCATAGCTGATATTTTCTCCGATTTTTCCGTTCCACTCTCCATACCTTTCAATTCTGTCAGATAGAGATGAACCATCAGTACCAGTGTGACCACATACACCTTTTGGACCTGTATCGTTGACATGATCAATACAAGCTTACTCCAACCCCTAGTCGTATGTCAAAGGTTGAAGGGGTTATTGTTTCTATAAAAATGCAATTAATTCTAATAATTATTCGTTATTTATACCTTGAATAACTTTAGTACCCTCATTAGTTTATAAAGGAATCTCCCCAGGTTTATAAAGTACGCTACCTTTGAATAACTTCATCAGTTCCTATAACTTAGGTATGGGGAGGGTTGGATTTTACCTAACTTGATTCAAATAGTCAAAAGCGTCTTTGGCAATCTTATCATCAGGATCTTTGGACTATGCCTTAGCAGGGGCTGCTTATTCTCTAGATTGCATGGGGGCACTTTAACCTCCCTCATTTTATGAAGCTCCACCTTATGATGAATTTCCATTAGGATCTGAGCCAGCTTAATCTTAGAAAGAGCCTGCAAAATCAAAAACACATTGAGTTTTGAATTATTTATGATCACCATCGAAAATACCAACTGCTCCGAATTCTGCTTTGAAACAATTTTTTCTATGTCCTCTTGATGATACACCATCATCAATAATCAATTAGATTATGACTATGTTCATATATTGAAGAATAATACCATCTTCTCCAGTTGTTTGACCATAACTGATATTTTCACCTATTGTCACATCCCACTCACCATATCTTTCAATTCTATCACTCATTGATGATCCATCTGTACCAGTATGGCCTGTAACACCTCTTGGTCCTGTATCTTTGACATGATCTCTTGCTGCGGATTCCAAACCCTTGCTCCAAGTTAAGGGACCAACAGGCTTTTGATTCTGTAAGAAGGAGATGCATTCTGAAAAAAAATAGCATAAATTATTAACCATTGACAACTTTTGGCCCTTCATTAGTTTGTAAAGGGATCTCTCCTGGTTTATATACAACATTTCCTTTGAACAATTTAAGATGTTCCTACAACTTTGGAATAGCAATCTAAGGATTTTATCTGAGTTTATTAAGATATTCGAATGCTTCTTTCGATATTTTGCTCATTAAATAAATAAATATTTACAACGTGCAAAAATAAATGAGTTAAGTTAAATCACATTAAATATAATACTTCAAATGATTATACAAAAACAAATCAATTCTGTTTAGTTTTCTTCTTTTTCTATTACTCATCTGCTGAACTTAATTTTCTTATGATCCACATAATCCCCACTCCTATGGACACAAACGCAAATATTAAGAATAGAATATCTGAGAAGTTGGCTTTTTGTAATTTTGGTTGATATTCATGTAAGGTTCTATGTTTTCCTTTTGTCTACTAAGCAGCAATCTTCAAGTACTCTAGATCCAAGTCATCGTAATCGTCGTCTCTCTCTCTCTCCAATTGTTTTTTCTTATTCGAATCTTCAGCCAATGCAGATTCAAAGTCCTATTATTTTCAACAATTTACTATACTTCAATGTATTTCCACACTGTATTCTCCAAATCGCTGATTTCTCTTTCCCAAGAACCGTTTCTGAATTGATTGAAATCAATCTCCTAAAACAAAGCAGGTAATCTAGAATGATCGAACTCCTCTGCTCTCACTTATAATAACACTTAAACACTTTCATCATAAGTGAGCTACTTGGAACATGAAATTGCATGGGTTGTATATAATTTGATCCAAACATTTTATTGTTCTACCTTAGAAGCTTAACTACAATTAATAATAAATAGTTACTTGTCTACAATCTCAACAAGTTCACTTCCATAATTCCCCAAGTGCATTCTGGCTAAAATGATGCACGTATAATAAATTGTATCTCTTTCCTTCTTTAATTTCTATTCCTACAACAATCTGAGTTGTTCTTCAGGAGAGATCTCTTGAATTGTTTCAATACCATCTTGATGAATAGTATCATCTTGACATTTTGCCAGAGCTAAGAGAAAAATTATTGGAATTAACATTAATTAATTAAACGTGTAAAATTAATATCAAGAATCAATAATTACAGTTTAATGAATTTATGTGTTTAGTCCTGCTGCTTATTATTATTCCAAAAATTTAGTATAATAGTCATCCTTAATCGGAATTTCATTAATTGACATGAAAAAGTAATCCTCATTCACTTCTGGCGACAATTGGTTAGAATCCGAACAACTTCATCCAACTAACTCATCTAAATCAATTAATACATACTTACTTTCAACTCTATCTAGGAATATTTCAAATAACAAATTACAACTTTGAATAAGTAGATCTCTCCTTCCAAAAAGAAAATTTTCCCACAATCTCTAAAACATGGGAAATTTGAATTGATGTAAGAATAAATTTTCAAGAACCATTTCATTAAATTAAGTTTGGTTTCTACTTTGGTGGCAATGAGATGGTTATGCACAAAAGGTAGAATTCGTCATAGATTCTATTCAAAAATGACAGCCTCTATAAGATTTATCTTCTATAAATACCGAAATTAGAGTTCTGCTGTATCATTTTAAAAAACACTCAATAATGATATTAATGGAGTAGATTACCAAGGCCTAGAAACAACCATATTCTTATAAATGCTCGACAAGAACTACTACAATATCAATTAAATATGGTATGTATCTGAAATCTGGTCTATATTTACTGAAGGCATGCAAGATGTTTGACAATTTCTTGGCTTTGATATCAGTAATGAAAGGATATTGTTGTTTTGCCCTTTTGATATTCTCGCTAATGGCTATATATTGATTATAGTTCATCTTTCTTAAATAAATTTAGACTCATTAACATAGTATGCATAGAGTTCTTCTCTGATTTTAAGTTATTACCAATAATGATAGGCCAAAGAGTTCTCCTTGCAAAATCAGGTAATCCAAATTTCCATAAGATCATGAGTAACTTTGACTTATTTTTCTTTCCATGCACAATCATTTCCTATTAGATGTTACTTTCATTATTGACTTCAGATTGATTACTGTAAAATAATTTTGTATTTATTTTCTATCTTATATAGGATTTAATGAGATAGTCTTCTTAAGACAACGATATAAACTTTTTAATACACTGGCTGGATTGACTTGATTTTGGGCTTTTTAAAAAGCTTCTTCCTTTTTGACACTAATTTACTTCTTATAATTCACAGGTTTATTGGGTTCATAATCCCAAGTTGAATGCCAGATAGGCAATATGTCATTTCTACATATTTCTGATCTCTTTTCCTCATTCTCCTTTACGTTCTTTTTTTCTCTTCTGCTCTCTAAGCTTCCAACTCTCTACGATTGATAATGATTGCTCTTAAGTAATTAATCCATTTTGATTTAATTTTCAAATCAGTCACTTTTATATCCACTAATCTACGCGTTGTGATTATAGAAAAGCAAAACATATCAAATTCTTAGGGAATTTCATTCCTAATCCTGATTTCAGTTGTATTATGTCCCAAAGCTATATCATGTACATCACACATATAAATATATCTTGCTGGATGGTTCATTAACATTATTAATCGATTCCAACATATACGTCTTATTTAATCAAATGTATTTATTACTTTTCGTCACTGCTTAAGAAGAACTTCCTTGGCTTTACAACTTTGTATCTGCCATATTTGACCAAATTGCATCGTTTAAATCAAAGGATACTTACAACCATTTCGTTATTTGCTCTCCTTGTAGTTTCATTAGATAGAATCAGATGACTGTAGATCTATTCTAAATAACCGACGTAGTTCGAAAGGGTTCTCTCGTTACTGAATCATAAACCTCCTCAAAGTAATTAGGAAGTATATTTGGAAACGCTATACTATTTTTTTTAAATTGTTCTTTTATCATCCTATTCTTCTCTAAGATTTTAGTAGAAGCAGTATCAGTAGACAACATTATGAATGTATAAGCCAATACATAAGAAGTTTCATCTTACTTAAATTCGTCGGAATTTTATTAATTATATACTCTTGCAAATATTTTGACTACTCTAACCACAATTTATGCCTCTCCTGCTATTCGAATTCTACTCAATAATAATCTCATTGCATCTAAATAACTTTTCACCTTTAAATTCATAAAGTTAACAATAAGCCTCAAAAACCTCTTGGTTCTTTTGATCTGGCTTACAAAAATATTTGTTTATTACATCCTTGTTCAATCCCTTTGTATTCATATGCACTTGGCTTTGTCTTCATTCGTGTTCTCAATAACTCAATTCTCAATCAAATATTATAAAACCTAAATATATCATATAAGGTAATTTTTTCTATAAAGGGATTATTCGCATTTAACATCCTACCTATATTACTTTATTGTTTCTCCTATTGTTTTTTTGATTTTTGCTTATTGTTCTATTCTCTTATAGAATCGTCCTCAACTATTATTACTTAATCCTCATCATCATCAAACATTTTTCATATTCTCAATTCATTTATTTTCTTTATTTTGGAATTCTCTTCAATTCAATTATCACATTATGCAATTTAATATTAAATTAACAACAAAATTTGAATTAAATGCCACCCAAGATTAAACCAAAACAAATCAGATAAATGATTCAAAGCACAACCATTCTGCCGCCAGGAACAGACAAAGGGTCAGATAAATCATTTGGAGAATTTTGTATTAAAATGGGTAAGGTCTAATGGATTCAAGATTCAAACCCTCATTCTGGTAATTTAGTCTATCGTATCTCTTTTTGGGGATAAGAAGGAGATGGATTATTATTATAAGCAGTAAACTAAAATTTGCAATACTCAAGTGAATTGAAGTATGAAATTCGAGTTCCAATTATTTAATTTCATAAATATTTGAATGAAGCTGAAAAAGTCATGATTTATCTTGTGGATTCGGAGGATAAATTTTAAATTTTTGGATACCTCATCATTAATTTTGCAAGACATTTGAATAAAGACTTATCAAAAAATTAGGTATTTCATAACATTTCAGGATAATATCCAATTTATAAATATTTCCCAGAAATGCCTGATAATAAGGAGTATAAAATTGGATATCAGAATATTGAAGTAAATTCAAAATTTTTACTACTATAATAATAAATAGAATTATGTGCTTAATTAAATTAATCTAATAACATTTAATAGTTATAACACATCATAATCAAAGAATAATAATAACAATAGCAATAACAATAATAATAACAATAATAATAAAATAAATAGACCTAATATCCTTAAATTAATGTCATTTTTCCAACTGAAAAAGAAGCATGGTTATAATAAAACCCTGATTAAAAACTAGCTAATGTTTTATTTGCTAATAACCCATTCCAAAAAAATGCTGAAGTTAATCCAAATAACTATTATGAAGGAACTAATTATATTGATCCCTAAACTGATATCAATCAATTTTAGAATGAACAAACTAATTCAAATTAAAACTAGTAAAATATCAATAACGATGTTTCAATTCAAAAAATAAGTCCTACCAAGTAAGATTAACATTTGAGTGGCTAAAAAACTCAAGTTTAAGGAAATGTTAAATTTGTGGATGATGTTTCTACTAGAATAGAATAGATATTGAATTCAGTTCATTGTATTAATTGTTGTCCCTAAAAATAGAAAAGATCTGACTCTGTATCTAATCAATAGAATTAATAAGAAAATAGTAGTAATAAAAAAAGTCACTCCATTTCTAAATAATAAGAACCATTTAGGAACTCTAAGCCAAATAGTGGACATTATAATAACTCCCCAACTTAATATAGGTATGCCAGTAAACCAGAAAATACTAAACCTAATCCACCTAAATTTAAATCCAACAGAAATTAATCACCTAATGAACAAGCCGAAAAACCTTAACATAAATAATCTGAAATCTCTCCTTAATATGAACCAGTCCAAAAACCTTTATAAGTTAAAACAACCTACCAAATAGAAACTAGAGGAGTTTAAACTATTTAAGAGGAAGTCAGAACACCTCCTTAAAATTTAACAACCTAAAATTTTGCTTACGATAAATCTTTTGATTCATATAGAAAACTCAAGCTACAACTAATTGATTTTCATGCTTATTCTTAATAAGTTTAATAGAAATTGAATGCAATCAATTTAAATAACATTTTTATTGATTGCTAATTCAAAAATTAACAGAAAAGAACATTTTTGAAATCTTAAGGATAGGATTTATATTCAATAAATGAGGTTGTTGAATTTGATGTGTTTATTAATGAATCTTCGTTTAATGATTTTTAGGCTGATCAAATTAAATTTTTAATTCAATGCTATAGAAAACCAGAAAATTCTGATGATCAAAAGTATTTTAAAATTACCCTTGGCGAAGGATATTTTCAAATAGTTAAGGCAATTTCAAATGAGGAGTTTTATATCATAATAAACACAAATTTACCTTTCGATAGAAGCAATACTTCCCAAAATTCAGGCTTATAATATAGTGTAGTAAACAAAGATTTATTGAATGAATATTAAATTCAATAATAAAATAGACTTGGAGAGATTAAGTTAAGAGCATCCTTAATTAGAAATCAAGAGTAATAAAATTTTATTGATCAACCAATCTATTATCATTATCATTCATTTAACCCAACCCTATTGATTCGATTAGGTAAAATAGTGGGAGTAGATAAAATTAATTGCAGATTCAAAATTCCTGGTTCAAATGATTTCTTCTAATCATAAATTAGCGATTAAGTGTATTTGAATTATTAGGTTATCACTCCTTTAAATTTTGAGTCTTTCTAAAAGATTGAGATTTCTCCTTTGATTGTTGAAGTTTGGAAAGAAAAAGAGTTGTTGGGTATGATTAGGATACCATTGAAATCAATTCATGAAATTTTGATTAATGAAGATTAAGAATTCAATGCGAATATATTTAAGAATATTTACCCGTTAATAATATCTGATGAACACCATCCAATCAGAAAGATTAGAGATTCCCTACAAGTCGGCTCAATTCATGTTTTAATTGCATTTGGAATTCCAGTACAGATAAACAAAATCAAAATAGAAAACATTTATACAAAAAGTATTCAGGAAGTTGGCAATCAATATGAAGAACCATAATACGAATAGGAAAAGAAAAAAGTTGACCAAGAAATTTAAATGGAAGAAATTCCAAGAGAATTAAACTTTTTAGAGAGATATGAATAATTCAATTTTGAATTGGTTGATAATAAACACTAATCTATAATTGAAGTTTTGTAATATCTAAATAAGAATGATAATTAATTGTAAAAATATATTCCAAAAGGGCAATTTTTTAGTGTTGAATAATTGCAATTCATCAACATTAACGAGTAATCTTTATTTGCCTTCATGAGAATTTTTGATTTTAAGAATTAACATTCAATAAAAAAAGAGCATATGCTTAATAGTCTGACAGCATTCAACATTTTTAGACCTAGAATATCTGTGGAAGTAAACAAATAGATTAAGAAATTCATTTAATATCTAATTGATTAGCGATAGGATCCTCTCGAGTATGTTGGTAAAATTCTATAAAAGAGTGATTGTGGAATAATGGAAAGATTGAAATTAGAGTAATATATTCCTGATTTTGATTTTGAGTTCTTTGGATATTTCTTGGGACAACTTTAGGATAGAAGATTGGTTTCAATTAAATTACTATATGAATTAACCTGTTAGTTTGTGTAATTCAATTATGTAAAATTAGAGGAGATAAATGAATTTTGGTATTGTTTAGCGATCTAAAGTTCTATATTATAGAAGGCATAAACTATTCAGTTAGATGAAGTGACAAAGATGACTCTCAATATTGAAGAGGTCCAAGAAATGTTTAATTAATGCTTAATCAATGTATCATTTTGGGAAGTGTATTGTATATTCAGATTCATTAAAATCAAGAACAGTAACTTTGTATTACAGGATTGGGAGATACAGAAATCATTATTGCAAAATTGGTTCTCAATCAAATAGGAGGAATTTAAACCTCCTGTTGCGTAGAAGAAGCCAAAGTAATTTGATTTGGAGGATAAGGAAAATTAAAATCAAGAGAATAAGAACCTTGAGTTTTATGTGCACAAATTTAGTATCACTTTGAAAGAAATCTAAAATTTGAAATTATCGATACCGTATGGAACTTAACTTTGTGTTGAATATAAATATCCTCTATGTGAATAAATAATCAAATCATACCCTTTAATTTACTCAAAGTAAACCCAATATCAATGTCCTTCGGAGTCTAACTACACATATATTCAATAGATAGAATAAAATACCAAATTTATTGATGTTGTTGACTCTATAGAAGGAGGCATATATTTTAGATTAAAGACTGATGAACAAAGTGTGGCTTAGACATTCCTTTCTAGTTAAGAGATAGTCAGTTGGATGGATAGGAATTCTGATCTGAATAAAGATAAAGTCTTAGTGTTTATGCCTGTAAATGCTAAGCTTAGTTTCAACATCAACTATTCAAGATAGAAGATAACTTAATAATAGCTTTCCTCTAATCCAGAATTGTTATCCAGTCATAATCAAACCCATCAAGAAATTCATTTGCCTAAAAGAGTAGGATTAAATGTATATGCTGAAGTAACCCTAAATGACAAGGCACTTAAATTTGAAGATAAAATTATCAAGGTGGATATTTATTCAGCTGTCAATTTTACTGCTTAGATGTAATTATTTTACTTAAATTTAGATCAAAATAATAAGGTTCAAAGACAGTTATAATAAACGAAGAAAAATAATTATAAGTTGATAATGAATTGATCTAAGCATTATCAGCATAACAAATGGTAATTTAAGTTTCTAGCAATACATAAAATCTTATTGGAAAATGCGAATTAATGTAGACTCAATTGCTTAGAGGACAAATTGAAGGTGAATTTGCTTTAACAAACTCATTTGGTTTATTTGTTGGAGTTGCTAAATTGAAATGCCAATTGAATAAATACAAAATTCCTTTGGTTCAATAGTAGGCAATATTGAAGGAAAAAGAGTAGGAGGAAAGATTAAAATAGATTACTTGTATGATATCAATTAGAGAGATCATCATTAACATTTCTTAATTGTTAAAACCAGCAGGTAATGACACAGCTTTTTTGTACTTTGTCCTGAAACTCAATGGGAAAACACAATAAACCAATCCTGAACAGATCGATAAAAAGAGTAATATTTATCTCTATAAAAGAATTGTCTTGTTAATTGGCATAGTCATTCTTAGCCGTGGAAATGCAATCATATTAGGAGTTAACAATAACCGTGTATTCTAGTAAGAAGAATGCTGCTAATCAATTGAAGGATGTTAAGTTAGGAGATATAAATATCAAGTTTAATCATCTAACTCAGAGTTAAATCGATAGTAGATTTATTTGTATGAATGAATATTTTACAATGAATTATGACTGTTTTATTAGCAGAGTCGGTATTAAGCTAATGCTAATAAATGAGTATGAGGATATGATTCCAAATTTTGTGAAGTTTTATTCCTAAAATTAAATATATGGTTGTTAGAAATTAAATGATTTGCAATAGAATTATAAGGTTGACAGATAACTATATGAATACATTTCTAAATTAGTTAATAACAATGAATATGCATTTCTAAGTGATCAAATAGGATATCACTTCAATAAATAGAATTTCTTTTTGTCAGAGTAAAACTTAACATGGGACTTGGTAGAAGAAGTCTATAAGTTGTCTAATAATGGATTTATGGAGGAGAAAAAAGCAAAATAATTGCTAGATTCCTTTTACATAGTAAATTTCAGTGAGAAATCATATTCTCTATTTACAAAGCCCAATGTATTTGATAAGAATGGGTATTAATATTTAAATCAATTTGACTTTTCAGTATTCTTATCAAAAATTAATTTGAATATTGAGGTTCAATAAATCAATGAGATAGTTATACAAATAGTAAGGGCTTAAAATTTGCATTTGTTAAATCAAAACAAGGCACCAAATCCAGTTATTTAAATGGTGTTGGGGGATTAATCATATAGAACTCCAGTGCAAGTAAGAGAAAACAATCCTACTTATAATTATTGTTTTAGTGTAGGATTGGAAGCCAATTATAATTTGGAATTTAGAGTTCTTAATTCAGGAGCAGAGAGAGAGATCTTGGGTTCATGTTTCATCAATAGTAGTGAATTGATCAGACTACACGAGAAACAATCAAGTGAGGAGATTAAGATGTATATCCATGGAAGCAAGGCTTAGGCATACTTAGTGGTGAAGGTAGGAACAGGTTCGAAAACTTTGTAAACGTTAGAAGAAGTTTAGCATTATTAAATAGAAGATGTGGATTTGGAGAGAATAAGAGCAATAATTGGAAAAAAATGATATTAAAATTTTTAAATTAATTTTAAAATGGTCAAGAATGTTGCTTAAGAGAGTGTCAATTAAAAACTCTAATTGGTTGTTAGATCCGGAAAGATCACCATGGGTTACAAGTAAACCTTGAAGGCCATCAGAAATGGAACTGCCAAGCTTGTATTCATTTCAAACAATTGTCCCACAATCAGAAAGACCCAGATTGAATACTATGCCATGTTGGCTTAGATCACCATTGTTTTATATCAAGGAAACAACGTAGATTTAGGTACGGGGGTTTAATTGGGAGGCTTAGCTCTTCCTAATTGAGTTTATGGGCATGAGTGATTTTATCTTATTTTAGGTACCGCCTGTGGTAAATTACACAGATGCTCAAGTTTGGCCATCATCGATGCAGGAGATTCTGATATCTTAACATAATAATGATACATTTTTTATTAGTACAATATTATCAAATCATCAATTTCTTCTTTTAATCAAATGAGTATTATATTTTTGATATAAACTATGTTGAATATCAAATGAATGAGATTGTGATATATAAATTATATATATATATATCAATCTGTAATAGTGATGCATAATTAGATTTAGTGTAAATAATAAGAATATTAATTCTTTTAATTTTTATATGTTTTTTATTTATATAATCTAATTACTTTAAGTACTAGGATAAGATGATGATCCTATTCACACTTCTATCCTTCATGGAAGTTCAGATTTAGGATACTACTTTGTTAATATTTATGTTGGCAATCCTCCGTAGAGACAATCAGTTATTATTGATACTGGAAGCTCAATAACAGCCTTCCCTTGTGATGCTTGTGATTAAACAAAATCATGCGGAATCCATTTGGATTAATATTACATTAGAAAGAATTCATTAACATATGAAGAATTGGATTGCAAAAGCTAATTTGGAGAATGCACTTGTCTGAGATGTTTGAATCAATAATGCATTTTTTCTATTTCCTATTCTGAAGGATCTCATCTGGAAGGGTTTTATTTAAAAGATCAAGTGATTTTTGGGGATTTATTGATGGAGGCTAAGTCATCATCCAATGAATCAATCTCAAAGAAGGATAGTAGTGTGACTAGTGTTTTCGGATGTACGACCAGAGAAACCAATTTATTCAAAACTCAATAGGCAAATGGCATAATGGGGTTGTCTCCAAAGACTAACACCAGTCTTGCATTTCCGAATATAGTGGATGATATTCATACTCAACATAATGGAATGAACTTGTTCTTCGCCATTTGCATAGGGAGAATTGATGGTTACATGGCAATAGGATAATATGATTACAGCAGACATCAAAAAAACAGTGCGTATTATACAATTTCGTACATGCATACTCAAAATAAACCTGTTTATGGTGTTAAGATCTCACAAATTAAAGTTCATAATAAAACCATCTTGGCAGGAGCAGATCTATAATCAGGAGGAGGTTCATTCATAGACTCCGGATCTACTCTTGTAAATGCTCATCCTGATGTAACAAGAGCATTAGTGAATTTTTTCGTTTGTGAGTCTTCTAATTGTCCTAAAATGCAATTTAATGATGATTTGGCATGTTATGTGTATAATAAAACACTTCATGGATCCTTTGAGTAATTTATTTCATTCTTTCCAACTTATCAATTTATCATGGAGAATAATTTTATCTTTGATTGGACTCCAAAAGATTATTTAACCAAAGACATGGTATAACATGATGCTTATTGTTTACCTGTTGCACAATTCTCTGGCAGTGTGAGAATGATATTGGGATAGGTGTGGATGAGAAATTGGGACATAGGATTTGACAAGGAAAACTTGACTTTAACCTTTGTAAGAAGCAATTGTTCCTCTGACTAACTTAAACATAATTTCACTGCTGACGATTGGTTTTAAAATGAATTAAATCAATCCAATATCACAGTCAAAACCAGATATCCTCCTAAAAATGTCGACTAAGAATTTAGTATAATACATTATTATATTTTATAGTATATGAAGCTCTCAAAATAGTTATTGTGGTTCTTACATCGATCATCATAATCGTATTTATAGTTTGTATCAGAAAGAGAAATTTAAGTAAACAGAATAAAAAGGGATCAAAATTACCAGAAGCAGAAGATGAAAATTAGAAGGCAGTACAAAAAAAGGTTGTTGTTGTTTAGTGATAGTATTAGTAAAATTTAAAATTCAATAAATATTATTGTAAATTTCAAATGCTATTTAAACTATATAAACACTGATTTTTAACTAATAAATGATATCCAATTATCTAATTAATTTTGTTTATTAAATATGTTCGTTAATAACTATTGCTTGCCAATGAATTGTATTGTTGCTCCACTCAACGGTTGTGGAGGAATATACTTAGGAAATGTTGATGCAGCCTAAGACTCTCAATTGCTCAATTAACATAAAATTGGAGCAGTATTGTAAATATTAGATTAATCTGTTCCTGTATAAGGAGCCCAAAAATTAGTAATGATTTATCAATAAATTTAGTGGATCATGGCTGAGGATTCAGAAGACTTTCCTCTACATAAATACTTTGATTAGAGCATTAGATTTATAGAGAATTAAAGCAAAAAGACCAATGTGCTGATACATTGTTATGCTGGGATATCTAGATCTGCTGCAATTGTAGCTGCATACATGATGCAAAAATACAATTGGAGTGTCAATCAGACAATGCTACACATCCAAAGTAAAAGAAGGATTGTGAGCCCTAATTCTGGATTCATGAAATAACTAAAGGATTTTGAAAGGAAATTATCAAACCAAGATCAATAATTATCGTTGAACTCATTTAAATTAGAAAGATCAAATTATAGGCCAAGTTCAGCATTGTCCAATTACAATAAAATAAGCACTCCAGCTAAGTAGGCTTTCGATAAAATAAATATACCAAGCACTAAGTCATCATCGAGATTGGATGATTTTAGTAGTAAACTAGATCAGTTTAGACATTTATTGAGAGTGAAACAAAAGGCTTATTGAATTTACTTAATATAAACTAATATAAACTCAATTATTAATATAAAAATGTTCAAAGACCTAGGATATCAATTACTAATTAAATGGAAACTCTGGAAAGTATTGATAGTAGTATTTCCTTTTACATTTATTTATGGAATATACCTGCTCTTCGTAATCTCATCGAAATCAGATAGAAATTCTTTTGATGGAAGTCAATTGATTCAAGTTGAGGTCAATAACTAGTTTGCATAAACCTTAAGTTAGTATTCTGAGCAATACATGAAAGAATTCGGTAAGACTGACGATATCCAATAATTGATGATGAAAACATTTAGTAATTTGGGTTTGGAAACATTTTATTAGGAGAAACACAAAAATGTGATTGCAAAATTGAAAGCACCAAGAAGTCCTGATTATGAATGCAGTTTGATATCATTTGAATATAACGATGAGGTTACAAACCTCAAGATCAGGAGTATTGCATATGTGTTGGCACTTATTAGACTATTTTAATCAGATTGTATGAACAATAATATTCTTAGAAATCAATTATTTATCAAGAGATCTAATATTTGTAGGCCATCACTCAAATCATAAAAGTTATGGTCAAGGAATTACAGCATTCTTAGAAGAATATGTAAACCCTTAGGAAGTGTCCTTCATACCCAGATCTGGAACTATTAGATCTTCAATTAATATTAATATCGATGATAAATTTGATTCTATTGCCTTGAAGGTATTTGGATTGAATGGCAAAGTCTCAGACAGAGATTATTACAATAGTATCAACAAGGTTATGGAGAAATAGAATTTTTATTATTAATTTACAGAAACTAATTATTATTGGATGTAAAAACTTGAAACATACTTAGAAAATCAAATAAGAACATATTGGTAGCTATTAGGATTAAATACTCTGTATTAGCTACCGTAAGCTAGATTGTTATACATGAATCCTTACTTTTCCAATTAAATTGAAATGTTTCAAGGAGATCTGCATGAAGCTCACTCTTACATTATGAAATATGGAATTTATTCATTTACTTTAAGAGGGTACAATTCTTAAAACAAAAATGATTCAGTTTTATTGACTAATAAGTTATTATTGATAGGAGAAGCGAGTATTAAGGCATTAATGGCAAACGATGAATTCATCCATTCTGGTTCAACTCTGTATGTTCCTTTAAACAAAAATTCAACATTGACTATATAGAACTATTGTTTGCCATATGTGTTTGTGATTTTGAGTTGTGCCATCTTCGCTATAAAGTCTGTTTATAGTAGATGGCATTTCAATCTATATAATGATGATAAAAAAGAATTGGGTAGATGCAATTCGATGGTTGCACATAAAGCTATAATTGAAATCTTCATGGGGTTCACCTTATGTTTCATTCCAAATATGATAAGTTACTTAGATAATCGTTAGCTTGAGTATTTCGATTAATACTTTGCTATTATGATGGTCATCATCGTGGTTTATTAGATAATCATATATACTTCAAGGAAATGGATATTTGGGTAATTTAGATTGCCTCGGAATGAAAATGTAGTTGAATGGTTATGGGTTGAATTAGTGATTTAGGTGTGTTTTGTGATGATGTATGCAGGAATAGTTCAAATACCAATCGCCACTTTTATTGCCATTTTCTTAGGACCTTGGTTTTTCTTCATTTAACCATTGAGATTTAAACGTATTTTTATTTGTTATTGTAGCTAATTTTAAATTAGTGGATATATTCTCGTATGCTATAAATTTACTGTTTTTATATGGTTATTTTTAGTTTTTATCATTCTTTGGGTTTGATTAGATTATCTAATACTACAAACAGGTGGTTTTCAATTATAATAAAGTTGGAGTGTATTTGTTTTATTATTTAAATGGAGCATTGATTCCATCTTTAATAAGATTTGCTGAGTTGTTGTTATTTTGATGTTTGATTTAAGATGAATTTATATTGTTAACGAAACATAAACATGAAGTGCAAAATCATTATATTGTATTTAATTAAGAATTCAAAAAATCATACTATCCTATCATTCTGTCACATCCAGGACAAGAATGAGTGATTTTCATAAAATAATTCTTCAAAACAAAAGGAATCCAACAAAGACAAATTAATGTCAATATTAATGCTGATATATAAGTGTAAATGGTGCTTTCCACAACAACTAATGAACTACAATATGTATGACAATTTTCACATTGTATTTATATTGGTGAAGTTGAATTAAAATCGATTGCAAAACCAATTGAGGATTCAACAATGTGCTGATTTGATATAGAGTCAGATTTGGCTTGTTGGGACATGTTATTGGCAGAAACAGCACTCGCATTTGGACTCTTCATTGATTAAGCCTTACATGAATGACTTGATGGTGTTGGCATCGCCGTACCTTATGAATCCGCCAATCTCAATGGTATAGTCAATTACATTAATAATTAAATTTATAAGTAATCATGGTGATTGTTGTTATTTTAATCTGTTCTAATATTTATCTAATTGAGAGTGTAATGTCTGATTAATCACTTTCATACCCAAATAATCAGAATTCAAGATTGCCAATTTCTAAGTTAACTTGTGAATTTCATCCGTATATTTGAACTCTTACTCTTAAACTCTCTATTCCAATTGATTTACTGAATCAATTCTAACCTTGATCCCCCTTAACTCTGTTTAGCACTGTACCAATTCTTGGCCTTAACTGAGTAGCGTCTATTCTTTAGTTGCTAGTTCCTCTTAGATTGCTTTCAATCCTTTTTAAGTCTCCACTAATTCCTTCTTTAATTCCGATATCTTTATTAACAATTTCTGATTCTCCTCTTGTGTAAGGATTAATTCATCAACGTTCTAAGGATTAAAATAAGTAGGTTAAGCATTATTTTTAACTTTTTAATTATTCCCTTTTTTCTTGAAACTCCTTTGAGAATCCTTTGGAGATGTCACAGTCTCTGCACTGCTCACACTTGGATCCTTTGACTATAATTCATATTTCAATTACTCTATCTCCTCATTCAACTCTTTTATTTTCTTATCACTCACTTTACTCTCAGATTGAACAAAGTAGTAATCACTTACCAACTGATCATACTGTTTTTTCAAGGTATTCATGTCTATTTATTGTTGATTACATCGTTTTTGCAATTATTTTTAGTCCTCTATCTATCTTTAATACTCTTAAACCACCTTCTCCATCTAATTCACAGTTTCGTCTTCCATTTGAATACTCTTATCCTCCATCATCATTGTAGTTTGGGTGTCCTTGTTTACATTTTCTCTACTAGGTTAAAGTAGTGACTTCAATCTCCTATTCTCAGAATCATACTCCCTTAGAATTAATTTATATTATTCAATTTCCCTGTACATCTCATCTTGATTTAGTAGGGCTATTTCATTATAGGTTTTTGCTTCTGTCTAAACGAGCTTGGATTCTTGTTATTATACCATATTTGTTGACTCAGTTTATTTGATTCCAAAGATTATTCCCAAATCAAGGTCTGTTTATTGAGTTTAGGAAATCTTACTAAAATCTGTTTGAGTATTTTGAGAAACCTTTAGCACTTAACTTTTTTTCATGGGATCTTGCTTCTCCAATTTTTCAAGCAATTCCTTTTTCTGTTAATTACTCTAAAGGATCATATTCTTAAAGCTGATTATCTATTTCTCATATTGTTCAATCGATTTGTCTTTCTACTTTATTAACTCATTCAATAATTCCCATTTCTTGTCTTCACATTGTATCTGTTTATCAATATAAACCTTGTCTTTATCCTTATTCTTCAAATTTGTTAATTCATTTGTTAATCTCTCTACTTACTCGCGTAACTACTAATCCTCGTTGCTATTTGGTTTCCGATTCTGCATTGAATAAGATTCGAGTAAGTTCCTCTTAACAGCCTCACCACCAGATTCAAATAGTTTAGAATGTCTTTGATGCATATTAAAATAAATAATAATTTTGAGAACAACGTTGAACCTTTATTCCCTTTACAAATACCAATACTATGAGCAAATATTTTTAGCTAAATTGTAATACGATATTTCTATTAACCTAAAGGATTTTTCAAACTAAATTTATATTTATTTCAACCACTTTAATTTCCAATTATTAAATCGTTTTGTTTTCAATGAGTACTTATCAATTGATAAATATTTTTAATGGTTGACTAAGATCTACTTCAAAGTTCTGTGGGAATCAAACTTATTCCTCTAAAACTGTTGTAGAGTATATCTACATCAATCATTTTCATATAAATTAATTTATTTTAATATCTAATGAACCTAATATGGCAAGATAATCTAATTACACACTAAAATATTAAATAATAAACTTCATTATTGAAATATAATCATACAAAAGTACAAATTATAATTTATATTTATATTTTTAATTCTCTATTGAATTTAGTAGAATCAGAAATATCTATCAAAATTTTCAAAATTTATTTTTATGCTATTGATATTTTAATATGTACTCCTCGTCAAATGATTTATATCTGATCAATTTTTATTTTAACCCTGTAAACTATTTTATTTCTTAACTCCCTTATTTTCAGTGTTTTAAATGAGATAAATCTATTACCCAATTAAGGAATTAAAAAAATTGGTTTTCTAATTTAATCAAATAAGAAATATTACTTAATATATTTTATATATGATGTCTTATTTTGCCAAATTTATATGATTATACAAAAATAATTTATTTTTTTATTAAATATTTAGAATTATTGACTTGAAATTTTCTACAAAGACTTATATAACGGAGAATTCTAAAAAAGTGGAAATTACAAAGGGAGTAAAGAATGTCAATATAAGAGTAAATTTAATTAGGCTATTTAATAATTTTGTTCTATGGGTTTTAGTTTATATTGCTTTGTCTCTTGTTACGCACTTTGAATCTAACCAATTTAAACCAATCTTTAATAGTAATAGTAAAATACATAAAAATATTGAAAACATTTCTGACAAGAAGTGATAAAATACAATTCTTTGTTAAGAATTAGCCTAAAATTTTATGGTTACAAGAAAAGAACAGGTTTCATTATAATTCTCTCTTTTAAAGGAACGATAAATCTAAATAATCTTCAGAAATCTTTCTGAATACTTCTCTTGTGTACCTTCATTATTATATTATAAAACAGTATAAAGTATTAAAAATGATAATATTTAGAAGTTCATTTATATCTTCCTCCCTTTGCAGATAAANAGATTCGAGTAAGTTCCTCTTAACAGCCTCACCACCAGATTCAAATAGTTTAGAATGTCTTTGATGCATATTAAAATAAATAATAATTTTGAGAACAACGTTGAACCTTTATTCCCTTTACAAATACCAATACTATGAGCAAATATTTTTAGCTAAATTGTAATACGATATTTCTATTAACCTAAAGGATTTTTCAAACTAAATTTATATTTATTTCAACCACTTTAATTTCCAATTATTAAATCGTTTTGTTTTCAATGAGTACTTATCAATTGATAAATATTTTTAATGGTTGACTAAGATCTACTTCAAAGTTCTGTGGGAATCAAACTTATTCCTCTAAAACTGTTGTAGAGTATATCTACATCAATCATTTTCATATAAATTAATTTATTTTAATATCTAATGAACCTAATATGGCAAGATAATCTAATTACACACTAAAATATTAAATAATAAACTTCATTATTGAAATATAATCATACAAAAGTACAAATTATAATTTATATTTATATTTTTAATTCTCTATTGAATTTAGTAGAATCAGAAATATCTATCAAAATTTTCAAAATTTATTTTTATGCTATTGATATTTTAATATGTACTCCTCGTCAAATGATTTATATCTGATCAATTTTTATTTTAACCCTGTAAACTATTTTATTTCTTAACTCCCTTATTTTCAGTGTTTTAAATGAGATAAATCTATTACCCAATTAAGGAATTAAAAAAATTGGTTTTCTAATTTAATCAAATAAGAAATATTACTTAATATATTTTATATATGATGTCTTATTTTGCCAAATTTATATGATTATACAAAAATAATTTATTTTTTTATTAAATATTTAGAATTATTGACTTGAAATTTTCTACAAAGACTTATATAACGGAGAATTCTAAAAAAGTGGAAATTACAAAGGGAGTAAAGAATGTCAATATAAGAGTAAATTTAATTAGGCTATTTAATAATTTTGTTCTATGGGTTTTAGTTTATATTGCTTTGTCTCTTGTTACGCACTTTGAATCTAACCAATTTAAACCAATCTTTAATAGTAATAGTAAAATACATAAAAATATTGAAAACATTTCTGACAAGAAGTGATAAAATACAATTCTTTGTTAAGAATTAGCCTAAAATTTTATGGTTACAAGAAAAGAACAGGTTTCATTATAATTCTCTCTTTTAAAGGAACGATAAATCTAAATAATCTTCAGAAATCTTTCTGAATACTTCTCTTGTGTACCTTCATTATTATATTATAAAACAGTATAAAGTATTAAAAATGATAATATTTAGAAGTTCATTTATATCTTCCTCCCTTTGCAGATAAATCAAATCAATAAAATGAAATTCAATTAAAGTTTTGATTGCCCTATGAGTCATTTTTTTGATTCTTAAATAATAATAAATGAATATGATTACTTAAGGACTAATGCTTTTATATTATTGAGATTTACTCTTCTCAATTGGTAATCCATTAATCTATTACCTAATTTTGCCTATAATTCTATTTTAAGGTTAGAGATTAGATGGTAAGTCATCCCTTTCTACCAAAGGAGGGTTCTTAAACTCTTTCTACCTATATATGAAATCTCCCCAAGTTTCTCTTGGGTCAATGACAGGATCAAGTAATTATTATTTTTTTAGGTTTTTCATAGATATTCGGAATGAATTAGTATTCTGTCTTTAACTTTAAATGAGTTATCATAATTTCATAATTTACATATCTGTAATCATTATCTTAAGCAAATTGATAATAAGATGAGAACTAGAGAATTGATTATATGAATTCAAAAAGAAAATGAGCTGGTCGATAATTTCCATGTAAAATAGAATAATCCAACGCTGAAAAATCCTTGGTTTGAACGAATGTTAATATCAGCTCCAGATTAAATTAATAGAGAAACTAATTATATATTGTCTCTTTATAAGCCCACATGAGAGGAGTGATACTTGCGGAACCTCCTTCATTTGGATTTGCACCAAACTAATTATAAGGTGAATCAGTGGTACATTTAAGATTATTTGAGCTAAATTCATATCATTTCTCCAAACAGCTCTTACTAAGGGAGTTTGGAGGATATCTGATGCAAGATCTTTATTAAGTAAATTAGGTGACATTTTTAAGATTTGTTTAAGTTTTTCTACTTTCGCTTGATCAATGTATCTTAAAAGTCTCTCCTTCTGATTTTGATTTCCCATTTACAATATTTATATTATATGTTATAGAATCAATTATTTCCTTATAAAATTGTAATAAATTCTCATAACTTGAAATTATACTATTGAACACTAAAATAGCTCGAAATATGATAAGAGTTATTTTAATTTAAAATTCAATTATTATTGAAATGCATGATTATGAGAGAAATTATTATGACATTTAAGTTTATGATAATTATTTTCTATAAATAAAAATGTTTGGAACACAATGTGTTAATTTAAAATAACTTTGATGACTCTATAAACAATATGATTGATTAATTTACACTAAATTGTTTAGTTCCAGCAAAATTATTTCAAGTAAGTTGAATCCATATGAAATGTTTCTTATCTTTGTGTGAAAACAGTAATTTAGTTGACAATGTAATTGAAATTAATAGATTTATTTCTAAGATGAATTTTTGTAAAAGGCATTGTTTTGATTTAGTTTATATCGCTTATATTAATTTCTATAAATTATTAATAAATACATGCAAAAATAAATAGTACAGTGTCTTGTAGAAATTAGCTAGCAAATATCAGTATTTATATAAATTATTCTAGAATGTTCATTAATCTGAATCGAGGCTGTCTTTTAAAGTAAGTATTTCTATTTAAATTTCCAATAGCGATAATTACATAAATTTTTGGAAAAGCTTAAATCAGGGGATTCCTTAAAACAATATTAAAGTATTCTGATTCGTTATTTACATAATGGTAATTATGTATTATTATTACAAGCAATATCAAATACCCTCAACCACAAATTGACTGTTTAATAGCAAATTATTACAATTTTAATATAGTTTTTTGAAGTTGACCAACCTCAAGGTATTAAATATCAGTATTTTAGTTTGTGACTCATAAACTCTATGTGAGGTAATAGTTGACTTCGTGAGGTTTCTCATAAAATAAGAAATTTAGGATGAATATTTAAAAAAATAATTTGCGAATTTTATCAAAATTACTTTTTGGAAAATAAAAATATTCAACATTCCTAACATGGAAATAAAAGATATAGAAATTTTCGATTAGCATTTCAACCTAAATTTAAAAACTTCGATTTTGTAAATATTTGTACACATATTTTAGTTCAAATAAAAGTTTATAATAGTTATTAAAAAATTATTTATTGCAGATTGAAGAGCTCTCCGAATACCTTTTGGCTTTTTAATATCCAGAAGTTGTTCTAATGGTTTTAGATCTAAGTGCTTTAAAGTTTGATATTCCAAAATTTATAAACAATGGAACACTTGATTTTGATTGCAAAAGCAAATTGCAAATCCTCCCTCATGAACAATAAATTTAATTATTCCTTAATCTCAAAGAATTAGATAATGAAAAGTTAGACATTGTCACACAATTAATATTCTAGAATTAGGTTTTGGATATTGCCTCTTAAATCCCTAAGTTAATAACAGTCATAGTGAATTCTTAATAGATTGATTTTGACAGAGCATTAATTATTTTGAAAAGAATATCAAATAATTAAAAATTCAATTTAAATTATGAGTATTTAAGAGCAGTGTTATTATAAAGTAAAGAAAAACAATTAAATAACTTCATCATTGATGCAATAGTGACATTTGAATAAAACCCAGAGAATATAGTCAAGCAGGAAATATAAAAACACTCAAATCCTCTTTCCATCATATATTTATTAATTTAATTGATTAAGTAGGAACACTTTGAGTAATTATTTGAGAAATTATTGAACAAATCTATATCCCCATATTAATATGTGATCTTACATGTGATATTAATCATTTAGGATAAATCAATAATTCTAGATCCCTTATAGGAATAATGTCTAAGATTTCAACTTAATGAAATTTGTTTAGTTCAGATGTTTAGTTTATATTCATTCTAAAATTTGAACATAAAGAGAAAAATGAAATTGCTATCATAATTTCAATAGTTGATTGAAACTGAATAGAATATGTCATTTTATGATATTTTAGTAATTATAGGACAGGAAACAACACAATCACCCTAAATTAATCAAAGAATAGGTTAAATTCTAAATAGAGAATGGAACAATATAAGTAATTTCTTGAAATAAATTGCTTACAACAAGCAATCTCAAATCATTTAGGGGTTCTATTATATTGTAATGTATTTCACAGATTAAAATGAGTCAGAATTCTTAAGACTTTTTGATATTATTCATAAATCAATGTGTACTAGAAATAAGGCTGTCAATTATAATATGTTACTCAATTCAATACAATAATATGAACAAGGCAAACCTGAGACTGAAATACAACTTTATGTTATGCTATTAAAGATCAATTATTTATTATAGGATAATTTCATAAATAGGAAAAAAAATGGCGAAGAGATTTCAGAGAGATCAAGTGAATTGGGAGACTTGAATGAGGGATAAGAGTAAGAATATTATAAGTAAATACAAGAACATGGCAAAAATTTGATTGAATAATTAGAAAAACAAATAAAACGTTATGAAACAATATACTTAGGCATGCAAAAGAATTTATATTTAGCAGTTTAGATAAGTAGACTGTTGCAATTAAGCGATGTTAAAATCAATATTTAACATTCTCTTATGGTCAATGAAAGAGTACAGAATATGCTTTTTGAATAAAATCTAATTGAGAGTGACATAATTTGGGATTCTTTGAAGAAATTGCAGAAAGTTTAACTAGCAACAGCTATAATATAGATATTTAAAAATGAAAAAAATAATGTGAAGTTAATAAAAATGGTGGTGGTCGAATTAAGTAAGTTATGCAAATATCGATATTATGCATTACTATGGAAATAATACGATATTTTGAGTATCTAGTAAAATGTTTAATAATAAATAAGCAACATAACTAAACTTTAGATGGCGGTTCATAAATTTTAGTTAATATTACAAATCGAAGATAACTATGAATTTCTGAAGTTGGGATATTAACAAGTATAAAAAAGTTAGTTTGAATTATTAGCTTTATTGATTGCAATAAGTTTACATTGTGGCATTAGTAATAATTTTATTGATGGTATGGGTGAATAGAATGAGATGTGTATAAATAAGTTGATAGTAGAATTCAGTTGTGCTGGATTATTGTAATTGGTATTGACTCTTGTGAAACCTATCAAGTAATAGAAGAAGAAAAAGTAATCAATGGAAATAGAGAAGAAATTAGAGGATTGTTTAAATAACTAATTGCAAGATGCAATTAATTTAGTGTTGATTGGAATTCAAAAGAACCTAAACAAAAATTAGGATTTGAAGCAAGAGTTCATTAATTTGGCAACTAATGTCTATTAATTTGGTTAATCTGCAGAATATAGCTTGATTTTTGATTTATTTGACAAGATTCCTTATCAATTGATAATAAATTGCTTAAAATCAATTTAAAATTAGGATAAGTTCTTTGATTAAAAATTGCAACATATCTTAGTACTAATAAGTAAATTTGATAAGATATAACTAACTAATGAATTTTTTGAATTGTCCTATGATATAATAATCAATAATCATCAAATTACATAGACAATGATCGAGTACTGTCTCTAGCTGATCAGTATTATAAAGATGAACGAGAATGGACAATCTTAAGTGTAAAGTAACATTGATGTTCAATAACTGAAGGAAGTATTAATACCTGAGAATTTTGTACCTACTGGTTGTACTATATAAAACATTCAATAACAAATATACACTTGTATTTAGTGTTCGAATAATAATAAGAAGAATATATAATGTTGTGCTAGTTGTGCCTTTAGTTGTCATTAGAATCATCAAATCCAATATGAAAATATGATTGAATCCATGTGTGAATGCAATCAAACTAAAAAATGCAATTAATAACGATAAAAGCAATAGATTCAACCTTAATTGAATAGAAGACCTTTGTTTCCCCCTTAAACAACGGCCACATCTGGAGTTTTGGTAGAATATTTAAGAAGAGAGAGGGAGATCCGAGAATATAGGGAATTCAAAGATCTAGAATTGCATCCCCACATAAATATAAGAGAATATACAGGTAGAATTAAAGATAACTTTTAAGAGTTTGATTCAGAGGTGGAGTTAGAAGACTCTCTGTCTAGTTCATAGATTTAATACCATGAAGAATCCAATAATGATGTTGTTGAAAAGTATGAATCCAGTAGCAATTCAATTATTGAAATCGAGCCCAATTAATTTGAACCAAAAGAAGTCAAAAATCAAATGAGACCACAACAAGATTCAAAGTTTTTTTCCAAACTTAAAATTAATTTCGAACTTTTATTTGATAAATTAATCTAAATGTGCAATTTTACTATCCAGAATTATAAGAATTTAGAATCTAATTAGTAAACTGATGTTGAAGAACAAGAATATGAATTATAATCAAAAACTGCTCATAATATTCAAAAAATAACTGCCTTAGTATCATCTGGCAATATAATCTAACATAAAACAGAAAATATTGATGTCTTGAATGAGTTAAGAACTCAATAAGAACAAATACAATCAAAATTAGGAATTTATTACGTAGCCTTCTAAATAAGAAGAGTGATTGATGAAGGAGACAATTTTATTGCTGTTGTAGGTCATAGCGAAATGAAAATTTTCAATAAAGCCAAATATTTTTCACTCTTAGAAAAAAAAACAAGCGGATTATAATTACCCTATACTAAAATAAGTTGTAGACCCCCTGTCTCCACAATTCTATTTAATCCCTATAACTAAAAATAAATCCTAGTGTCTGCCCTATTGGAAATTCATCTTTTTGAACTAAAATAAGATGGCACCCTTTAAAGTGATAAAACTGTAATTTCTCGCTTCACCCATCCAATAAGCAAAACTCTTTGGATTAATTAAAACTCTTTTGCTTGGTTAGCATACAATTCTATATATACATTTAACATTAATACTCAGAATTAGCAATGTTATAATCTCAATATAGAGGAGAAGAAAATCAAAGATTTCTGTGTAATAAACGGAACAATCTTATGTGTTGATCTATAAGGAGATATTTATCAATAGAAACTTGTTGAAGGACAATCCAAAATTCCAATTTCTGAGAAGGTCAATTTAGATGATCAGCTCAAAGGGAAGACCAGAGATAAAATTCCTTAATGTTTAGCCAAGATCAATAACACTTCAATTTTGCTTATTTCATACAAGAATGGAGCCTCATTCCTTTGTAATTACCAAGACAAAGCATTCATAAACATTGTAAGATTGGATGAACTACTAGTGTCTCAATAATTGGATGGACTACTAGCATCTCCTTAATTTATCAGTCAAAATAAGAGTCATCTAAAGTTTGCAGTCTTAGCATAAAAATAAAACTTAACTAATTAATAAGTAAATTTTCATAGTGGCAGATTGCTTATTATTGAAATCAATAACAAAGGTAACGTTTATGTTTAACAAATTTTTGATAATTTTGTTGAAGGATATTGCCTATTAAAGGATTCAGAATACAATTTCTATGCATTAGCAGTAGCTGATAATAAATAATTGATATCTGCTTGTTTAAATCTTAAAGATAATGCCACATAACTTTGTGTAGATAGAAAAAATGAAAATTAAGATTAATTGATCAATTAATTGAAAGAGAGATTTGAATTAAATTTACTAAAATAGTCATCCCATCTATTTAATCCTTTACAAAATTTCTGTTTGGCCCCTAGTGTATTGGCAACTCCTTAATAACTATAAATTGGGCCTACTAGTATCACTGTCACTCAAGGATATGCAATCACTGGTATCATTTTCAATAAGCCCAATGTTGATCAAATTGAAATCTTTAAGTATAGAACCATATAGAAAAGAAATAACTTTATTATCATCCCCTTGAATTACATAGAATAAATCTACACTTTATTGACTCACACTATTACATTCACTTAAAATAATTACATCAATTTGCAAGTCTATATATAGAAAATGACATTATCATAAGCTATGATGACAAAGCTAATGTCTATTTTAAATCAAGACAACAACCAGATGAAATCCTATATATTTTAGGATATTAAACAACGTAACCAAAAATTCAAATCTATGCTATCAGAACAATAAATTAATTTAGTCAATAGCTTAGATTGTCTTGGAATTACTTTACAAGCATACCAGAATCCTTCAATTAAATTTACAATTATACCATAATTGATATCAATTATTTAGTAAAACCAACCTATTATTACAGATTCAGCAAAGAAGCTATTAAAGACTTTATTAAAAAGTCATAAGGCATTACTGGGTAGTGAATACGATTATAGATCAATAAAAGATAAAATATTTATTGAAAAAATTAAAAGCAAGACAGCCACATAAATAGTATAAAAATTGCAAAAGATTTAAAGTACTAGACTCCCTTAGCTGTTTTATGTTTTCAATTAAGTACCAAATGTTATTTTTGACATTCTCAGTGAAACCATCAATTATAAATAATATTCTCAACTTCTTTTGAGATATCTTTAGTTTTTGTAAAATTGTTCAAAGGACATCAATGAAACACTTTCATAAATTGAAGATATTAAACAACTTTGGAAATTATCAAATTAGAATATGTTTAATAGAATCTTTATTGATGAATTAATCATTTTTTAGAAAAATAAAAAAAGCGAAACATTTGAATATGCTTGGGATGTATTTATCAAGGACAATAATCAATAACCAGAAAAAATTGAAACTGAATATATGGAAGAGAAGAGTAAATTAGAACCATTCTATGATTTTGATGAAATCCCAATAGAATATGGAGATGACTATGATCCATATGAAGCTATATTGTTAAGATAAGAAATTCAAAAATAACAACCCATAATCACCTAAACAAAAAAATGTAGATAGATTGCTTTTCCAACTCCAAAACCAACTTAATCTCTCTTAGTTGAACAATATGATTTAATAAAAGCCTATTCTTTATGGCTTCAAAAAGGAATCAAAGCTTAAAATGAGTTGTATCAAAAAGGTAAGAGAGAATTCTAATATTTACTCCAATTGTCAAAACAATTTTACACTCTAGCCAAATCGACTAAGAATTTAAATGTGGTAGTTGATTATTTATAAATGATTGACTTCAAGGGCAAAGGAATTTCAAGCATCTTACTATTGACTTATATAAATGGAAAAAATGTTAATGATGAATTATGGACGGTTTTTAATTAGAATTAGCTCTTTTTAGATCTATAAGTATTAATTATTTTAATAATCTAGGTTATATATGACGTGTTAAACAATCTTGACATAAGTGACTAGTAATAAGGTCGTTTAAAGTAGAAGAATTTGCCTTTGGATAAATTGAGGGATATAATGAAAAGTGAGATTGAATCATAAATTTAATTGTTAATTGGATTGATGGAAAAGAAGAATTAATTGTTGTACCTCCAAATTATTAAGTACTTGTTGAATGCAACAAAAATCAATGTAAATGTTTTATACAATATATTAGATACAAATGGCAGAGAAGTTATAGACAAATCAATGGACTGAATTAATTTGCTAATTGAAAATAAATTAATCTTCAAAGTAGATTGCTTCAACCTATTTAAAATAATTGTTATAATAAATAATTGCCAAACAAGATTATTTTTATATCAAGGATATAAATTTATATAGAACTTAATTGAGGGAATTAAACAAAAATTAGTCGCTTTATATTAATAAGCAATCAACTTATCAGGCATTAAAACGAATTTTGAAAACCAGCAAGAAGAGACCGTAATTTTGGAAGGAATTTTGTGATGATAACGTCCTGAAAATAATAAAGTCTTTAATAAAATCATATCCAAAAGAGACCTTGGAAGTAATTGAAATTATTATTTGATTAATAATAAGTTTTGTAAGATATTTCAAATCATAAACAATAATTTTATTATATAGAATAGATAAATTACTAATTTGAATGCTCCTTTATTGATAATGTCATAAATTGATAAAGACATCTTTATAAATTTCCAACGTTGTCAACAGACTCTGATTTATTTATTAAATCTATTCTTCATTGTTTATTATGAAGTTATTATCATCAGTGGATAAATTCCAAATATTGAATCATGAATTTCTTTATGATGTGATTATGCTTTTAGTGCCTCAGTATATTTTTTAAGTATATAATAATTTCTAAAAATAGATAAACTTAAGAAAAGAGATATTATTTTAATTTATTTGTTGTTCTGAATTCAAAAACTGATAGTGATTTCAGTCTGGATATGTTGAAGTTATGTTTAAGAGGAATAAGAATTTTTTATTTATAGAAATTCCTATTTTGTTGATACATTATAATAATTAATATATATATATGTCAAAAGAAGTAGCAGTAACTTCGACATTAAAATAGCGTTTATCTGCCATAGAAGATAAGGAAATATACTTTGAAGACAGAGACTCTTTTAGCGAAGATGGGGTATTGTTGAAATCTATTATAGAAATATGGGGAATATGTCCAAAAGTAGAATCGGGAAATTTTAAAAAAAGTTCAGGAACTTATGCATGATGGACAGTCTACTGTGAATTAACAAGAGGATTAAAGTTTTGCTGTAATGAATGAGAATCAGAAATAAGAAATTTTAGAAGACTTGGAAGAAGAATTTGGGCAATCATATACGGAAACAAAGGTGAAAATCAATACTTACATAAAGCTAATTCCAAAAAATGAATTATAATTGGCCTACATTTACAGTGACAAGTAATGGATATGATAATAATTTAGATATCCCCTTTTAGCCATTCGAAAATAGATTTTAATATTTACAAAACTGATCTCATCGTACGCTTAAAAAATTACTACGCATCCTCTTTTTGAATTGATGACATTGCTGATGATCATTTTTAACTCAGCAATGCTTGCTATAGATGATCCAACCACTAACGTCTAAACATCTTTCTAAGATTTAACCGATATCATATTTTTGGCCTACTACACAGCAGAAGCAGTCTTAAAGATAGTGGCATTAGTAAACTGTTTTAATTATTCAGGGATTTATATTACCAAAAAAAGCCTATTTAAAGGACACATGGAATATCCTCGATTTTTCTGTAATTGTAACTGCCTACATTCCTTATTTTTTGTCATCCAACTCAGTCAATTTGAATGCCTTAAGATCATTTAGAGTGCTTAGACCATTAAGAACAGTGTCTTCAATAAAAGCACTAAGAACAATACTGTTGGCATTATTTGCATCAATAGCCCAATTGAGAGATGCCGTTGTGGTTCTAATATTCTTTTACTCAATATTCGCTATAGCAGGAGTGTCCTTATTTTCTGGATATTTGAAAAGAAGATGTATTGGAGAAATGAGTGGAATCACATGGATATCTGATGAAATATTGTTCTGTGCAGACGATAATAATTGCCCATTTCCAGAGGATACTATATACAATGAGAATTTCATTTGTGGTAAACAAATAGCAAACCCATAGAACGATTTGGTTAATTTTGATACATTCGGTTATTCATTCTTATAGGTTTTCATTATTACAACATTAGAAGGATGGACATAGATTTAAACAGCAGTAATGCTCACATTTTCTTAATATGTGGTTTTGTATTTTGTTATTGTTGTTATTGTTGGAGCATTCTTCTTGGTCAATCTTACACTAGCTATTATCAAATTAAATTTTAAGCCTGAGAAGATTCAAGAAGAATTGGCTTAAATTAAAGAGGAGATTGAAGAATATGATTATAGACAACTCAGACAATTAAAATTATATGATCCATAAAGACCCAAAGTAGAAACTGATGGTTATGGTATTACATGGGATAAGAATCATGATTTTGATTAAAATGCAATTATGAATAGAAGAAAGAATTCGAGAAGAGGAGCTTCTTAGTTAAATATGATTAGATCATAAAATATGAAAAAGTTAAGAGGAAAGAATAAAGTAAGTTTTCAACCAATAAAATCTGCTGTGTATTACAGCAATCCAATTGTATTGAAGAATAAACAATTAAAAATTGAAGGAATTTATGGGATGGGCAATTAGAGCAAATTGAATTAATAGACTTTAGGAGTGAGTGGCTAAAACAATAATAATCGATCAAGTGTTGTAAGAAGAAGCAGTCAGAGTAGTAATAATGATGAAAGAACTTCTTCAAAAAAGGAGGATATAAATTATATTAATGAAAATGAAAGTCAAAGTTAAAATAGGCCAACCAAAGTAATTCCAAGAAAGAGTATTTAATTTGGAGATCAGCAGATAAGTTCAGAATTCCTGAATTCTCCAATGATGGATTTGTAGAGTGAAAACATTCGACCATTGAATGGAGGTACGATGATTGTCCAGCATTAAGGATCTATGGATAGTAGTAAGAGTGGTGGATCAAAATAGAATAAGACTCCAACCAACAATTAATTAGAAATCCCTAAATTAGGAGAGAGTATTTAATTTTAATAAGCTTTATAGTTAAACAATAGTCTTAGAATGTGAAATCCAATCAAAAATTTAGTTTGGTGGCAGGTATGAAATACTAGAAACCTCCAAGGAATTCACCTAAACCTGATTCATAGAAATCTCTAGATTAAAATGAATTTGATAGCGTAAATTTAAGTGAGTTGAATACAATATCAGATGATGATCTTGATTAAAGATTAGAGGAAATGGATATTTTTGTTTAGGATAAGATTGATGATTCTGAGAGTGAAAAGAAGAAGAAATAAAACTTAAAAGAATTAAATAGATAGAAGAGAATGGAAAATAGAAGATTAAGAGATTTAAATAAAAATGCCTCATAACATTTAGATGATGCATCCTTAAAGTTGAAATCTAAATTATTCAATACAAAGTTCTATCCAATTATTATAATTGATTAAGAATTTGGAAGTGTAAATGATGTTTTGGTTTCTCAGATGTTATTGAAATTGGAGAAAGAGAAATTAGAATAAGAAGAGAAAATTAAAGAAATGGATATTAAAATTACTTATTGCTTCAAAAATTAAAAACAATCTTTGGAATTAAAAAAATCTGGTTCTGGTAAAAGTAAAAGTATGACTAAATCTGGGTATTTGAAATCTGGATTGAAATCTAAGAAAAACAATTTAAGCTTAAGGAGAGTGTAACCAATTATGGATGAATTACATCCATTTGAAGATTTACAATTTCCAACCGACAAGAATTTAGAAAATTAAGAGGATTAAAATTAAGAAAATTACAATGAAAATTCTGAATCAGATGATGAACCTGATGATTAAAATAATGAAAAAAATAATAATTTTAATGGAAGTGCAAGCCAAAAAATTAAAATAAAAAAGAAAAAAAAAGACTAAGAATAAAATGATAAACTAGATTTTTAATAAATAGGGGAGAAGTTTTCAGAAAGTTCAGATTGCATAGTTGATCTCAATAGAATTCGTTAAGTTGAAAATGATAAACAATTTAATTAATAGGAATTGGCTCTAATTCCTGCTTCAGAATTAGATCAGCAAAAGGGTGTCTTTTATAAAGAATTCCAAGATATTAAATAAAGAGATATTGAAGAAAGCAAAGGAGCTATTGTTGCTTAGGCATCTATTGAAGATGTATTGCTGATTGCTGATTATACTTTTTATGATTCAAAATTTGCAAAGTAAATGAATTCAGTAATGAAAGCCTTGAATTATTCCAAAAGAGAAACATATATTTATTTACAAGGATTTATTGGATTTTTAAAGGTATGTTAAAATCATTTGTTGTATTTTGTGTAATCTGGGTATTTTGAAGCAGCAATGAATCTGGCAGTTGCATTGAACACAGTAATCTTAGCCTTAGATGGTTTACTACCTGATAGCAGTGCAAACACATTACAATAGTTTAATCTAGGATTTACCATCTTATTTACAATTGAATTAGGATTCAAAGTTATAGGAATGGGACCAAAAAATTATATTTCTGATACTATGAATATTTTTGATGCTGTGATAGTTGCTTTAAGTTTAGTAGAACTATTTTTCCTAGGAGGAGGAACAAGTGGGAAATCTTCATTATCAGCCTTTAGATCTGTAAGAATATTCAGAGCATTTAGAGTGTTGAGAGTCACTAAGTTGATGAGAAGTTTACAATTTATGGGATTTCTTATAAAAGTATTGGGAAATGCATTCTAATCCTTTATGTATATAATGGTTTTGCTGTTGCTATTTATATTTATTTTTACATTACTAGGCATGGCCTTCTTTGGAGGATAATTATCTAAAACCCCTAGTAGATAGAGTTATGATGATATTCAGAGTGCCTTTTTAGTTGTATTTTAAGTGCTCACATTGGAGAATTGGAATAGCATTTTATGGGACTTATTGATATAAGATGTTTCTGCATTTATTACAGTTCCTTATTTAGTATTTTGGATTATGATTGGTAATTACGTCTTTTTGAATCTGTTTCTGGCTATTTTACTAGAAAATTTTGAAGAGGAATATAAGAATGATAAAGCAGGTCTAGACACTAATATTGAGATTGGACAGGATTCTATCATGGACAATACAACCTAAGCAGTGAATTCGACTAGCACTTTTAAATCTACAATGAAAACAAAAAAACATACTGTTGCTTAGTAATTAGAAAACAATGGGGATCCTGAGTCTAAGAAACATAAATAATTGTAATAAATATTCTAATATTTTGTTGAACCAGGACTTTGTTAATTCTCATTATATATGTTCTCCCAAGAAAACATAATTCGAAGAATATGTTATAGAATAGTTAAGGATGATAAATTCGAAACTCTTATTTTCTTTATGATATTTCTCACATCAGCCAAATTGGTGTTTGATACATACATTCCTGATACTGGACAATTAAAGCAAACATCATTGTAGATCGATATCTTTTTTGCTGTATTTTTTGGAGTTGAAATGATTATGAAAATAATTGCTTTTGGATTCGTCTAATAAGAAAGTTCATATTTGAGAGAATCATGGAATATACTAGATTTCTTCATTGTTATAGCATCATTTATTGATGTAAGTGTTTCAACTATCAATCTGAGTTTTGTGAAGATCTTGAGATTGCTTAGAACATTAAGACCATTAAGGTTCATCACCCATAACAGATCAATGAAAATTTTGGTATCAGCATTATTATAATCAATTAATGGTATCTTCAATGTGGCAATAGTTGTGGTATTGGTTTGGATGATGTTTGCCATTCTTGGTATAAATTTACAGAAAAACAAAATGCATTATTGTGATATGGGAGATGATGAAATATATTATCATTATGGACCTGTGGAGTGTGCAGACAATGGTGGTATTTGGGCAAATCGAAAAGTTAACTTTGATAATATTTTGAATGGAATGTTGTCTTTATTCATATTATCAACATTGGAAGGATGGCCAGATTAAATGTATTGGTTTGTTGATGCAGATGAATCAGGACCAATTAAGGGAGCTTAATTATAATTTTCTTGGTATTTCATCGTATTCATATTGATTGGTTCCATATTGCTGATGAATCTATTTATTGGTGTTATATTGGTCAATTACCATTTAGCAGAAGAAGCTTCAAGAGATAAGATATTAACACCACCACAAGTTGATTGGATTGAACTATAAAAACTGATTGTTCATGCTAATCCAAACTTGGCTATGTTTTTTAGTCCTGAAAATCCTTTTAGAGCTAAAGTATTCATTATTATTAAGCATCGTTACTTTGATCCAACAATTTTAATGATTATTGTATGCAATATAGTAACTATGGGATTATCTCAGGATGATTCTCCAATTGCTTATGATAATGCTTTGCAATCTCTTAATACTGCATTCACTTTTGTATTTATCACTGAAGCAATTCTCAAGATCATAGCATTGGGTCCAGTCGGATACATGAGAAATTCATGGAATCAATTTGACTTTTTTGTTGTTTGTGCTTCTATTTTGGATTTGATATTGTAGTTCACTGGAAATTCATTTATCTCATTTTTGAGTGCTGGACCACAGTTGGCAAGAGTCTTTAGAGTACTTAGAGTAACTAGATTATTTAGATTGATCAAATCATTTGAAGGATTGTAGAAACTTATAGAAACAGCAATTTACTCCTTACCTGCTATGTTGAATGTGACAGCTCTATTATTTCTCGTTTTCTTCATCTTTTCTATTCTTGGTGTGTTTCTCTTTGGATCTATCAAGAGTGGATGGGTAATAGATGATGTGAACAATTTTTCAGACTTCCACCATTCCTTTGAACTACTATTCAGATGTTCAACAGGAGAAGATTGGTACAAAGTCATGTTTGATACTATGTAAGATGGCTAAGGTTATTATTGTATATTCTTCATTATTTTTATTGTGATCCAGTAATACATTATGTTGAATTTGTTTATTTTGATTATTTTAGATCAATACGAAATCAACTATTTCAACAGCGATAATCCCCTTAACAAATTTTAGGAGTATGAAAATATGTTTATTGAATCATGGTCCAAATTTGCCAAGGAAGACAAAGGAATGAAGATGAGTCAACAATTATTAGTACCATTATTGCTCGATATGGAAAAACCTATTGGTTATGATTTGAAATAGAAATTAAATGATGAGATTAGTGAATGGAGAAGAATCAATCCTCAATTAGACACAAAGGAGAATGTCCTAAAGCAAACTCTGATTCTCAAAGCTTAGGCAAAAAGAGCTGTTTCTACTTAAATTATGAAAATGAATATCTATGCTGATAATGCAGGATAGGTCAAATATCATCAGATATTGTTTTCTGTTATGAAATCCTACATGTGGAAAAAGGTGTAGGTGAATTTAAGTCCAGAAGGAGCTGAAAAGATTCTATAAAAGGAAGATGAAACATAAAAAAGATTGAAAAAGAAACAGGTTGGTGTTCAATCTAAGGAGGTGAATTTAGTTAACCCTATTGTGCACTTCTTATTTGTTCATATGGCTTTTAAAACATTAAGAAGATATGGAGAAAAGAAGAAGTAACAAAAAGAGTTACAAGCTCAATTATTACTCGAATAGGAGTAGGAACATTATAGTGATGGTTTTAGTTCTGATTCATCTTTTGATAATAAAATCGAAATACTCTCAAGAATATCAAAAGACACAGAACATCCAAAGAGACCAGATTATGGTAGAACCAAGTATCTTACTCTACCTAATACAGAGATCTATAAAGAAGAAATATATATAAATTAAGAAACACCAGTGGTAAATGATTCAGATAGAAGTTCTAAGGAAGAGGAGGAGGAACCAGACGAGGATGGTATTTATTTTTATCACTCTATTAGTTATGTAATAATATACTAAGGACTTCAAAAAACATCTCATTAATCCAAATGGATCAAGTGGAAACATTTAGGATGATAAAAGTGCAAGCAATTTAAATCAGGGTGGTGGAGCCACGAGAAGTAGTCATTCTCGAACTAGTCAAATAAACAAGTAACCAAAGAGGCTGACTCTGAAGCCAAATGATATGGTTTCAGGATTGGGATTGAGTAAGAAATCTATTTAAACCAATCAATCACCTGCTAATTAAAACCCTAATGTTTCTTAAGATAACCCTTCAATAATGAATCAAAGCAATGGAAACAGTTCTAGTAATAAATGATTAATATATAAATTTGCCAACTTAAATATCCAATTATTTATTAAATTAAATATCTTGAACATGTTCAGAAGGGTATTTGGAATCTCTAATAGATGCAATCCTACTCGTTTAAGATACCTAAGAGAGTATGTATGTTTAAGAGAGGCTGCAAATCCATCAGCCTAATAGGCCTAAATAACTTAATTCCAATAAGTGTCAAATAAGTACGGATTGTCAGTTCCTTAATTGACAACTTTATCTGGAATATATTAATTAAGTTAATTGCTCAGACCTCAAAATTTCCCAAATCCTAATGATTATAAAGTAAAATCTCTTTTTTGAATATCCATAGATACACGTTGAAAAGTTAGAATTATTATTCAGACAATCATAACAAAGTCAAGATTCTTTAGCTCAATTTGCACAATCTCTAGAATATAAAATTCCAGAAATAGCAAAACTTACAAATGATGCAAGAAGATAAGCAGCCTAAGAATTGTTTAGCATTTACTTAGAAGGAATTCATTATGATAATTTAGTCTCACCGTAGAGATTATATTATATTTTAGAGGCTACGTTTAATAATTGGAATCAATTTACAGACAAAGAACTACAAATGCAATCAAAAAAATTTAAGCAGAAGTTAAGGATCCCTAATTAGCAGCCTAATTATCACAATCTCTTGAATCGATCTTCTAAAATTACTAATTCAATTAAGGAAGGTTTGATATGTCTTCTAATTTAGATATGTTGGTTTGATTAAGTCATTCATAGACAGTCTTTAAGGAACAGAAGTTTAGGTAGCTTAAAAATTAGATTAACAAACTCAAGAGAAATAATTATTCATTCAAACAGTCGATAAGGCGACAAAAAAATTCTCAGCCGAAGATCAAGAATATGCTAGAAATGTCGATGGACACGATTACAAATTATTCTTATAAGAATTATATGAGAAAGAATATTAATCAGGATTTGCTCAAAATAGATTCAATGAAAAAGGATAAAAATTAGTTTATGAATCATAGGCATAAGAACATCACGTTTTAAGATATTAAATTTTGGCAGGAGTATTTGCTGGTTATTTCCTCTATTTATTCTACAGAGGTGATGCTTATTATTCAACAATCTTGGCAGTTCCAGTGGTTGCAGCAGCTTTCTTCTATTTGTCTAAATAGGGATAAGTAAAAAGAACCATAAATTAATTTAGGCTAAAAGAGCTATTCCTTTTGTTAGACAAGTACTCAAAAATACTGACAACACCTATGAAGTTGTTTTTGAATAGAATCGTATCATCAGTAGAATAGAAAATGTTTAATCAAGTTAAATCAAGTAAGTAGTAATGATTATTCTTCTTTAAGACTTGCCCAAGATACTTAATTTGCCAATACATTAGTGCTTGGTAATCCAACAGATTTCGGATATCATGTTAAGGTAGCTGATAATTCATTCATTGCACCATACTTATACAGTGGAAACGGTTTAGATTTCAGAGCATTCATTAATGTTTGATTCAATAATATACATCACAATAAAAACAAAACTTTCATCCATTTTAAGATTCCACTTAATTTTCAATTCCATACAAGTCAATTTTGTCTTGATTTTCTAATTCATCTCTATCCAAACAATTGAAAGCGAATCCTGTATGTTTTTAAGTGGCAACTTGTCCAGATGGCTTCAATTGTTATGTTTAAACATTAGTTTGTGGATATGGCAATCTTACAGACATATTCTTGTTGACTTTCAACAACATTCTGTTTAATTTAATGTTTAATGCTATGTCAATACTAGAAATAGCTGCAATTACTAAAATGTTTCCAAGATGAAAGCATGGAGTTTAGAATAGGCTAAATATTTAATAAAATAAATACGATTCAAATACTACATAGGCTTCAGCTGATGGTAAATTATCTAAAATTATCCATGAGATTAGATATGATATCATACTAAAAGCGATACTTCCCTAATAAATAACATATGTATAATACTAATAAGGCAGGAGTGTATGTATTAGAGAATATCAGTATTTTAAGATTACATGTAACGACAACAAGACCAAATATCATCGTTCCTTATGCCCAAAGATGATGAGTGAATCCATTGTCCTCTACGAAAGTTTCAGATATTGAATAAGTTGGAAAGAAGCAAACAATTGCAGTTTGCCAAAATCCACAAAATATCCAAAACAATACAATTTAGATGTTAAATAAGAGTTCCTTAGGACCTTATTGATAATAGTTTTAAATTTTATTATCAGTCAATTAATCAGCATCGTATTCCTCATCGAAAATCCCATAAATCATAATAGGGAGAGCCCCATATAAAATATTAAACAATTGATAAATGAAAGTGTCATAAAGAGACTGCGCAGAATACATTGAAAGAATTCCATACCAAAACTGAGGCAAAACAACCAAAATATTTTTGTAAAATGTATAACAAACCAACACACTATTTCTACGATAGCATTCTCTACCGTGATAAAATAACAACCTTCTTAATTCTCTAAATTCCTATACACTATAATCAGCTGCTCTAGCTGCTTATTGCCCTTCAACACCCCTTATGCCAACGCCTACATGAGCAGCTGTTATCATATTTACATCATTGGCCCCGTCTCCAATAGCTAAAGTTGAACAAGACTGATTTTAATTTCTAATTAATGTAACAACATCTTATTTCTGTTTTGGACTAACACGGCAACATAAAACCACTTCACAACATTTCCCTATTTCAGAAACCTTCTTTTGAATATCTGGTTTTAATGCATGTAAAAGAGCATCTCCAGATATAATCAAAGCCTACCTTTAGTTCAAATCTTAAGATCCAATCTTGTTCAATATATCATCCAATCTTTCTTTTATCAAAGCTTCTTCTTTTTCATCGACAATATGTTATATTAATTAATCAGTTAATAAAGAACACGAATAACCTATATTAATGGCAGTTTCAATCTTATCACCTGTCAAAACCCATACTTTAATACCTGCTGCTTTAATTGCAGCTATTGTATCTGCTACATCCTATTATAATTTATCCTCAATAGCAGTAGCTCCCAAAATTTCGTAATTTTTCTCTAATTCATCCTACAAGACTTGCATCTTTTCCTCCCTATTTTCGAGAAGTTGGGTTGCTTATTAATAGCGCTTACGCCATTCCTAATACTCTTGCTTATCTAATTTTCTCTTTGACAACACTAAAGTTCTTAACCCTATTTTTCCATACTCTTCAAGTCTTTATACTAATTTATGGTATTCATTTTTATTCAGCTCTTCATTTGACAACCTCACTTAATCCAATAGAATAGAGTCCGCTCCCTTTGAAAATAAATAAATGTCTCCAGTCTTTATTACTTATACTAATATTGATTGTCTTTTCCTCTATGATGTAAATTCGAATATTTCGAGCAATTGATATTCAATTATTTGATCCTAAAAATTTACTCTTTTTATATTATTTTCATCAGTCCCTATAAACTCAAATCCAACAAATCTAGCAAAATTTAGCAATGCTAACTCATCTGGAGATGTTGCATTATAAACTAATTTACCATCTCTTTATTCAGATATTACGGTATGACAAATTGTTATCATCATTAAACATTCTATTACTTTTTCATGCATTACATGATTTTTATCTTTAATAGCTTCAATAAGTGTTTTATCTCTAAAATCCACATTACTTACCTAAGGAAAATTCTATAATTCATCATCTGTTATATAATCTTCTGAAACTTTTAAGACATCTCCATAATTTTGATTCCCTCTATATTCAATTAAAATTCTTACATTATAATTTGTTTAAATTCCATTATATTACATGTTAAAGTTCCTGTTTTATCACTGAAAATATGTTCAATCTGCCCAAGTTCTTCATTTAAATTAGATGTCTATACTCTTGGCTAATTTAATTTCTCATCTAAACTCATAATCTTACCTTATATGAATTTGACCATTTCTAAAGTAACCAATAGAGAGATGGGTACAAAATTATTGAAGATCAGCATCCAATTTCCAAATCTAACAAAAAAGTTATATGGGATTGTATATTCTGAAGTATGAACATCAATATATAAATAATTTAATGTCATCCTATTGTTATAATAATAGATTGAATAGACTAGGGATGCTATTATACACATTATAAATTGTATGATGAAGATCATAAGAATGAATTTTTGCATCAAAACTTCTAATTTACTTTTCTTTGTTCTTGCCTTGAAAGAGTTCATCATTATCTTTGTATCATGTCCGGTGTATGCTACCAATCCAAATATATATTTCACATTTCTTAAATTACATCCTCTTAATAAGAAATTGTTAAAATTTATTGATGAAACCTAAAGATTTGGCGATGTGGTTTCACCCATGAACTTATATAAGTATGGAGTAGGAGCCTAGTATTTTAGGACAATTCTCTTGTCCAATTAGCCAAAACAATCATCAGATTTAAATGTTTAGATTAAATCAGCATGTACATTTTTTTATTTCAAATTGGTTTCCCCATCTAAAGATTTGGTTTCAACATAACAAATTCCTTTGCTCTCGCTTGATCTCAAAAGAAGCATATCCGCTGGTATTATCTCATCTTAATGAACCTTCACAATATGACCTACTCTTAAATTAAACGAAGGTATTTTGACAAATGCACTTCCATCGAATGCAGTCACTTGTTGATTGTTTTCTTCAATGTCAGATTTTCGTCTCTTGTAATCTTCATAGAAATCCTTGGCTCCACTTACTAAAATTATAAAGCCTAATGGTAAATATATTGTTGGTATTCCAGAACTGATTGAAACCTCCGGAACCATCTAAAGGGCTCCCATTAACTAAAAAGATAGCCTTAATTACATACCACAAAATAAACATTGGCTAATTTAGAAAATTGCTCAAATAATTATTTTGGGAAAAAATTCAACAAAGTGTACTTAGATGTTTGAATGCTATTATCAGGCAACTAAAAGTCTGGTCTATTAGAAGTAATTTTTCTGTTCTTTGATTAATATTTTTGAGCATAATTTC